GAGATTTCAATGCGCCGATTCAGAAGAAACCTTCATAATCTCGCTCTTGATTCTGCACACTTATATTGTGAAGATTGAGAGATCCAGTTATGCTTTGTTTGCCAAAGGAAATTCATCACTCATTCCATTCACTCGTTTTCCAAAATGCTCAACTCGCACGCGGATCTCCAATGTTTATTAATGTGCAATCTCAATTTTCATTGACTTAATCATTCCATTTCACCCGGAGATGCCGCGAAGTGGCAGATTTATTGCGCTGTCTCCTCAACTGCCACTCTCTCAGCGCTCCCAACTTGTGTGACTTCCTCGTGGCGGGAGAAAGTGTGTTTCGCGTGAGGATGTGCGCCTTAAAGCACGGAGTGAAGGATGACAGAGAGCCCTGGGAAGCTCTAATTGGCATCGCTTAAGACACATTTCCTGGCGGCGCTCTTCATTAGCATTTCGTGGCAATTTGTTGGCTGTCGGACGGAGCAAATTGGCCACTGCTGGGCTGACTTGGGTGTACATTTGGTGATTAGTGCACACATGCTGAAGGTCATGCAGCGAATGTGGGAGCTTCGAAGCCGCAGAGATCTTCGCGTTGGCGCCATTCGGATGTCGAAATCCCTCTCACGCACTCACAATGCCAAAAGGCATCAATGGAAAATGCAAGCGCGTGAAAAGTCCGATTCATTCATAAAAAAAAACTAAATAATTTCATTCAGCACTACGAAAAGCTGAAAGTTGAATGCGTGAAGTGAGGAAAAAAAAGCTCGTGGGTGGCTTGTTTATTCCCCACCTCGCGCATTGAGATGCATCTGGGCATGGTGGAAAATGGAGAAAATTGTCATTCCACCCACTCTCGCTTGTTAAACATTCATCTCTCTCTCCCCCCACTTTTTCGATCGCGCGTCTCGTGAATGCGCGCGCTGAGAAATTACCCATAGCAAATGTCGAAGCTTTCCTCCTATTGTCGACATCGTCTGCAGACACACAATAGAACATGATGCTTCAACACGCGCCACGCCGAGGCCCAGAACAAAGAACCATCATCGAGATACACTTCTAATAGTCCGCGCGGACAGTGTTGGGCGCTTGGTGGACCAAATGTGCCTCTTGGGCACACGCAAAGTCGCCCACGTCCCGTCAATTTCCACCTTCCGCCCAGCACAGAAGTCACACTGATCCCTCTGGTCGTCTTTTAATTGATTCCCGCCAGGGTTCGGCCGTTCGCCCAGGAATTTATCTCTCTCTCTCGAGTCGTTTTTACTGGCTTCTCCCGTGATTTCCTCATTGCTGGCCGAAAGAGAATCGCGCGCGAGCGCGCAATACTGCCCAGATGAAATGTTCGCCATAAATTCGCGGTGAATTTGCATGGAAATCACTCGAGAACACATCGTCATGAATGCCCTTTTGCGGAAAATCCCATTTTCAGGCGGTCTTTCTCAATTTTCAATTAGTCAGAAGCACACAAGTTTAACTCTTCATGTCGATATGAATGCAAATTGCAGCACAACAAAACACTTTACTTGCTATAGTTTCAAGAATTTCTGGTGTGCATGTTCAACAAAGGATTTTGCTATGCAAAGCGATGCAAAACTTCCAGAGGATCTTAGCAATTAACCCATGAAACCCCTGAGATTATCCGTTCCTCAGGCTTCTCGCGATACAAAGATCGGAAGTGAGAAACTTCACCATTTCCGAAGGGATGGAAGTGATTACGAGATGAACTGCAATTTCCAAGCGAATCTCGTGCCAATTTAATTGCCATCTTCTCAGCAATTTGCCACCGCGCAATGTTTGATCTTCTTGAGACGACTTCATGTCAACACTTTCATCATCGATTTCGTATGAACGCCAAATTTATGCGCACGCGAAAGAAGTGAAATTGATTGCTCAATTTTTGGTCACATATGGAATTCCACGAGAAAAAACAGTCGACATGAAACTTGAGTGAGAAGAAGAAAAAAAAAACCGGGGGGAAAAGTTTTAGTTGCGCGCCCACGAATCCTCAAAAAAATCCGTGTGGGCTCCGAAAGATCTAATGCTTTTTGTGAAGCACTCTTTCTCTCTGGCTTTCTTGTGCACAAGAGGCTGCGCAGTGGTGAATTGGAGTCGCGGTGTTTAGAGTCGGATTTGCTCCTTTGTTTGCTGGTCAGCCTCTGCATTCCGGCGGCGTTTTCTCGCAGATCATCTTCATTTCCAGGGTGAAAAGGCACCAGAGAGTGACATGTTTATTGATTGGAGTGATCGCGGGGGCAACGCAGGGCAGCATTTCACTGATCATCGACACATGATCGCTCGGTGGATTCCGCGAGAAAGCCATCGCTGTGATTAGCATTCCTCTTGCGGGTCAGGATGGCTGTCAATTGCGGTGGAATGCGCGGTATGTGCACGAGTATCATTAAGTACAGTTGAAACGGTCGTGCTGTTTGAATTTTCGAAGGTGATCGCTAAGCTAATTTTCAGCGCTATGGAAAACTCTGACCGGGCAAAAATGCAATCAATCATCTCGCTCTGGGGCTCTGGCGTCCATCAAAAGCGCCGCAGCATCCAATCTTGCGCTCATGACACCTCCGGAGAGCGCGAAGGAGGTTTCTGAAATGGATGGGTGAATGATGAGTTTTTCTCCCGCGCGAGTTCCTGAATCTATTAAAACTTTTAATTGTTCCTCTGCATCTCTTGACCAGCGATCGATTCGGCGGCCAGAATCCCGTGATAGATGACCATATGGTCGTGGAGAGTGAGAGAGAGAGGGGGATCTTCCCAGCATCTTCATTTATCATCATTGTATCTTCGCACGGAATTATTTGATTTTTTATCTCCACTTCGTTTACATATTTGGTCATCTTTTCTCTCGCTGGGCTTCGCAAGGCCAACAAAGAGCGCCCCTCGCGATGGAATTCTATTCTGGCGGATCATCGTGAGGAATCACGACTTGAGATGATGAGGAAAAAATGACTCTTCGAGTGGGGCTTAATTTTACAAACACGCGCGTTCCAATATCGCTGTCACTGTAAGTGTTAATGAGTGAGATATTAAGCACCGCGATCGTGGCCACATGGACAAAACGCGTCATTACAAATGGACCCAGAGATGGCGACAAGAATAAGAATCGTGCGCCATCGAGAGATGGGGAAAATGTCTATTTGTTGTTTGGCTTTTTGTCGAGCAGCCGCAATGTGTGACAATGTAATATGACGGCGAGATAAGGCGAAGCCCTACGAATCTCCGCTCACCTCAATTTGAATCCCGCAAGCCAAGGCGGAGATATTGTGGTCAGAAATGGTGTACAACTGGCGGGAGAGAGCGCATTTCTTCTGGGAAGTCGAGAAAATGCTGAAAAAGAGCTAAGAATTTTGCATTTTCACATTGTGGAAGTCATGCGAAATCGTGTACAGAACCAAACCATATAATTATCTCTTCCTTGATCGTAACAAATGATCGCGTTTATTCGACCAAGCGTTCCGAAAGTCTTCGCTTTACATCAAGCTAGACCCGCAGAAGAGCTCTTCTGTGCCTTTTCAAGTGATCTCCGTGTCTCAAGTTGAGGTTTCTCGTGCTGTGGCTGAAAAATTTTGTCGCAACAATTGAAGCACGTACCATTTTTGAGATAAATAAGACGTTTGCGTATATTTGTTCACCGTTTCTCACTCTCTGTCTCACTTCATCTACTTAAGCCGCTCTGGAGACAATTTAATGGAGTTTTTCAGGTTCACTGAACCCTCCTTCAAAAGCAAATGCTTCCATGTCTTCTGTCTAAGATTCTTTTTTCTCCTCTCTGGATGCCCGAAAACACGGCTTCACAGACACTTTTCCAGTGATGTTTGTCCAATTAATTAAATGTAAAATATCGTAATGGTCATGCACCCAAATTTGACTGATCATTCTTCACTGTGCGCGAGATCGAAATGATCATCTGGATGGGGCCAATTAAATAAAATTACATGGAAATCTTGGAGTTTCTCGATCGTGAACAAAATGCGACAAATTGCCGAGATCAATTCCCCGGAAGATACGCGAGATCGTATTTCTCTCCGGACATCCGATTCACATTCACAGTCCGCATTCTCACAGCAAGAAAACATCATTAGCATTTTCTCTGCCTTTCCTCACTGCGCGCACACGGTGATCTTCGAGCCAAATCGCACCCACGCAAAATCGATGACTCGCCGAGGGTTTCGCGTGATCGCATGGACAAATATTTCTGTATTTTTAGCGTGGTATTTGCATAAAAGTGACAAGACTTTATATTTAGACACTTTCCTAAGCGCGCTCAAATTGACTGTTTGATTGTCGATGTGAAATCAATCAAGTGCGCGGCAAATTTGGACAGGATCAGCGGCAAATCCGCCAAACAGGATTACTTGTTGGTAAAAATAGCACATAAATTGCGATCATGACCAATTTAGGACTGCTCGATCGGGACTTTTTATCCTATTCGCCTGAGAGCGTCTCTAGAGTGGTCAGAAAATCGCTGGAATACCTTCAATCTCGCACATGGAAATAACCATAAACAATACAATCGTGCACAATCGCGAATTGTTTCATTGGAGGGCTTCTTTGGTCGCCGAAGAATGCGTTGTGGTATGCAAAGAGAGAAAAGTCACCCGGCGAGAGCCGCACAGCGACCAATTTATAGGCATTAATACGGAATTAACAGAGCCAGAGAGAATTCAGAAAACCCACCGCGCAAGAGAGAGGATCTCATTATTGATGTTTGAAGCCATCGAAAGACTGTCGAGAATGTGAATCTGTGTGGCATTCAGAGTCGCGCGGGAAGAGCGGCAAGGCGGGGGGAAAACAGTGGGATTCTGATTTGAGATTAAAAGAGTCTCTCGAGAGAGAATTAAATTTCTTCTGAATATATTAATTCTTTGGATGGAAAAAATGGATTTTTATTTCTTCACGGGCATTCAAATTTATCTTGTGAGATTTATTGCTCATAACGAATTACTCTTTTTTGCTCCACAAAGTCTCACAAAGCTAATTCCCTGTCTTCTCTCTCTCTCTCTTTCCAGTTTGCATCGGAACCAATGGACGAATGTCTGTGCCTTCGAATCGCGACCATCACTATCGGAATCTGCGCGATCGCTTCACCAATTGCACATATGTGGACGGGAATCTGGAGCTGACATGGCTGCAGGACACGAAGCTGGACTTGAGCTTCCTGCAGCACATCCGCGAGGTCACGGGATACGTTCTCATCAGCCATGTGGACATCCAGCAGATCGTGCTGCCCAGGTAAGCGCGCGCTCTGACATCAGCAGCGGTTCATGAGAACGCGCGAAAGCTGCAAAAAGCTCCAGTGATTCACACGTAGTGAGATAATTGACTGGCAAATGTGCTAATTGGGTCTCAACAGATTACCATCTCATGAGGTTAATCACGAAAAGTTTCCACGAAATTGCCTACTCAAGACGCCTATCGAGGAGAGGAAGTTTTCGACTTTAACGATGTGGTTTCGCGACGAGAGCCATAACTTTTCCATCTCACGAGACTCTTTGAGATTGAGCATCTTTTGACGCCAAGTCTTTGGTTAATTCTCAAGACAAATTCATAATTCATACTTCAGAGCTCAAGCGTTCAAAGCCATTAAAGAAAATCTGGGGAAAATAGAGAACAGTTAATGTGAAGATCGCTTGATTTGAAAGCAAAACGGTTTCCTAGACGCTCTGAAGTTTGATTTTACAAAAGCACAAAAGCCTGAAGTCTTCGATAAGCTCTCGACTGCGAATAACTGAGCTTCAAAGTGTCCTTTTCAAAGTCATTCTCAATCTCATGCTCATGACCTCCTTTCTTTCCTCTCTCTCATTGCAGACTGCAGATCATTCGCGGTCGGACGCTGTTCAAGCTCAACATCTCTGACCAGGAGTTCGGCCTGTTCGTGACGTACTCGCAGATGCACACGCTGGAAATGCCGGCGCTGCGCGACATCCTGTCGGGCTCCGTGGGCATCTTCAACAACTACAACCTCTGCCACATGCGCACGATCGAGTGGGAGGAGATCATCAGCGGCCAGAACGCCTCGATGCACTACATGTACAACTTCACGTCGCCGGAGCGCCAATGCGCACCCTGCCATCCCTCGTGCCAGGCGGGCTGCTGGGGCGAAGGCCCGCACAACTGCCAGCAGTTCAGCAAGACGACGTGCTCGCCGCAGTGCGCGCAGGGCCGCTGCTTCGGGCCGAAGCCGCGCGAGTGCTGCCACTTGTTCTGCGCCGGCGGCTGCACGGGTCCCACGCAGAAGGACTGCCTGGCGTGCAGGAACTTCTACGACGACGGCGTGTGCAAGCAGGAGTGTCCGCCCATGCAGAAGTACAACCCCACGAACTACCTGTGGGAGCCCAATCCAGATGGCAAGTACGCCTACGGCGCCACATGCGTGCGCAACTGCCCCGAACACCTGCTCAAGGACAACGGCGCGTGCGTGCGCACGTGTCCGCCCAACAAGATGGCCAAGAACGGCGAGTGTGTGCCGTGCAACGGCGCCTGTCCCAAGACGTGTCCCGGCCAGGGAATCGTGCACTCCGGCAATATCGACTCCTTCAGGGGCTGCACGGTGATCGAGGGCTCGCTGGAGATCCTGGAGCAGACGTTCAACGGGTATCAGCACGTATTCTCCAACTTCTCCTTCGGACCGCGCTTCATCAGACTCCATCCGGACAGACTGGAGGTGTTCTCCACGCTCAAGGAAGTCACGGGATACATCAACATCCAGGCGGATCACGAGCACTTCACGAATCTCTCCTACTTCCGCAATCTCGAAGTCATTGGCGGACGACAGCTCATGGAGAACTACTTCGCATCGCTCTACATAGTCAAGGTTTGTGTGTTTTTCCTCACGCTTTCCTAGCTTTCAGCCTCACTAACTTTGTGTACTTTGCAGACTTCGCTGAAGTCTCTCGAACTGCAGTCACTGAAGAGAATCAACTCAGGAGCGGTGGTGATCCTGGAGAACAAAAATCTCTGCTTCGCCGACGACATTGAGTGGAACAAGATAAAGAAGTCAGTGGATCACGCGTTCGTCGTGAGTGCCAACAGGAATAAGACTGAATGTGGTGAGTGGAAATTAATACAATCTTCGCATATTAATAATTTTCCTAAATTTATTGATTCTCACCATAAAAGGTGGGCAATATTGAGGCCAATAAAAGCTAATTCTGTTTAATGCATCGCGCATTTTATAGTCTCCACCACAATAACTTCTTGTGCTGTTTGAATTTTATTGGCAAATTGAGTTTAATTACAGTGGAAAAATCATTGCTCCTAAATTGACCATTTAGTTTAGTTGAAAAAGCAAAAATCCATTTGAGAGCATATAATAAAGAAATGAGGAAATCTATTAGCATTTTATGCCATTGAGTAAGCTTGGCATTTTATTGTGTTTTCCACGCAGAAATCGAGGGTCAAGTCTGCTCGGATCAGTGCACAATGCTCGGCTGCTGGGGCGCCGGACCCAATCAGTGCCTCGAGTGCCGAACCTACAAGTACAACGACACTTGCCTGGCCTCGTGCAAGAGTCTTCCAGGGTGAGTTCACGCGCCGAAAGATTTGCCAAAAGATCGACGCTTTACGCTGCTTTTCTCTCGCAGGATCTACGAAGTCAATCACACGACGTGCGGCACTTGCCATGCCGAATGCAAGAACTCCTGCCGCGGCGCCGGCGCGGACAATTGCTCGGCGTGCGTGAATGTGCGCGACGGCAACTTCTGCGTGGCCAAGTGTCCGGAGTCCAAGTACAACGCCGGCGGAGTGTGCAAGCCGTGTCACGACACCTGCATCGGCTGCACGGGTCCCGAGAACACGATCAACGCCAACGGCTGCAAGACTTGCCACAAGGCCATCATCAACGGAGACGCCACGATTGAGCGCTGCTTAGGACGCAACGATTCGTGCCCTGGTGAGTCCCTGGAAATGAACATCATCATTTCGATCGATGGGAGCAAATTCAGTCAGGTTTTTAGAACGATTTTAAGCCATTTTGAGACAAAACGCATAAGAATATTAACTGGAAACCAGAGAGAATCTCCTGAATAAGGCTCATAAATTCTTCTAATTACCACAAATAGCTTCAGAAGTTTTTTAAAATCCATCAAAGTTCCTGTTAAAGAGCTTTTAGGAGATCTTGAACGCTAAAGCTTATCATTGTTTAGTATTTTTCACAGTAATTTCTTGCTATGTAAGACTTACGAAGACCTGAAGACCCTCTTCGGGCGCCTTTAGAGTCTCGACTGATTGTCTTTCCTTCCGCAGAGGGCTACTATTCCGAGTGGGTGATGTCGCAGGAGCAGGGCGCGCTGCGTCTGCTCGCCAACAAGCCGATCTGCCGCCGCTGCCATCCGCGCTGCAAGAAGTGCTCGGGCTACGGCTTCCACGAGCACGTGTGCCAGGAGTGTGCCGGCTACAAGCGCGGCGAGCAGTGCGAGGACGAGTGCCCGACGGACCACTTCGTGGACGAGGCCACGCGCGAGTGCTTCCCGTGCCACCTGGAGTGCCGCGGCTGCAACGGACCGACGGAGGCGCACTGCACGGACTGCCGCAACTACAAGCTCTTCGGCGGCGGCGACCCGGCCAACAACGCCAGCGCCTTCAACTGCACCGCCGCGTGTCCCAGCGACTATCCCTACCAGATGTTCGACTTCGGGCCGTACTGTTCGGCCAGCAACGTCTACCAGCTGTCGGAGGACGAGTTCGTGAAGAAGGTGCTCTCGTTCGTGGGCATCGTTGTGCTGGTGAGTAAATCTCAGTCCGACTGCATCGTAATTGCTCGAAATGCCGGAGAAAGCGCTGGCAAATTGCTAGATATGAATTACATTACCGATATCTAATCAAATTGCGGTGGAAGATGAAACCATTCTTTCTGGCGTGCCAATCTCTTGACTCATTGTTCGCTCTGCCGGACAGATGGGGAGAATTCCTGGGATTCTCAATCACGCAGAAATCAATCGAGGCTTCTTTGCCAATCGGCCTCGATCTCGCATTGCCGCAACATGCAATTTTCCGCATTTTTTGCATAGCTCAGCGAATGATTGCGCAAAAGCGCGATCTCCAGCGGAATGCTGTGACTTATCAATTGCTTATCTCCCTCCACAGGCCATCGTGGCGCTGATCACGGTGACGATCGTGTGGCGGTGCTGCCAGAAGCAGAAGGAGAAGGAGGAGACGATGAAGATGACGATCATGCTGACCGGCTGCGACGACAGCGAGCCGCTGCGGCCGTCCAACGTGGGCCCCAATCTCGCCAAGCTGCGCATCGTGAAGGAGGCGGAGCTGCAGATTGGGCCGCTGCTGGGCATGGGCGCCTTCGGGCGCGTGCACAAGAGCATGTGGTATCCGGAGAACGAGAACGTGAAGATCCCCGTGGCCGTGAAGGTGATGACGGACATTTCGGGCTCGCAGGGCAGCAAGGAGTTCCTCGACGAGGCGTACATCATGGCGTCCGTGGAGCACCCGAACCTGCTGCGTCTGCTGGCCGTGTCCATGGCGTCGGAGATGATGCTCGTGACGCAGCTGATGGGCTACGGCTGTCTGCTGGACTTCGTGCGCAACCACAAGGGCAAGATCACGTCCAAGGCGCTGCTCAACTGGTCCACGCAGATTGCCAGAGGCATGGCGTACCTGGAGGAGCGCAATATCGTGCATCGAGACCTCGCGGCGCGCAACGTGCTCGTGCACTCGCCGGCGTGCGTGAAGATCACTGACTTCGGCCTGGCGAAGCTGCTGGAAGTCGGCACGGATGAGTACAAGGCGTCGGGCGGCAAGATGCCCATCAAGTGGCTGGCGCTGGAGTGCATCCGGAACAGGGTGTTCACGAGCAAGAGCGACGTGTGGGCGTTCGGAGTCACGATCTGGGAGCTGCTGACCTTCGGAGCGCGTCCTTACGAGGAGTACTCAGCCAAAGAGGTAAGTTGCCTCGCAATAAACCAGAGATTTTCTGCAATTCTTTCATTACCACAGAGGAAATTAGTTAACTTCTCAAGTTTCTGGAAGCTTCAAGTCTTTATAATATCTATAAAGATCCATTTGAATCAAATTTTGGACTGAAAACAGCGTCAAGAAACTTTTAGTGATCATGTCAATCTGTGGTCGTTTCAGGTGCCTGACGCTATCGAGGAGGGCTACCGACTGAAGCAGCCCGACCACTGCTCCCTGGACATCTACGTGACGCTGCTGCAGTGCTGGGACGTGAACGCCGAGGCGCGTCCGCACTTCAAGGATCTCGTGGAGAACTTCGCCAGCAAGGCGCAGGATCCGGGGCGATATCTCAGCATTGACGGCGACAAGTTCATGCGCCTGCCGTCGTACACGAGCCAGGACGAGCGCAACTTCTTCCGCACGCTGGCGCCCGCTCTGGACGGCCCGGAGCCCATCATGGAGGCCGACGAGTACCTGCAGCCCAAGGCGCGGCCCTCGGTGCTCTTCCCCACGGTGGAGCCGGCCGAGGAGGCGCCGTCGACGCTGCGCTACTGCGGCAAGCCGCCCAAGGGCTCGTCCGGCGACGACGAGACGGACTCGCACACGCGCGAGGTGGGCGTGGGCAATCTGCGCCTGGACCTGCCGCTGGACGAGGACGACTACCTGATGCCCACGTGCCAGAGCGGCGCCGCGGCGGCGCCCGGCTACATGGATCTCATCAACGTGCCGCCCAGCAGCGTGGACAATCCCGAGTATCTCATGGGCGCCGCTGCGGCGGCGGCCGCCGGCACGCCGCCCGCCAGCGCGCCGGCGCCCACGCAGACCATCGGCATCCCCGTGGCGCCGGCCGAGGGCGAGGCCGCCTCGGACCACGAGTACTACAACGACCTGCAGCGCGAACTGCAGCCGCTGCACCGGAACGAGACGACAGTGTGAGCTGCAATCTCAAGTGCCTTTCAACCCAAGTGCCTGCCTCGCAGCCCGCCGCGTGCGGCTGCACCCGGAATGACATTCTTAACTAGTACTTAAGGCCTTAAGAAACTACAAGTTAATAATTTATTTCGTAGTCGAGAAGCAATTCCGTCGCCCTGGCCGAAGGATGTTCTGAACAAAGAAGCGCGCGCGCGCCGCACTCGCAGCCACGGGCGAACGCGTGAGAATTTGCTCAAAATTATATACATATTATCGTTTAAGGTGGAAAAAAAATGTCTTGCAACACAAAAAGGAAGGAAAAACGTTTAGTTCAAATGTATTTTAACTACTTCTAACAGTTTTATTAATGTTTTTTTTTAATTAAAAGAAAAGAAATCTATTCTATGCAATGTGTAAGCAGCTATTTTTACAAGACAGTTCATTTTTTAATACTTAGAGCCACTTACGTAGGAAATCTGTCTGTGATATAAGTGTAAAGAGAAAATTATGAGTAATTTAATACTATTTTTTGCCTCCCTGATTTACTTGTAAAGCATATTGTAGTTTCGTAGAAATGGTTCGATAATCTTACTACTTCTTACTTACAAGAACGCGTGATCTTGTGCACGTCGAGCGATCTCATCGGCTAAGATTGTGCACGGGAAGCATTTAGGTGAATGAATGGAATCAAACATATACTTTTTTTTTAATCAATGCAACGAAGAGAAATTCAAACTCTCACAATCAATCAACCTTTTACTTGCCTTTTGTATCACAATAACACGAAAAAACGAGAAAAAAACCGATCATCCATGGAAAAGATAAACATTGTTTTGTGAGACACTTCAGATTTGTACATAATTCTTTCACAATAGATGACAAAAAAAAGTTGATATGCAAAAAATGTGTTATGAGAGAATAATACTGTGCCATTTGACGATGATGATTTTTTAAATGATAGATTGTACATTATTTTACTTGTCTCTAAAATGCGAACTGAAGATGTGAGAAAAGATTCTCAGCGAACGCTGAGAAGGATATCGTGAGCGATGTTAGAGAAAAATGGCACATTTTTACTGATTTAAACTTATCTAAATGGTGTAAAAATATATAGTGATAATAAATTAAAAAAATAAATGAACTCATGTTTTATTCAGAACGAATCAGCAATATTTCACAGCATCAACAGTTCCTCTGGCATCATTCCATCAGCAAAGGAGAAGGACGAAAGGAGCCTAGAAAGGCGTCTTCTTGGCCTTGTGCACTGCAACACTTACCTTCACCCTTTATTACTTCTCTCTGTGATCACCACAAGAATGATAAAAAGACCGATTTTCTCCTCTCAACAAGTGCTTTATTTCTACTCTTGACTTATTCTAAACAATGGATTTATCATAGGGCGCTTATATGCTCATTCAGCATATAGAACAAATCGCGCCACTTCTTTTCTCAGCGCTGTTCTTTTTCCATCGCGTCTTGCGCGTGTTTATTATGCCAACTCAGCTTCTGGCCAGATAAAACTTTAGCGCATTTTACGCATCTTACTCTAAACATTTTCTTTGTTTCTTCATTTCTTATCTCATTATATTGCTATTGAAAAGTCTCTCAATAGGCTTCAAGAGAGTCAATTTCTTGGAGGAAAGTTGTCTTTCTGTTTTTTTTTCCCAAGAACTAATTTAATTACAATTCGAGTGACAAAATTGTCTCGCTCGTTCATTTTTACGATCTTTGCGTTTAGCTTCACATTTGTTGAGCATTTTACGCAGCGAATGTTCATCTTACTCTGTTGTAGATGGATTTCTTTCTTTTTCCCCTATTTATCTTAATTAAATCAACAAGGATACTCTTTGAATCGCATCTTTCTTATTGTCAGGAAATATCGAGCTAAGTTAAGTATGAATTTTTCAATTTCTAACAATTTCTATGCTATTCTCAGCATTCTTTTACAGTTAATATGTTGATAGTTGTGACATGCAGTGTATTTTCATATCAACTGCTCACCATGAAGACATAAGAAATCGCACCGAGAAGTGCACTAATGGAATAAATACATTGTATCAAATAATATAAAAATCTAAATGAATAGATTGAATGCTAAAATTGACTGAAGGTAAACTTCATATTAATTCTCACATGATTTCCATGTTCAATCATTGAAAATTGTCAATCTTTCGATGGCTCAAGTTGTGGACTGTTTTTAGCTATAAACTTGTTGCAAAACGCTTTGCAACTCGCTTTCTTTCTATTTTTCCTTTCCAAATTCCTCATTTATTATGGTGAGTCAAATTATTTCGATTCCTATTTATTATTGTCATATTAGCGTAATTCCGCCCGTCAAAAACAAAGAATTGGCACATTTGGAACACCAAAATACAATAAGAAGTAATGTATTGAACCAAATGTACTTTATTTTAATATAAAGCACGTAACAAATCTTCCCACAGATCGAGAGCATTAGATGCACTCCGTTTAGATATTAAGCTCGTATCAATAGAATAATTCCCAAGCCAAGCATTATGTAAACCCCAATTTCTGTAAGAGCAACAGAGAATAAAACGAGCCTTCTGTTCCGGACCGAAACATTAAAGCATTGTGATCTCAAAAGATACAATCACAATGCTGTAATTTTAGGATAAGAATATCTATCCTAGGAAATTAATTGGTTATGAAATCAAGAAATTCCATTACCACAATTCGAATTCATGTCACTTGACTTAATTTGACTTAAAGCACATCAATGAGGCAAATACTCATATTTTTATACAATATGCTACCGTCAATGAATGCAGGGTATTGAACAGCAGAACAAAGTGTTTGTTCTGCGAAGCCTGAGAAAAAGCAGCAACTGATCCAGCATCAGCAGACAGAGGACTAAGACAGAACCAACACCAGCAGAAGCCAGCTAAGCAGAGCGATTAAGGAGTTGTGATGGTTGATGGGTTAAAACCGGATGCTGACAAAGCAAGTGCATTGACGTACGCTGTGACGCACGTAAAAGAAATGCAATGTAAGGTTCCCACGAGCCATTGCACGGCTTCTCCAAATTATTGGAGACAGTTGAAGAAATGATTTAGTCAATAAACTGATCGCAAACGAACACATCGTCTTTGTATTCGATCGGGACATCACATGGCGATCCTGCCACTCAAACCGAAGTGATCTTCAAAGTTATGGACTTAGTGCAAAGTGTGCGAAAAACAGAGGAAAAAAAAAGAAAATGGATAAATGAATACTAAAATATAGTTCCTACATCGATAAATCGGCACCATGGGAAAACCGCAGAGTAAAGAAGAAGTTATCATAGCCCAAAACGGAGGTGGAAATACCAATGATATCCAGCAAGGACATAGAGGAGTAACTCTAACCGAACTCGCGCTTGTCATCTTGATTGTTATCCTAGCACTGATGATTGTGGGATACGTAACGCACCGAGTGCGCCGCTTCTTGAGAGATATAATGCAAGAAGAGTTATCTCGCCGCCGCAACGAAGCTGTACCAATACAGCTCTAAAATACGAGGATAACACTGTGTAACCAGTTGGACTCTACGCAAATCCCAGCACAGTTGCCGAGATCAGCATTCTCACCAGCGGCGGATTCGACGGCAGCCAAAAGTGAGAAATCACCGAACGTCTCAAAGCCTAGAATCAAGTACTCTTGATCCACAGCTCATTCGGCTCCCGCCGAAAAATTAGTTCAGTTGTCTTTTCGCATTGTGCAGAGAATCAGCCGCCTGGCCGTGCATAATAGCCCGATTCTGGGTGATGCAGTAACTGCAACTTTGTGTTTTTTAAGACTTCTTCAACATCTCAATTTCTCGCTTTCAGCCCATAAAGCTAATAAATCACATTGTTGTAACGGCATTTGCATTAGGAGATGTTCTTGTGGAACAAATTAAATAAAAGAAATATTTTATAAATGTGTCACCAAATTGCAGAAGTGCAATTTGTACATTCACATTAATAAAAAGTAAATTAATAATTAAAGCCAGTCTGGATTTGGCTGTAAAGTAGAGAACATGGGAATAAATGGTTCCTCTTTACTGATGCCGTGACTGACGTAAAATTGTGCCACAAATTTAGGAATACAACTGTTACCGTGCTTCGCACCTTTCCTAAGGATAGAAGGACTGTTGTGACACAATTATAATATAAGAATATTCAGTAGAAATTTAGCAATTGTTCAGGATTACTCAGAATAACACCTTGACAATTTCATGCTGACGACCCAATTGTGCAATTCGGCAGTGCCCGCGAATATTATAAGTTGACAAATTCCGCCCCTCTAAAGTGCACCCGGAAAATTAATCAATTGGGCCGTCCTAAATTCTACTGTATAAATTAAGACAACTTGCAGTGAATAAACCAATCATTGTTCAGCAGTCAATTCTCAGTCTCGATCAAAAGTGAATTTATACTTCAGAGATGTTCAGGAAGAACATTCTTAGACAACGCCCAAAACATTGTCTTGGGCAACGCGGCAGTCACATTAAAATAGTAACCCAATTATTGTCAGCACTTTTGTAATGAGAGCGACCTAAATTTGAAATAAGTCGCGAATAGGGGGAAACTAATAATATGCTAAGATTTACCAGCAAATAACAAAAATTCCCTTTATAAGACGGGTGTAGACACTGAATAAATCAGATAGCAATTAGCAGTCAAGTAAATTGTTTTCTTACTGTGACCATCACCACCCCTGAGGAAAACCACTCCGAGAGGCTCCACACCGAAGCAGCCATCGAGATTTCATCAGTAAAGTGGAAAAACGCTGTCTCACGAACGACTGAATCGCCAAGTAACTCCAAGTCAGTGAAACAAGGCTGATCAGTTCCCAAGAGCCATCTCAAAACCAGAGATTACGGCTCCTGGACAGTGACTGCGAAAGTTTCTTCTTCTTCGTCTCACGCCGAGTCCACTGAGGGCATTTCTGCCTCAAGCTCTGTAGATTTGATCAAAGGCGGAGGGAAATCTTACTAGAGATCCCTGAAGAGAAACAGCAAACTCCGCGCACTGTCGCCAAAGAGTAGGGGAATAATCTGACGAGATTTTAGATTATTCTCCCCCTCTATGTGGGTTCCAGTACAACCCTTTGGCTGGAAATTACAAGAGAGCATAAATAAATCATTTCGCTAGAAGACACTGACGAGTGTAAAATACCAACGATACAATCCACTTACAGCATCACCCCAACTTTAAAGACACCCCATCATTGGTTTTTTCACCAAGTGTAAGATCCAAATACAGACCACACCTAGAGCCATTGAAGGATTGACAGACGATTATTCTTTTCAGTAAAAAAAAAAATAAATTCACTCGAAAACACGGTGAAAGTACAACATTTTCACACTTTTGTGCAAGGAATTAGAATTAGTACTGCGTAATCTCTCAAGTAAATTCTAATCTAAACAATTTTTAACTTATTTTGGATTAAGTTCAACTATTTGGCGTACGAATGTTAAACTAGGTAAAAAATAGGGTTTCAATTTTGAACTTACATCTAACCCATCTAAGATTCATTTGTGATAAGTACCACAATACTTCAACCGGAACAAAAATATCTTAATAGAGAAAGAATAACTCTTAAACAAGCTTTTAATGCATTAACTTGTGAAATTATCCTGTCTCGGTTCTGTTTATAGGAATAAATTTAAATGAAACATACTCGTTGAGGAGCAAACAACTCATCTGCATCTTCCTGTAGTTGATCTGCGCGCCGAGTTCCATCAGCAAGTCCATCTCTATGGAGCCATCGAGTCCTGGGTCACCAATGGAGTCCTCTGTTGTGGCGAAATCGTGCAATATTCCGTGGTCTCGAATCTCCACCCAATTAAGCAAAATGTTTCAGCAAAATGGCAGGGATTTTTTCAAAAACACACTATATTCCCTTCATTTCTTTGCAGTGTCCACAGGGTTCTGCGATGCACGAGCGAAATTCGCTCTGAGTGGATCACAAATCGTCTCTGTTTGAATTCACCGACGTGACAAAGTATCGCTGCCTTGTGGATTCAGACGGGGTACAAGTGTGAAAAACACTGCACTTTACTGAATCACTATCTCAGAGGTCTCTAAGAAGACTTGAGAAGACGTTGGCTCCACTGAAGAAACTGAAAATTATTGTCACCCGTCGCGGGTTATGAGAGATTGATTTCCACTTCTCCCGAAGGAAGAAGTGGAAGAAAGAAGAGTGGGAGAGAGAAACTCTCCGCCCTAATATTAGGGTCAGCAATTTTTGTACTTCGCTTATGCCATTCGCTTTTTCTACGCGTTGGCTTATTTATTTATTTAAGTTCACTCGAGAAATTTCCATAGAATATCTACAAAAGATTATTGAGCTTTGTAAGCGTATAAATTTGTCGACTTGGCGTTTCGCTTCACATTTTGTGCCACAAAAGCAACGTCAATGTTTCCCACTCATTTCGTGTTTCGCTTCGCATTGACACTGAATTTCACGCATGTTTCACACGGAATCGTGTTTCATTGACGTTTCGAGCGCATTTCCCCGTCCACCACCGAGGAAGGAAAGTGCATTTTCCGCTGCGCCCCAATGGAAAAGTCACCGCAAATATGCTCAGTTCATTTTATTCACTCTGCAACATATTTACACAAGTAGTAAAGATTTCACTTTCATATATCACAATCAAGATTAACGCGTCAACATACGAAAGGGCAAAGGGAACTCATTCAACGTCTCGTACAGTCGTGTAAAAAAACTCCGTCCTAGGGATGGACTTAAGGTAAAAAAAAAACTAAAAGAGCTGTTTTGCTGGTGGTTGAGAAATTGCAGGTAAGAACGTAAAGGAGCGAGTCACTCTCCGGGAACACTTTCTGGTTGGGTTGGCTGTGTGCGGAAGTCTGTTGCGCTGATGGGTTAAATGAGTGAGAAGGACTTCTTGCCGTGGCCGCCGCGCCGCCGCTCGCGGAAGCTGAGGAACTCACGCCGCGTGGCACTGCTGCGCACCTCCAGGATGTTGCGGATCTTCTCCACGATCTCCTGCGCCGTGTCGGGGTCCGTCTCGAAGTTGTAGTGCTTGAAGGTGGACGCGCCGCCGCCCGGCGACGCCGCAGCGCCGAACTCGCTGAAGGACAGCGGCGCCTCGTCGGCGCCCGGCCGCGGCACGCGGTACACGATGCGGAAGATCGCGCGATAGGGCTTGCGCTCCACGATCTCGCACAGCGCCACGCTGTTCATGGCGTGGCTGATGGCGCGCTGCTTCGTCCAGAACTTGGTGTTCTTCTGCTGCACCGGATCGATCTCCACCTTCTCGCCACTGATGCCCAGCTGGATCTCGGTGCGGAAGAAGGGCACCTGCAGCATGTGCAGCCGGTAGGAGCGGTACATGGGCGCCTCCATCATCGTGGTGTGGCCCAGCATGCGAGCCATGTCCTCGCTCTGCTGCGCGCTGGTCGCCTTAGGCTCCTCGGGCGGCGCGCCGGCGGCGTCCACCTCCGACGTCACGGACATGGTGCGCTGCTCCGCGCGCGCGGCGCGCCGCTCGATCAGCGCCAGGTGGCTGAAGCAGAACTTGGAGCAGGGCTCGCGGCCGTCCAGCGGCGGGAAGTCCGAGTCCACCTCGCCGTCCTCCTCCGTGATGTACAGCCCGTAGTTGCGCACGGACTTGAGCGCCACGTCCGGGTTGGCGATGGAGCACTTGTAGCAGATCAGGCCGATGAACTCGTGGATCTTGGCAGTGGACAGCACGCAGACCTGCAAGGCAAGGGCGCCCGGTGAGTCCCGCGTGCGCACAGCGGCGCGCAAAGACGCAAAAGACGTGTCCCACTGACCTGGATTGGGTAATTGCGCTGTTTCTCCGGCAGCATCATGAGGAAAATCTTGAGGGTGCGCGTGGACACCCCCGTCTGGGCAGTGCCGTCGAATCGCGCGTATTCGAGGAATTTGTTCTGAGTCTGCTTGGGGCAGTGCAGCAGCTTGGCGCTGAGCAGCGACGCCACGGGCCGCGCCGGCTGCACGTCCCGCCGCACGAACAGCGCCTCGCGGTCGGCGTCCGAGAGGCTCACCAGGCCGTCGTCGCACTTCACGTGGCGGATCTTGGACGCCTTGCGGCGCGCCAGCTCCATCCGCTCGAGATTCTGGGCTGTGTTGGTGCGCTGCCAGTGCAGCCCGATGTCCGTGTCGGCGTGAATGTCGTACGACTGCGACAGCAGGTCCCCGTCCTCGTCGTCGCTCTGGTCCAGGCCCGGGTAGCACACGAAGTCCTGGCCCTCCTCCAGCCCGTTCTGCCCCGCTTCCGGGCGCCTCGAGTGCACCTGGGCGTACTGGCTGGGCAGGTCCTCGCTCACCATCACCGCCTCGCACATGCCCGTGTCATCCGTGGAGATGAAGGAGTTCCTGATGTGACACAGAAGCCAGTGGGGATTGTTGTATGTGGCCATTGGGGATTTCACGCGAGATAAACAAGAACCCGTGCGTGTTTGCACTCGCTCGCTGTCAACTCTGACACCGCCGTGCTCGCCGCTATGCACCGCCGCGCGGCGCTGCACGCCCCAGCAGCGCCTCGCCGGCGGGAACACGCGAACTCAGCAGTTTTTGTCGCGCAATGCTGATGAAAATACGTGTCAGAGATTCTCACGTAAATTTGATGAATTCTGTGGAAAATCCTGTGAAACCCCAGTGGAAAATACACTAGATTGAGTGAAAAACAGCTCCTAAACATGGATCTCACATCGGACGACATGTGTGGTGAGTATTTGTGCTGGAAAAGGGGCGGGTTTTCCCATCCATATGGCCTCTGTCTTTTGTCTGCAAATCATTCGCCAAAAATATGCCTATAATTGCGTGAAAATTGCGTCGGAACGGGATTTCTTTGTCTCACCACCGTCTTCAGATGTTCATGTGCAGATTGCTGCAGGAAATTGTGGAAATTGAGAGCGCAATGTGGTCTAAATTAGTGGGAGTTTCTCTGACATTGAGGGCTTTTCCTTTCCATTTCATCGACATTTCGTCATACATTCTGGAAGAGAGCATGATTAATCTTCCAATTAATCCCATCTTCCACGTCAGAAAACTCTCCAAAATGCGGTACAGAGAGGCATGGAAAAGTCATTGATTACATTAATGTGTTTCCCGCATTTTGTTATCTTATCAGACGACCTTCTGCCCAACTTCGATTTGGATGTGGATCTGCCCATGATTCTGGACGAAGTGGAGTCCACACTGATGAAGACGGAGCCCCTGGACTTCCCTCTCCTGCCAGAGACACAGCCATGCGACCAGGGCGGCTTCCAGTGGTCGCCGGAGACGCAACAATCCTTCCCGGACTTTGAGGACATTGACAAGCATCTGCACACGATAAATCCCTATGATTTCCTCAATGACGTGATTGTGGATCAGGAGATCAAGATAGAGACAGAGTCGAATCCCCGGAACACACCCTCGCCCAGCAGCAGTTCAGGGTTCTCCGACGTGAGCGACAGCGTGACGAATTCCGTGACAAATTATGGAAATTTAGCACAGAAAGTTCCCGACACGCCGCCCTATTCGCCCCCTTCGGACTGCACGGAGTCGCCAATGTCCTCGCCGAAGCCTATCTACCTGTCGCCCATGCAGGACATCAAGATCGTCCAGGGAACGCTGATTCCCATCACTGCCGTGCCGGTTTCGCTGGCGCAAAAGACATCAAATCCACCCCTCAAGACCATCAAGATCCAGCCGAAGCCCGTGTCGATCGCCGGCGGCGTTCTTAAGGCAGCCAACAACACGAAGAAGACCATCGTGCTGTCGCAGGAGGAATTTGGGGCGCTGATGCAGAAGGCCAAGACCACAACGGCCTCGGCGCTGCCACAGAAGCCCATAATTGTGCCCAAAACCTCCACGATGAAGCTTCAGCCGACGAAAGTGATGCCGCAGATAAAGACAGAACCTGTTTCCGCAGACTACGGGCCCAGCACGGGCATCTTCGCCCAAAGTGTGGACGAGAAGACGCTGAAGAAGCAGCAGCGCATGATAAAGAACCGAGAATCGGCGTGTCTGTCGCGCAAGAAGAAGAAGGAATATGTGACGTCTCTGGAGACGCGACTCAACGAGTTGGCAAATGAAAACGAGAGGCTGAAGCATGTAAGTTTTGAATAGCATTAAGAGACCCGAAAATACCGGCTTTTTGGGGGAAGGAAGAGAAGCAATCGAAAGTGACCAGAGAGAGAGAGATTGGGAACAGCGCGATTCCAGAGAAAAAAAAGTACAGATTTCTCGGCAGAAACTGTGTTGCATCATAATATTTATGCTTTGACCTTCTCACAAACACGAAAGATAGTCGTTCGTGTAATAAGCTGATGATTAGACAGGTTTCATTATTCTGGTTCTGATGTTTTTCTCTGCAATCAATAATACTCAACCCTCGTCAGAGTCGGAATCATTTTCAGGCTCTTCATATTTGGTTCTGTGTGATTTTGAGGCATTGAACGCAGGTATAATTATTGACTATTAAGTGCGTTGGTGCGTTTGAAAGTCATTCGACAGAAGTTTTCATTAAACGACCGTTGCCTTCTTTATGGGGTTTTTGGGGACGGAAAGCTAATTGTTCTCTTCCGGTTCAGTTCACGATAAGAAGTTCAATAAACCTGGTTTCTTTTACTTCAATTCTTTACTTACTCCAAAAATTTCTTTCTTTCGCCACACGCAATATCTATTTGCATTAAAAAGAAAAAAAAATGGAACTGGAAATGTTGAGATGTCTCGAGTTCGCCTGTGAATTTCCCAGTGCGATTCCGTATTATCTTGATGGGGAAATACGCCCCATTTCAGAAGCTTCGGAATCACTTGTTTGCTATCAACACTTGTGCTGATAACTGTTTTCTGTTTTCTGCAGGAGAACCACGAATTGAGGAAGCGATTGAGCGCCAATGAGTGCATAAAGTGTGCCAGCAACAAATTCCTCAAGGGAAGCTTCACAACACTGCCACGGAAGAACACAGCGATTCTTCTCGCGTGTCTATTTGTGGTGTCACTGAATTTCCTGCCTATGACGAAGTATTTGACGCTGAATGGGGCGTCGAAGGGCGGAGCGATTTCCGTGCCGGACACTTCGGCAGGGCGTCGACTTCTGTGGATGGACGATGAGCAGACGGAGGTGAAATTGGATCCGGACACTTCGCCGTCGCAGCCAAATCTCTATCCAAAGTGCCCCACGACGCAGCATGTGAATCAGACGGAGAGCATTCGCATCGCCAGCGAGCTGAGGCGGTGGATTGGCGAGCCGGACGACGAGAGGACAACGACGACAATTGAGGTGGAGAGCATTCCGGTGGACGACTCGTCGCTGGTGTATGTGCCGAAGAGGAGCAGGAGTGTGGCGCAGAAGAAGGTGAAGACCAGGAGGAAGTTGCGCGTGGCGGGAAAGGAGGAGACAGCGCTCGAGGGTGGGAATCAGGTGCAGGTGTTCAAGCCAAAGGAGCAGAGTGTGAAGTATGCGGAGCTCTTTGAGGAGATCAGACGGCGAGATGACACATTTTACGTCGTCTCTTTCCATGCTGATCATCTGATGCTGCCCGCGTTGGCGCATAACAAGACCAGGAGACCCAGAATGTCTCTCCTGTTGCCCGCTGTTGGCATCAATGGTGAGTGTTTCTCTTCTGCCTGAGAAAGAAAAACAGTGCGCCCCAATTTTCAATCTCTATCGACACTTTTCCATCTCACATGTCGCTTTTCCAGATTCCATCACGACAGACGCAATGACAATGATGCAAATTGATTGTGAAGTGGTTGACACGTCGCTGATAAGAGTGAGGCATAAATTAATTCCCGAGCACTTGCGCACGCCGACTCGATATCGCGGCAATTCATCGAACAGCAAGAGTCAAGCGAATCCGTGTGGCAAAGGTGATTTGCAGCAGAGCATCGGCGAGCGGGCGCTGCGAAAGCCGTTCTTCATCGCCGATCAGGCCGAGAAGATGACACAAGGCAGTCGCGAGCTGGAGTTCACGTGAGGATTTGGCGGAAATGGGTGGCGAAATAATGCAAATGGTGGTGGGAAATGAGATGAAAATTCAGTGAATTTGATATAATTTTTTCGGCATTTAGTCATGATTCATTTCAACGCAAATTCTTCAAATTGATTGCTTTACACTGTGTGTAGTATAATTTAATCGGGAAGTGCAAAGTCCGCGAGAGAAACTTGATACATAATTTATATATTCATATAATATCGATCACCTTGCATTAAAGATTCACGATCTCTGGCTGATCATCTGCAGATGATAATGTTGGAAGGAAACTATAATTGCGCATTGTAATTGTCAAATAGACAAGAGAGAAAAACATGTGGAGAAGATGATTGTTTTACTCCTGGAGAATTAATTTTTATTTTATTGACACCTCTAAAACTACACTTCAACATTTTTGTGTCTCTACAACAATCAATTGGACTCCTTTTACTAGCTAACTTTTACAGCTACAAGTTTCTTCTATGGCGCTCTGCTGGTATGAATTTATGCGGGATATTCTGCGAGTCACACTCTTGCATTGATTGAATTCATTTGTGCTGATTTGTCAGGCGAAGAACGCACCGTGGACGACAGGTGTGTGATTAAGCGGCGCAGCAGTGGCTCTCAAGCGGTTCCTCGAGTGCTTCTGCACAGATTCACGAGAAGTGTGTGCTTTTGAAGCTTTCCAATGAATCTAAGATTGTCATAATTTTGGTTTCCTCTTAGAAATCTCAATATTAATCGCTTGAAATATTCTAAAATGCATTAAAATTCACCGTCAAATTCGCTAAATATTCAATTTTAAAGTTTTGCTGTTAAACTAGCGCCACTAACGGTAATTGTGTGAATTGCCAATATTCAAAATAACAGAATTTCGTGAGAATCTTCGCAAGTTGAATGATTTTAACAGGAATTATGTGCCGATTTGAGCAAGACTCTTCGTATACTTTGTATCCTGATTTCTTGGCCAGTTTGAGAACCGCTGCTGTTCCTCATAATTAATTCATCTGTTGCAAATTGTGAGTCTCAGCCTCGCTGATCTCGCGATCGCCAGAGTGTGATCGTCCTATTTACAATTCCTATCACTTCCCGTGCCGCCGGGAAGGGCTTCAGTCACACACTTCAATGTGACACGCTTTGTCGGCCATCGCGTCCTCGTCCGCTGCCAAGTGGCTCGACGAGGCGGCCGAGAGGCGTGAGGAGTCGTCCAACGCGATGACGACGGGCTTTCCGGTGTAGCTGAAGCGCCTCTTCTTCTCCGGCTTCTTGAGCAGCTCCTCGATGGAGTACGGATTGCGCTTCTTCGCCGCGCTCGGCGTGCTCTTGGCGTCCTCGTGGTCCAGCGAGTCATCGCTCGTATCCTGGCTCTTGGGTTCCGCCGCGGGAGTGTCGAAGTGCAGCGCCGGCGAGATGGGGAGGCTGTTGAAGTGCGCGGCGTAGGGCAGGAATGCGTGCGGCGGCAGCTGATCACGGCTGCCCGTGGCGTAGAACAGGCCCGCCGTGTTCCAGATCCAGTGCTTGGGGAAGGGTGTGATGGCCTGGCTGGCGAAGGCGTGCACGGGCTCCGCCGGCGGCGAGGGCTGCGGACTGAGCTGGGGATCGAGCTTGGGTGACGTGGGCAGGGATTTGTGTGCCTCTGGCGGAGAGGGAGCCATCGGAGACGGCCTGAGCGGCGCTCTGGGCTGCGCTGGCGGCGGATGGTGTGTCAGAGGTCTCACCAGCGGTGCTCCCACGCCGAAGCGATACTGCGTGAGCGACAGTGGCGAGGATTGATCGCTCGAGGAGCCCGGCGACGAGGCGCCGTACATCGACTGGGCGGGACTCTTCTGCAAGTATCCCTGGCCTTCCCTCAGCATCTGATCTGCAAGACGCGAAAAGACTTCAGTTGGCAAATGAGTTGGAAATCGCCTCCATTTGCGTGCAGTTTTTGGCAAATGATTCAATTAATTGCCCGCCGCGGGTCTGAGCAAACAGCGTCGAAGCGCGCACTTGCATAATTGATTGCCAGCGCCGAGAGGCAGGAAAAAATCCACCGCCAAAAATTACAGAGCAAAAGTGTTAGTACTTCAGCGCGAGCGTGCTTCTTTCCGCCTCTTCGCGGCCAAGAACCGCGCGCGAAGGCAGAAGAAGGTGGAACTTGAGTTATGCTAATAGAGTTTTTGGGGTGGAAATGATCTCATTGTTCCTCCCAAATTGCCCACAAATTGCACATCTTTTAGCCATATTTCTCTCGTTTAAGTGATTTTTAATGATTTAATACGCGTTGCAATTGACTCTCATTCGCACTCAATGAACCCGAGCATCATTTTGATGGGATTCCTTCTGTCGAAATCTTCGCATTTTATGAGCCAATTAAAGTGGATTTTACCTCTGCAGATGGTGAAACCATATAAAACATATAGAATGCAGTTGGGAAAAACTCTGTCCATTTTCCACAACAACGAAAATTCATTTAATTGCTTTAACGGTTTTAAATGTGAAATTTTAGTGCTTTGCCTTGCAAAAATCCTCGCAAATTGAGGAAATCTTTCATGCATGGTTTCACGCAGAAGAAAAGTGTTGTTCAGAAAACTCACCATTTGTCGCCATGTCGTCTGTCCACAATCCTCCATTCCGCAGAATCCTGTTGACTGAACTCACTGAAGGGATTGTGTTTGGGTCGCAGATTCTCTGCGCCAGCAATTGATCTCTAATCTCCCAGGCAAACATTCCCGGATTTTCCTGCTTGAAGCGCAGAATTTTCTTCACCACCGTCGGCGTTGCGACTTGCTGCAAAGAGGCCACAATAAAGTGCATATTAACGAGACTTAATCGGGAAATTCTCCCTGCAATTGTCGAGCTTTCAGGCGCGTGATTTAATGGCGGGAAAATTGGCCAACGCTCTGCAATTTGTGCAATTTGCATTCTCACGCTCGGGCAGGGAAAAACTCAGCCTCAAATTGGGACGACGCAGTGAAAATGCCGCGGTTCGAAGGGAAAAGCATGGCGAGGGTGGCGATAGAAGTGTGAGACAGGTGCTGGGCTTTCGTGATTCTCTGCCATTTGTCGGATTTGTTCAGGTGTGGGAAAGAGAAACTCCTAATTAAAACGATTTGTCGCGTAATTGTGCTTTTATTGTTGAGCAAGAGAAGCGAAAATAGTCGCCGCAGTAAAAGTGGCCAGAAGGACGCCTCTTTCCTCAACACTCGCGAAGAGCCCTTTTTCCCTAATATGCGCGACAATGTTGTGAGAAAATCCCTTGACAATCAACTGCGGTTTTGCGATTAATTAACTCCGTGTGGAAAAGTGTGTGACTTGATAAGATATACTCGAGAATTATTGCCACTCTCTGTTGCCTTGCTAATCACTTTTCCATCAAATTGATTGATTCGCTCCAATTTATGCACTCGATTTGTTGATTTTCCTGCCAATAAACACCTGTACACACTCAAATTGGGTGATAATTGTGACGTGGCTCCCGATAAACGGCCCACGAAGAGAAATCCTCAGCAGCTTTATGAGTTTTCCGGGTAATTTTCCTCTTCAGCATGTCCAAGAGCGGCTGTTTCGTGTGCCGCGGGAAATCAATCAAAATGTTGCATTTTTTCTAAAAGCCCTCAAAGCGAGCCTCAAAGACTATTATTAGCAGTGATGATTTATTGGAGTGTCTATAAATAGTGTTCTGGGGGGGAATGAAGATGACAATAAGATAAAGAATCGAAAAATCAGGGCAAAAGAAGAACTTCTGCGGCTCTCAAATTGAAAGCCCACTAGAGGATGTCAAAGCAGCATAAATTTCCTTTAATAGACTACTTCTTATGGCCATTTGGCAGACATCAGAACTGGGGTGAAATGGGTGAATTCCCGGGTAATTTAATTCCCTTTCCCACATCTTCCGGTAACTGCTTAGGCGTCATGCAAGACGAACGAGACAATTCGTGGCTCGCGACGTTGATCGCTAGATTAGAGGCGATTGTCAGGGAAGTGTTGGACAAGACCCTCTGACATGTTTGTCCTTCTGTCTCGTGCACAAAGTGCTTGTCCGCGATAAACGAATTAATGTATCGTGTCCAGTGCGGGATCGATGGGAATCCATCGCCGCCCTTCTTTACGACCCCGTTAAAAGACTCATCATTTCCGCGTGAGGTCAATTCCATTCGCGCGAGGGGAAATTGATTGGGCAGCACAATAAAGCGCAAGCATTTCGCGATGCAGTAAAAGAGTGACCCCGCGAGAGGCGAACTATGCCAGAGAGCGAGAGAGATGAGCTCGTAATGACGGCGGAACGTGTTGAAATATTTATGCAAATTTTAAGTGCGTGTGCAAATGAGGGGCATTTTATTGAGGCCCATTGTGACGGCGCACTCGGTGTCATTGATTCTTTACAACCGTTTCATTGCTGGAAAATTGCTTTTAAAAATCTTATTAAATCATCGACCGCAATGGGAGACATGCGAGCCAGCGTCGCTCCTTCCAACACACGCGAGAGTTCCTCCGAGAGCGAGAGAGATTGGCAAAATTGCCGTCAAGGCATAAATTGGTGATTGCGGACAAGCAAAAGTCGGTCCTTAATGCAAATTCAGGTCATTAGAGGTGATAAAAGGGAAGTATAGTGTTTAAGCTCGCACTAATGTGTAACTTTGTATGCCGTAATTGAATATTTATTCCTGGGTGGCATGCGTAAAGTGAAAATTATTCAAATCACAAGGCTTGAAATATTTCATTTTCATAAAGGCAGGGGCTGTCTCTGGCGAAATGGGTTGAATAAATTAACATTTCCAAGCCCTGACTGGAAACCCTGAATCCTGTTTTTCTCTCTCCCAGAAAAAGGGCAAAACAATTTAGTATGTCTGCGGTGGGCAAAGCTCGAGCTGGAATTCCGTGTCATGTACAATAAAATGTATACACCAAGCTTTTTCCGACGTGCGACAAGAAAGTTCCCATAAGAACACACACACGAGGGGATAAAGTGGAGGATTCTGTGGTATTTGCTTCTGCATTTCAACAATGCCGAGCATTTGTAATATGTCAGAGGGAGAAATTCCAGGCGGCGGCGGAAAAGGAAAATCCCTCTCAAGCACAAATTGTCCGCGACACGAAGGCTCAATTAGGCGTTGAATCGGTTCCTCTTTGCCGCTTGTTTATTGAATATACGCGGATTGATCGGCTATTTCGTGGGCACGCCCGTGTTGTTGCGTCCTTCGGACCCACGCAACAACAAGGTGAAAATTAGACAAAATTTACGGGCTTCAGATCGACGCGATAGTGTTTCGTGTGTACAATTCCCGTGTTCGGTTATTAAATAGGGTAAATAGACGAAATGAATTTCAACCATAAATTTCTCTCCTCTCCAGGAAGTTCACCCTCCCTTTTCCCCCGGGGGTGCTTCAGAGCCGCCGGTGGGGATGGAAGTGCCACTAAGTAATATCGCGTCGGATGATTTTATGACAGACCGTTTTCTTACCTTTGTTTTACTGCCGCCAATTGATCCGGGCCTAATTGATCCAGTCTCGTAGAAACGCGTCAAGATCTTCGAGACGCAACCTGGAAAGGAAAGTGATATAAATATTAGGATATTCCAAATAAAATATATAACAAGAACAAGTTTGATTAAGTGGCCAGCAAAGGAGAGATAAAAATAACTTCAGTTTGTACATAACTTTCATGAAATTGATTGAATATTCATCAAACTTTCTTTGTATATGAAACAATACTGAATTTCGCTAAAGAATTCATGATTCTGGAATAACAAGAGCAAGAATCTAAACAGTAAACATATCTAGAAGCACAATTGCTGGATTTTGACTTCTCTATAATAAAAATGATGCAGAGAAATTCAAAATAGTTCATAATACATTATTTCCACCCAATAAATCACCCTCGGAAGCTGGCAATTTCATTAATTAATCATCCCGCAAGGTGATGATGCGAAGTTCAGCGTGAAAATTGAGGTTTCCTCACCGTGAGAGACGAGCAATTGGCGGGAAATATCACAGGGACGCACTCCCATGAGGGCCAGCTCCACGATCCTCCTCCTGATGCAGTCCGGAAGCGGCCGTCCGTTCACAAAGACACCGCCCAGCTGATTCACACCTGCCTGACCTGCAAAGACAATATAAATGTTTGTGGTGGAAATCCTTCGCATCTCGATTGCCTCTCCAAATTCGATCCCTATCGCTATGATGATTTAATTGATTCATGTCAAGTCGAATGCCTCCCAGGAATCCAAATTGATTCGACATGGAGTTACACATTCAATTAAGTGGACGCTGTGTGCATCGCCGAGGGACTGACACAGGTAAATTTCGTATGCAGAATTAGTCATTAGGATCAGTTGCAACATGGGCCAAATTGACTCAAATTGGATGGTAATCGATTGTGTTCTTTTGCTCCTCTCGCGGCTAATCAAATTGATTCTCCTCTTTTGCCCTTTTTGCCCCAAATCTCGCGAGACGCGACTTATATTATGCACTTCAAGATCTGCAATGCAGAAGACACGCGCCTTCTGGACCGCGCAATTCGCAGAGACTTTTTGCCTCCCCGGCAATTGATTGCGGAGTGCAGCGTGCCCATTTGAGGCAATGAGCGCAAATTTGCCCGATCGGTGATTTGATTAAACAGTGAGCTATTTGCCTGGGCTCGAGTGTAGGCAAATGACTTTCGGAAGTCGCGCGGCGCCTTTGAACGTCCGCCAAACGTCTCAATTTAATCATCTAATCGCACTTTTGCATGCGCTGCAAGTGCATCGACGCTCTGGACGCGTTTAGTGTGATTAATTTGGCCCCCCGCCGTCTTGCGCCGGCCCCAAATCGCCGCGTGATTGATGAAGTTTGGTGGCACGTCTCTAAGCGATTTGGGGCATGATTGAGATGTTGAGGTCGCCTTAATTGTGGGGCTGGGGCGGAGTTCAATTTCCCTAATGGGCTTTTCAGGGTAATTTCTGCGAAATGTGGTAGCAAAAGTGACTTTGGGAATGGTTTGGAATGCGCAGTTGAGAGGAGAAACTTCTTGCATGTACCAAAACATTACCACCTTCAAAATTGCTGTGCTTCCCATAAAAATCCCGAGTGAGTGTTAATTTTGAGCCTTCTGGAGATAAGAAAGCATAAAGATTTCAGACACTTAATTTGAGATGGAACAAGAAAAACTCCTCAGAGAGCCTTTTGGCTTTATGGACTTTAGAAAATTCTAATAATGAAAGTTTATTGGCGATGAAGAGATATCTTATTAATTGGTTTTAATGATTTCACCTATCAATAAAAGCTCATTTTATGCTCATGACAGGCTTAACACTTTTCTGATTACTCCCCAGAGACTCTCAATTAGTTCCCCGGATAGGTGTGCATCGAGGGGATCGACAATTGGCAGCCCCTCGCGACGGTGGTTGGAATGCAACATTGAGTCACGTAGTGCAAGAAGTGGGATAATGCGATTTCCATCATCTTCTCTAGCGCGCCAATTGAGCCGGAATTTCAGTAGCCAAATGTGGAAGTTGTTATTAGAGATTCCACTTCTTGTGCGCGCGATCCCATAATTATTAATAATTGACACGCTGTGATTTTTACAGCGCGCTCGCGAAAGGCGCGCAGAAGAGTGGCAGCCTGAGCTTGGAACTAATTGAATTTTTCAGCAATAACACGGCACTGGAGAGAGACAATAAAATATAAGAGACAGCGAGAGAAATATTGGAAAATGCCACGACTGGAGAAACTCGTTAAGAAGGACGTCTTTTTTCTGGAATGCGCGCCCATCGCGCGATAAGTCAATTAAATGCCTCACCAATTTATTGGATTTTGGAACTATTGTTCCTATACGAGGAAATGACTTCTCGCGAGCGCGATTGCTTTATGATTTAACGTGTGGTCGTGCAGTAAAATTGCTAGGCGAAGAAGAGAGGGCTGTAAAAATTTCTCCCACGCCAAAGTGTCCTTCGTCTCGGCATCCCGACAAGTTCAACAGCGCCGTCTCTTAGGAAATTGGAAAAGAGAAACTCTCTGTCAATCATTTGCCTGATTTATGATTATTGGGGGCACGCGAGCTCTACGATTTGACGACAGTAAAATTACAAATCGCGCCCGGCACATTAGCATATATGCATCGCGAGGTGTCTTTTGGGCGGCGGCATGATCAACGACCGGCAATTTGGCCCCGGCATTTCGGGGCCTGCAATTGACCAGTGCAAATTACGGGCGCAAGACAATTTCTGCACGTCTTATTCGCTGAGTAAACAGGCGCACGTGACTCAAGCGCCCGGCCTAAGTGACTAATTGCACCCCATTTGCCGCAAAGAGCACTCGAGCGAGGACAATTATCGTGCAAGACAGCGGCCAATTGACGATCGCGATGCATACTTAAGTCACTCGCGCATTGGACGGCGCAGCCACACATGAGCACCCGACAATTACCACCAAATGGGCTGCGAAGGGGCGCAATTGGGCCGTATTTTCGCATCAAGAAGCTGAGAAATGTTATTACGAAAGGAGGTGAAGAATCAGGTGAATAAAACTGCTGCTCATCTGTGGATGGATGGATGGATTTCTTAAAGGGGTGGAAAGGTGGAGGAAAACTCGAGCTTCTTGCGAGATTTAAGCACACTCAAAGAATTGGGAAATCAAGTAAATTTCATGACGAAATTCAACACAGTGAACACAATATTGTGAATGTTGCTCCCAGTGAAAAAAAATCGACCATCAAAAGCCACGAGCCAAAAAGAGCCACATTTCGCTGGAGGATCGCTGGCACACCATCTAATTTGGAGTGCATCTTAGGCGTGTGCAGGTGTTTATCGCTAATGCTCTGATTGCATTTGTCTTTGGCCGAGCGAGATCACCCCAAGATTGTCCCTGATGATGGCAATATAATTGCCATTAGTGGGAAAAAGGTGTGCGGCGAGCCCACTTTTTTGGCATTTCCACTGCACTTTGCCTTCTTGCCGCTAACCGTGGGCGCAACGGATGATTTCGCGGCTCAATCTTCGAGTCACGATCGTGACGATCTTCGCCAGCATTTGGAAGCTTCGTTGTGCGGCTTTTCCGAGAGCTGCCCAAAATAGGCAGAAGCATTAGGATCGCTCGGCATGTTTGGGTGTAACATTGATCAATTAAGAGGCAACAAATTGATCAAATCCTACGAGTTTTTGGATCTGTCTTGGGAAAGATCGCATCAAGACTGGTGCGGTGGAAGATGTTCAGGAAACCCAGATTGATCTTCAGCAGTGCGCCAATTTAGCAGGAATTCGCGTCAAGGTGAGATCAGACATTGCGAAGATCGCTGAAATTGCGCGGCCAGAACGAGCGCGCAGAAATTGAGTGGGATTAACATGGTGGGACACAATTGTAGTGTCGGTAGCAACTTTATTTGCTCGGTGAAAAAGCGCGCAAGATCGTCAATTGGCGCGCTACTTTGAGCACCACATCGCGGATCGACGGTCATGATGATGGGCCGGCGTGTATGGCATGCGGGATTGGACGCGCCGGGGCAAAAAATCAGCGCACATTGCTACAATTTTCTCACCTCACATATCACTCGTACGTGAGAACACTTAATAACAAATTATTTCCAAAATTAGTAAATTTAATTAAGCGAAATGTAACGCATTCCGTGGCGCAAGAGCTGCAATCGCCACAGCGCGGAAAAAGTATCTTCAGGGCACTTGTGCATCACTCTGGAGGACGCATTTTGCTGTGATTTGTGCCCGAGCGCGCTCAGCGATGCGCGCGAGGGTAAAAAGACATCCCAGCGAGTGAATAAGAGCGTCAATAATTGAAACCGGTATCGCTTCATGTTTATATGGATTGTAAATGCGACATCACACTTGAAGGATTTGATTAATGGTCCCCGACAATCGGTGACAATTGGCTTTTTTGCCATCATCTCACACATGTGTCCTTCTGTTTCACTCTCCGTCTCACTTTCCATCCAATCATTCTCTGCGCGCGGGATCTTTTTTGGGGCACGCATTTTGGGCATTTTCGCCATATCAAGTGATTTAATGACTGATATTGGCTGTAATTTATGCTTTTTGCCGCCAATCTCACGAATTCTTCTTATTGTTCACGATGTGAGCAAAAAATTTATCGAATATATCGGATTTTGAACCCTTTGAAAAAGTGAAACAATCGAATTCTTATGCAATTATTCACATTCAATATTTTCTTGAATAATTACATGTTATAGTGAAAGAAATTCTTGATTTTCATTCAAATTATCAGATGAACTTAACTCCTCTTGACTTCGTTCTTGCATCAGTTGACAAATAATGCAAGAAAAGTACTTCTTCTGACCCAATTTCGTGAAGCTAAGTGCTGAGAAAATTTATTCTCTTGGCCTTCGTGAGTTCCCTCAAGATGAAAATACTGGTCAATGGCCTCATTAAATCGCTTGTCATTCTCTCGCGGGGTTCCTGCTGGCCACTGGGCACTTGAGTTTGGGCCTCTGGCATCCTTTTAATTGCTTCATTGACATTATAGCCCATTGATTGTCTCGCGCTTGTTTCGTCCTCGTCAAAATTGCACCATTCACCACTCCGCCGTTTTACAAGCGACTGCTGGGAGAGAAGTCGTTAAGAGGTGGTGGGAAGCATTTAAGCATAATGCGCCGCGAGAGACTCGAATTCAATTTACTTAACGCGAAAAATTACAATTGACTTTCACACCATGGGCGAGGCATTTGAGTGTATCCTGGCCACGTTCGCCACGCTCAGGTGCTAAAGGTGGAGGCATAGAAGGGGATTTGAGATCCAGCTGAGTATCCCAAGTGCTGAACCTGAAATTGCCATTTATCGCCTCTGCCCAGCACCAAAGGGTTCTCGAGGCAATCAATATGGGCAATAACAGTGCTAAGTGAAATAGCACTTAACACAGGGAGAGAGAGAAGCCAACATTGTCAGTGTGGAAATCCTCCGTCGCATTTCTACCTCATCTTTCGCATTTAAACTGATTTAATGTGGTCAACAATAAAACAGTTGTTCTTCTTGCCTCATTCCTCATCACTTTTGCACCTTATTCGCCATCGGGGTGTCGGTATCTGTGTTTCCTCCGTCAGATCTTGTGTGCGCTGTCAGCAATTCACACACCATCCATCCATCCTCTCCCATGCACCCATGCGATGCTCTCAACATGGCCTAAGTAGACAAGGAAGTCACCTGACACTCGATCTCGGCGCGCTGGGACTTTTTGCTGCGCGGCATGTTGACAATTTCATGGACTTTTAGATAAGCTCGAGATCATCTGAATTGATAGTGGAATAAGGAAGCTTGGGTCGGAATAATTTGTTTACCACAAGAGTGGACAAATTGAAAAGTCAAATTCGAATTCGATTTATCGCAAGAAAATTGAGATTATCCAGAAACCAGTTAAAAACAGTGCAACAGTGGAAAATTCACCCTTTTCACCCCCTGTTAAACCTAACAAAACTGTACTAGGAAAATGCATGCTGCTCTGCCATAAACTCCCTAGAATGTTCATAATAAATGTTGTGCTTGAAATTTAATGCGAACAATCTATTCATTCCCGAGTTGGAATTTTCCTATGAGGGATAATTATTATGTATCAATTGTTGGGTAATATTTTCATGGATAATTAAAGAGAAACTGGCGCTCCCCCAAAAGTCTCACTAAGGAAAAGGGGATTTATCGAGAGTTGTAACTTTCAGCATATTAGCCTTAATGATTTTCTCTGAATTTCCATCCGGAAAAGTCCTATTTCACCTATCAAACCGAAATTGGTCTGGAATTCCACGCCCAACTCTTGTGCAGAAAACAAATCTGACATGCTTACCTGTGTGTGGCATTTCGCTCTGTGCGGTCGCGTTTGGCCCCCCGGAAAAGTGAAAAGCCGCGTGCGTTTGATCTGGAGATGAAGAGAAAAAGGTTTCAAAATATGTTATTATGATTTATTTGGCCACATTGTGCGTCCGCATTTGTGATTAATTCGCATTTAAACGGCTCGGGTGTGTTAATAGATTCAGAAAGAAACATGCTCGGCTGTCCTATCGGTGGACACAATCACGAGTCCACCCAGAAATTCAGAAGTAAAACACCGTTTCTGTCGTGCCACTTTTCACTTCCCGCACTCTCGAGGGTTGCGGAGGCTCAATGGGCGAATTAGTATTCAAATTTATGCAGCAAAGCGGGCGATAATTAATATAATTAGAATTTTTTCACAGTCTAAATGTAATTTGATTCACCCTGGCGCACCTCCTCCGCGCGGGTCCGCGATTGTGTGGTCGCAAGTGAAATTGCCCTCCGACAATGAGGGAAATTGTACGTGTCGAAAGTTCACGCACAGATATGTAAATGTGATTTAGGGAAATTAAGATTGTTTTGGTTTTGTGGTGCTTGTTCCTCGAAATTGCTCATTTTCGATGCCCATAAACAGACTCGAGTCACGGACGCCACCCTTAACGAGATGTTGACGTCGAGTGTTTGTGTTTGATTTTTCAAAAACTCCCCAAACACAATCACTCACTTTCCGACCGCCATTCATCTGATGGTGCTAAAGAGTGTTATGATGGCTTTTTTCTACGCCAAATGTGACTGAAATATTCCAGAAGCTTGTCTCAATTAAAGGATTTAATGAGCTCCTGTGGCAAATGAAACAGTAAGATTTTACGGACAAATGGAAAAAATGTAGCCATAACCGAGAAATTATTTTAAAGCAAAACACGTGGTAATGTTCTTAATTAAATCTCGCGTGGTGCTCAAAAATGTGACGAACAAGAAAGGCTATTTTGTCTTTTACTACACCATCCAAATGAAACACACACACAATTTGTCGATTTGCTCTCCTTTCACGATGCCCATCAGGATGGCAAAAAATGCGGCATCTTCCTGAGCGCGGAGTTAAAGTTAATGCGAGAACGATGTTAGCCACGGAATCGACCACCATCGAGAGAAAATGAGAATCTTTCAAGCTCGCAGAGCGGAATAAAATGGTGAGAGTTCTAAAAAATTGAACAGTACTAAACAGTTTTATTTAATTAAATTTAACTACCATAGAAAAAATAAAAAGACATTTTATGCTCAGCTGTGCTTGGGAGTGTGTGGACGCGTTTTCTTAACGATTTTCAAGACATTTTCTAAGATTCATTTTAATTGTATATCATAAAACAACATTAAACTCTTTTTTCTGTTCTGCTCTTCTCCCCCTTTTGGGTTAATCAGATAAAAACCGTGTTTCGATAGATTTTAAAACCATCGCACAATGTTCCGAGATACCGGGCGTCGAGTGTGTGCGCTCACGAGAGACAATTAAACAATCCGTGCGAGTAATTAAAACTTCTTTATCGGCTTTACACACATTTTAACCACAAAATCTACGGCTCCGCACAAAAACCCATCGCGGCCCTGACTCGCATCTCTCGCGGAGAAGAATGGAACCGATCGTCCGCGCTCCTGCGGCACCAGAGAAAATTGATGGCCGCGAGGCAACAAGAAGCCCGTTAGTGTTTATTTGCTGCGCATACCGGAAATGGATTTCAGAAATGCCCATTCGATTTTAGGGCTCTTCTAATTCCGTGTCCCAAAACCGCTCGCGGCTCACTTTTGGGGGAAAAGAGAAAAGCAGAGTGGAATGCGCGCACTTGTGCAAAAAATCGTCTTGAGTAATTGCGACTTTGCAAATTGCTTTGTGATAATTTATGACTGAGAATTGAATTCCGAACTCGTTAAATTCAAACGTGGAATTCTTTTGAGGTTTAGAAGAATATCTAAAGTCATATTATTCATCAGAACTTTGTTTGATAAACCATTCTCTTTTATGCTGAGTCTCTCTTCTTTTACCAGCGAAGCATTTTGTGAAGAAATAAGAGCTCTGAATTGTCCTAAATTTCCCAAACTACCGTGTCTCATTATGCCTAAAAGTCCCTCTATTAAATTCCCACAGCGCCGTGGCCCCATTTTACACCGTTCTGTCGCTCCTGTGCCGCCTTATCACCATCAGGTCCAAGGAGAGTTATGCTGTTGAGTCGCCTGGACGTGTGCCGCTGCTCATTAGCATATTCGGGGGGATCTTTTACGATGTGTCGAGCCATTTACAATTGCGGCAATTTCCAATATGGAAATTGCACCACAATAAAGCCTTCATCTCCTCGCAATGGGTCGAAATTTCGCTGAGCGAAGATGATCGGTCGGCGCGATTTGGGCTTTATGGGATTGGCGTGGGCGGCCTATGCAAATCCCGCCGAAATGAAGTGCTGCGCGGCACGCATGACACGTGGTTCGCGGGGAGGTGCTGGAAATTAATTTGAGGGTCTCCGCGGCGATGATTTATCGCTTTTAATTAGGTGGCATATTGATTGGGACAAAACACACAGAGAAACGCCCCATTGTTCGACGCACTTGTTTATAATTAATTACCCGCGGCCCCCGTTTTGGGGTGGCAACGCGCTTACATTTTTGTGTCACTCTTCTCACGACCACCCCCGCGCGCGCATAATTAATCCACTGGACACGAAATAAATGAATTCCAAATTGGACATTCCTGCCTACCTGTGTTTTGGGGCACTTTTGGGGAGAGCGTGTGCGGAGGAGATGCTCGTAAGACGGTGATTGATTTGAGAAATTTTCCAGGCGCTAAACAAGCGACCACACAACGACTTGCGTGGTGGAGAAATTTACGATTATTTGGCTGGCCGACAAGAGTCCGCGCTGATCACTTTATGACTGTGACAGGAGAGAATCCACGCAGATGAAGAGCCTCCCATTCAGTTTGGACAGTCGTCTTGACAGATATTGGCTTATTAGCTCCACTCGACATGATCATTTTCATCGACGGACACAGTTTGATGCACATGCGACGATAAAAGTGGGAAACAATTAATTCACCCATGGAATGCATCCAATTTGCATTTTCTCCATCACCGCACAGATGCCCATCGATGATCCACTCCAGGTGCGATCAGCTTTGGGAGTTCTCTCCATTGAAAATTGATTCGTGCATGAGCAGAAAATTGACGATTCTCAGACGATAAGAGTGCTTATCTGGGACATTTTGTCTCGCCGGATGTGAGATGTAATCAGAAAATTTGATTTATGCATATGAAACATCCCTTCTTAATGACTGTGAATGAAAATCTTTTCTCACCGCGAGAAGAACAAATATTTGATTGAGTGTTTTTGTCTATAAACAGACTCCCAAACGGGACACAAATTCATCAGTTTCCACTTGAATAATGCAGAGCCTTGATTTATAGCGTCTCCTTCAGAGACATTCGACTCTTTGTTTCACTCTCCGGTTTATCTTTGCAGTCCCGCGATCACAAAGGACAAGCATAAACGTGCGTAAAGACTGGAGAAACTGCCATAAAGTCAATATTCTGATTTTTATGGACTTTGATTCACGTTTTAAGACCCAAGCCCAAAATCGTATTAGGTAAAAATGTAATGTAACTTAATGATGGATATTTAATTTTTAATTATCTGTGTCTAAATAGTGAAGGGGAAAAGCTGTTAAATCACATCAAAAACCGTCTCCACACCACAAGTGCGCGCTTATCGCGATGTTCGTGTGAGAGAAATAGCAATAAAGCCTGCGGTGTGCGAGAGTTTTCATAGAGGGAAAAAAGCTGTGTGCAAAAGCTTCGTGATGTGAAAGCGTGAACTTTACAACAAAAGGACATAAATTTGCTGGCATTTTCGTTTAGCGGTGAAATAAATTTGAAAGCTCGCCAGCGCGAGATTTCATCGGCAGATTTCATTTAGTGCACGCGGGCGCCCTTCCGTGGGGGCGCCTGGTGGCCCCCACAAACACATGTTCTTCCCATGCACCGCGCGCACTAAATCGCCGTTCAGTCGCGCCATTATCGCAATTATGTGCCATTTAATTGTTAATGTGAATGCGCGATTATCCAGACACATTGTGGGCAAAGTGCGGCGGAAAAAGTCCCAAAGGCGCTTTTCAGGGACAATCGAGGGACGAACAATCGGGCGATTGTGACGGGAGAAATGCCCTTTGATGGCGTGCATATTGGATATTTCATTAGAAATTCGCTCCTCGGACAAGTTCCGTTCAAGCTCACCCACAATTGAGTCCATGGCTAGGAAACGGCTATGGAAAAATCGGGGTGAAATTATGGCATATCTAATGAGTGTATGTGTAAATTGCCCTTGTTTTATGCAAATCCATCAAAATAATAATTTTAGATTATCACCGGACGACACTCAAGGGTTGAACGCACATTTTTCCACCGCCACTCTTTTTCCCCGGGAAACGCCTTCGAGGTCTTCCTGGAAAATCGCTCTGCGAGATTCATGTAAAAGGGTTGTTGCCGTTCACGGGTATTTAGGCTGCGTGTTCAATCGACCAACCATGCAAATTTTCACGAATATGCCACAGAGTTTAATCCACCCGAAAGTGGCCTCGTTCGCCAACACAAAGTCTCCAGGCGAAGGCGGTGTTCTTGTCCGAGGATGCGCATCACGAAGTGCAAACAGGGGCGAAAGAGGGTGGCTTCCGCCATCGCACCGAGAGCTTTTTCTCGCCCTCCCCAATTATGAAACAGACACACTTCCGCAATATAATTCTCCTCGGAGACTCATTAAGATATGAATAATTACGCCACTTTTTGTCACCATTTTCCTGCTCTTTTTGGTCACACTTCCCATTAAACCGTCGCCATGTGGCGAAACGGTTTCTTTTTTCACCCCAACCGAAGACACCCCGCAGAAAAAGCTCCATGCCATATTGGAACAATGAAGTAATTACTCTAATTAGACAGTTTAAGCACGGTGGTTTTGTGCTCACGTCTGCTGAACGAGGTGCAAATGATTTAATTAAAAATCTCTAATCACGTGTAACACGTAAGATTTGTTCCACATTCATCGCTTCTGGTCATTATTATCGTTCCTAAGAGATTTTTCTATGTGATAATTGATTTGAATTGATAGGAAATAAAGTGGGAAATTGTGCCAAAAATTTCATTACAAATTTCTCATATCAGAGGAGTTAGAAATGTGAATTTCAGGTAGTGATTTGATACATCTTCATAGGACTATTTAACTTAATTATTTTTACTTCTCGATTAATTGAATTTAGAATAATTTTATTGAAGAAGACAACTCTAAAATTCTAAACGATATGAAAATTTAAATGCATTTAAAGCAGTTTTACTCCAAAATACACTAAATTCGTTTAATCGTATCTTTTCGATTTTACAAAGATAATTTAAAATTCTATAAACAAGTGATCACATTTTCAGTAACTCGGCTGATTAACAATTCAAGAAAAAGCTCAGAACAATTAAAATTATATGTTTTTGTGTCTGAAATTATTCAGATAATCTTAAATTTTTTTCTTTTGCTAAAATTTCCTCTTTTTATTATAAGGAATCAAGTAAGCAATATTTAACATTTAACAAGTAACATTTCCACATTTTCTTGACTACACATTTACAAGAAATTATTAATAATTATTTTAAGAACCTCGTTTCACAATTATGTTTTACGATATTTCTCATATCTATAGTTTACCTGATATTTTTTCGACTGCAATTAACTTGATGGAGGAACAAATTAACAGAAACTGTCTTTAGTCTATTAACGAATTTTAACTTGATATTTCAGATTTCCGTGCACCAATTTCTAATCATTGTCCTTCTCGTCCACGAATCAATTCACCCTCAACTGTGACACAGACTTCTAATCAACACTGGACGAGGTGTGCTTCGCGGGGTCTCAGCGCACTCACTGTGAGCCACGAGCGGCCAGCAGGAAGCGCTTTTGGCAGATGACTGAGCCTGAGTCTCGTCGAGAGCGGAGGCGAACCAGAAAGGCGGCCGCGTGAACGCTTAAGTGGCGATTTGTAATGCGATCCGTCGACGCTCTCGGAGCTGCAACGCTATTTGCCCGCCTGGCGTCCCGCTCGCGCCAGGGCGGCCGACGCGAGCGGGAGCGAGATGGCGGCTGGCGAGAGGCGTAGCATAACATGTGGGCCCCTGTGTAGCATAAACGGGCGAGAGCATAGAGGTCTTGGAACGGAAAGAGCGCCCGTGAATCGAGACGCCGAGCGTGGGAGCGTGAAACTTGCGAGGGTCGATCTGGGGTGGATTTCCACCCACGCCTTCGCCATTGTCGCCGTGCCAAGAGGCTTAAGAGGGAGCTGAGAGAGCGCCTGGCTTCTTGACAGGGAAGACAGTGTATTTACTAGCTGGATTTAAAATCAATATTCCACTATTAATCCACCGTTTTCTATGGAAACTTCTCATAGTTTTGATAGACCTCACAAATGCAATCTCCCATCAAATTGTGCTCCTATTCAGCACTTCATTATCATCCCGAGCCGAAGCAGCTCCTGAATCCTCCCAAGGAGCTGAAAGCTCTCCCCTGTGCGCAAGCTTTCCACCCCATCCCAGGGATGAAGCAGATGATTCTATAGCAACACGAGATGCTCGACTGGGCGGAGCGTGGCGCCTCCCGAGCCAATGGCAGCGCCAATCGTAATGGCAAACCAATGGAAACGGCAGCGAATGCTGGGTGACGAGTGCTGGGAAAAAAGCTCTGGTGAAATGGGAAAATACTGGATGGATGTCGAACAAAGGCGCGCGAGGGGTGAATTGGAAAGTGGCTCAAACATCCATTTAATTCGCACGGTTGACTAATAAGGGTATGAGATGGTATTTCCACACGCGAGGGCAGCAATATTGTGAAAAGAGGGATAGAAATTGATAGCATCGCGCATTGAGGGAAATTTAATTAGAACGAGCTTTTTCGGAAAATCCACCATTGTTCATGGGATTTGAACGGTCGCGACCGATAAGAATTCCAACCATTCAAATTCGCGCGCCAGATGTTAATGGCCTTTCGTTGGCAAAAGTTTTCCAATCAAATTCACTGTGCCGACACAAAAAATACGCGATAATCCCCAAAATGTGACGACTAATCATAATTCCCACAATTTCCCCATGAATTACGTCCTTCTCAGCTCAATTTATATGCATAAAGTCGACCCGACCGCAAAATCGCCCAGCGATATTGTCATACTAATCATCTCATTATCATCAGACTGTCGCCAAATTAAGTTCACGGGCAATCTAATTTCTCCAGTCGAAGCTTATTTGCCAGGCGAATGGCAAATTAATAGGCAAGCTTATCGGGAGCATATCGCGATCGCATGAGAAGTGAATAAGCCTCCAAATTAGTCATATTCACAGTTTGAGCTCACGAAAAACAGGAAGATTGTGTGCGGTCCGTGGTGTGAATTCATAATGAGCTCAGATGTCTCCATTCACATTGATTTCAAGCACAGCTTGAAAATTGCTCTGAGAATATCGATAGATTCTGGTGACAATTAAATAATAATGATAGATTTTGTAATTGTTTGTCAATATTTTAGCCACTTTTTCGCAGGTCTTTAAAGAGAGAATTACATTGCCCCTTGTTATATGTAGTAGACAAACTCCAAACTTCTCTGTCTATAAGCAAAACACTCTTCAAACTCTCAAACATCTCAGTCCGACTGAAATCAGACGAGATCATCGCACGGAGAGCGAATTGCAGACGGATAAAAAATGCTAGATTGAAGAGAGCTTCAAAATTCAAAGCCTCGAGCTTTGGCCAAGTGTAATTTTACACTCAACTACTTGGCATTAGACAAAGTGTTCTAAATAGACGAAAATGAACGCATTGCGTGCCAGGTTATCTCGGCGTCTCGGGTGTTGAGGATGGAGGAAAAGCCCCGCGGAAGAATTTATGGTGTTCCACTTTTAATGAAATCCTCACATGCTCGCCGGATAATTTCCTCCGCTATATGTATAATTTGTTTGTGTTGTAGAATTTGCGAGCAAAACCCACTGTTTTCGGGGGTAATCTCCGCGCGGTGCATTCGTCTTGGTAATCAATTTTTTTCTCGCGCTCTGTCCCAGCTACTCCTTATCCACGCCTGTGCACTGCTTTTCGCTAAATCCGCGCCAGGAATGCTTATTGCCCCGCGATGCGCCACCGAGCTGTATCGCATTCCGCTCGGGGCGTCTTCTGGGCCCAAATCATCTCTCTATGCATCGGCGTTGCACTCGCGCTTCGCGCCCAGACTTTAGCCCATCTAATGATCACTTGAGTCGCATAGAGCGCGGCGAAGGGCAGAAATTGGCAGTTGTGTGGCAAATCCCCGAGTTAAACTCCCAAACATGCGGACTCACTTGGGGCATGAATTCATTTTTGGCCGCGCAATAGGCGAATGATTGCAGAGCGACTTTTTCTGCCCATCTCATCTATGATTGCGCACCGATTTCGGCCGGAGCAGATGCAACTCGAGATCACGGGGCTCATTAGAGGTCCGAGAGTGCATCTAATTTGAGGTTCATCCTTGTGGGTAATTTTCTGTGAAATATTGAACGTTTTTTCCATGCCCCCAATTTGCTCAGGCGAGGGCTCAATTTGAATGGCTATGCTTGAGAGATTTGCTAGAAATTATATGCAAATCTCACTTTTTGGACTTTCTGCAGAGCCAATTGCTCATCCAGACGAGATCTTTTTGCGTAATGCGAAAAATGTGAGGAATTGCTCGTTACTCTTCCTGTTTCGCCTCCAGTTGAATTGGAAATAGTTTCAATCCTCAAATGACCTATAAATCAGCCTGAAAGTGAGAATCTGCATTGGCATTCGCCTACCTGAGCCATTCACCCCGCCAAGAGTGACCGAAAGTGACCCAGCAAGACTTTGCCATTCGCCTTTGGCTCCTCTTCGCCTAGAAGCACAAAAAGTACGGTCATGTCATCGAGACTCCATAGAGATTTATGGCTCAGCACGTGACCTTTTTCCACATCGCAACCGCGCCTCGCGAAGGGAAGCAGAAGAGCAATTTTTCGGATTGATTTCCATCATTCAATGTCACTCCAAATCTTCCGGATGGGTGCCGTTTTTATCACTGGCCCGCCAAAGGTCTGCCAAAGACACAGATGGACATTTTTCGGTGCTGTGAATCGCCTCGGTCGCGCGATGATCAAATGCGGAAATGTTGGAATAATTTAAAGAAATTCACTGGCGAGGAGGAACGCTGGGAATAGTGTTAAATTGATTTTACGGTGCTTCTCCCACTTTCTGGCAACATGGATAAATGGCCAGGCGACGGACGATCCGTGGAATCATTAAGGTCTGATCTTAAGACATTTCGAGAGCACATCATTACCGTATCTCAGAAGCAATTCTTTTCTCACCCAGAAATCCACGCTAGCGTCACCCGTTCACACGTCCTCATCAATTTGACGAGCTCCATCGCGGCCCGAGAGGCTGCGATGATGGACCAAGAGTGGGAGCCCCATTACAACTTAATGAAAACGATTACCATATAAAACAGCACCGCAAAATACAGCGTCAATTGAACGTTTCACTCCGCCAGCGAAATGCTATCGACTTGATGGATTGTTGCTATTAATATGTAATTTATTTTCTCTCGATGTCTCAATACGCTGTCCGTGTCGCTCACGTTGTCGCCTCCGTGGACAGCAGAACCAGTTTTCCCCGAAAATTCCTTTTCTGGCCAAGGCTCCCTCAGAACGCGACTTCTCTGCATTTTCCCAACGTGCGTCTTTGATGTTGAAATTATCAACTGCGCGCTCGAATGCAACTTCGCAAATCCCCGTCAAATTCATAATCATTTTTAACAACTCTCCATTCAAAAAATAGTTCATCAAAAATCATATTTATTTATATAGTTTATTAAACTATTATCAGAAATAAATTATAATATAAATTTTTGCATTATTTTGCATGATATCATGTCCTTGTGTGTAATCATCTCAAATAAGTCTTCAAACCATTTAACCTGTGCCCTAAAAGTCTATGCAAAGTTAGATTAAGCCATATAAAAACTTTTCTCCTTCGCTTCTCTCCTTAATTGAACCATTTTCACGTGGAACCGAAACGTTTGCCCTAAAAGCCACAACTCTGGGTCATAAATCCTCATTTGCCGTGCGACAAGAGGCAGGATCACAGGCGATGCAGGACTCCAGCAAGGAGATTGCGTGGAAGATCAGAAGGAAAACACCTTGTAAATTTATGACTTCTCAATGTTGCGCAATTACCAAACCGTCATCATCGGGAGACGGCCAATTTTTTGTCTTCATCGGAGGTTTGGCTCTTGTGAGAGGCTCGAGAGCAAAAATGGTCTCATCAAGGGCGTGTTGTCGGTTCCCAGTGGTTTTTCCCCCGAAAATTTATTAACTCTCCACCGCACCTGCCCTTAAATGGCACGCATTTTTCTGGAAACGCCGAGCGATGCAACATCGTGTCTCCACCCAGAGAGAAGGACAAATTTTGGGTTGTAAGTGGTGGGCAAAAAAGGGTCCTTCTGTCTTAACGGTTCTGTGCAAAGCTCCCAAAGTGCAAGAAGTCCCAAATGCGCGGTTGCAGTCGCACGCGTTTGATGAGTTTGCTGATAAAGACTGTGGCTGGGATGTTCATGCAACGCCCAGGTAGACAATTTCACCGCGGGCTGAGCTGTCTTTGATGGCCAGGGAATAATAGCCAAGGAGGGAGACGAAATGCCATAATTGAATCGTGAGTGGAAAAGGAATTCCACTCAGCGAACATGATAAGAAGCGAAACTATACCCGATTCGCTTATTTTTGACTATTTCTCACTTCATGGAAAGGTGAGTCCTGAGGCTGAAGCTCCATCACAAGAGGATGCTACAGTGCAGCGGGCCATGAAGTGTCAGGATGTTCCAGAATTTAGTCACGCTCGGCGCAGAAGGGAATCTCACGGCGTCAGGTAGAGATTTATGGTGAGCGAGAAAAAAGGGCAGAGAGATAAGGGGATGATTTCAATGATTTCATGCATTTAATGGCCCATTCTCACCCTCAGCCGCAACCCTTGTTTATCCTCAGCACGATACCTCGCAACCTCGCGACGAGATTGAGTGTTTGTGCAACCACAGACAATCCCCTCGCTCGTTGAGACAATCACACCGGCAATGGTAATATTTGTTGTCACATCAGTTAATATATTAATCTGTAATTGTTGCAACATATGTGACGACGAGTCACTTCGCTGGCGAATTGATGAAGTCATAACAAAGCTAAACGACCTCTTTATTATGTTGTGGTTTCGCATCATCTGCTGTGCGGATTCTGTTCACATTCGGTGACAGATGCCACGAAACTCCCGCGATTCTGCACTGAATTATTCACAAATCCCATCTCAATCTTCTCCACTACATTTGCTGCAAGATTGATCTGTCGCTCTATTGCTGAATCTGAGCGAATTGCAGACCAAGATTAATGCATATGCGGTGAAACCCGCGAATAAAGTGAAGTCGCTTCCATCGCAGAGTCGCCACTCGCTTTTGGCGGGAAATCCCAAACCATTCAGCATACTTTCCGGAGAATTTCTTTATCGCGCTTTTGCAGCTGAAACCATCCATTGATGCGCACTTTCAATCACCCAGAGATTATCTCATTCCGATGAATTGATCGCCCTCCAGACTCTTCGCCACCGTTGACATTGTGTAATCCTCCTAATGTTGCTGTGTTAACACGAAGCTAATCGAGAGCGTCAGCTCAAGTCACCTCGCAATGATTTGAGGGTGGCTTCTCGGCAGAATCACCCAATCATCACCCCATCACAATATTTACAGTCACAACGCTCTGTAATCCGCAGCGTAAGTGAGGAGAATTCACAGGGGATGCGAGACAATGGAGAGCCTCAATGGGATGTGCAGAATGATGAAGGGGTTCATCAGTCAGTTTTGCGACAAGTTATGAAATTTACACTATTACACTCTCCGGATCTTGTCTTATAATGCACAAATGTGAAGGATTTTCTATCAAATTTATCAATAATATTGCAAATTCTTAATTTTTATTGATAGTTTCCACCCGGTTTTAGGATTTTGTACATCCTTTTTGGATTTTACCACTTTGTATAGCACATGCTAATAGATATGACATCTTATCTAATAGGAAAGTGGCTTTAAGAGAAATTTTTCAACTTAATTTACTTCTTGAGATCCCAAATTTAGTCATTATTTCCACAGATTGTAATGAAACACCAAGAAATATCTATTTGAATACATTATAGAGTATTTCCCACAAAAACCCACATTTCCCTGAGTTGAGAAACCCCTCGGCATCTGCCACAACCTCAGAGACAACTCTGGACGTGATGAGGATTAAGGGCGCAAAGAAATTCTTATCAGACTTGAACAAGATTTTCAATTAAAGTCTCCTCGTCAGCTAGCGTGGGATTTGGGCCACTTCAGAGAATCTGCCATGGGAGAAAATCCCGCGTGCACGGGAAATGTGAGCTGTAAAATTGAGAATTGCAGCATCAATTGAAGATGCGCCGTAATTGAGAAATCTGTGCATCATCTTTCATCACATTTCTCCGGTGAACATTTTTATGCTCATTAGCTGGGCAATTTAGTGTCGTGCAGATGGAAACAATGAAGGAGGCCATTATCTTGCGCGTGCTCCATATTTTATGCCATTCTTATGGACAACATCGCTGACATAATGCCGCGAGACTGTAATTCACATGTGAACATTATCAAATAAGCTGTGTTTTCTGACGATAGCTATCGTTCCGCCAGGTGGATACGGAACCAAATTGCTCGGAATGAGCTTGAAATATTTCGTAATTCATGCAACATTCACTTCTTGTGCGCGATTGCAAGTCAAGACAATCGCGAGAGGAGAAATTACAATGTCAGACTTCACGCAATCTTTTTCGCATTTCTCCATGCAAAGTGTCGATCGTTCGCCTTATGAAGATGCCACACGGAGCATAAGAAATATCGAAGCACTTTCAGGGCTTCTAAGCTGTTGCGGTTGAAAGTGAAATTGATTAATGAGATGCTGAAATGTTCGACAAGCGAAAATGGACTTCTGCCAGCATTTTCACTAATGTCTGTTGGCTTCATTTGCGCAAAACCACTTTGAAAGTCTCACACAGATGTTTTCTTGTTGACAAACACGCGAGAATACAAGAAGTAAATTAGCAATTTGTCTGAAAACAACAGTTTCTTTCTGTGATGAAGAACACACAGCTAATCATGAGGCAACACAGCGCGGAAATTGTAATTGATATGAAATTTATTAGTATGCTTTTAATTACAGTTAGAAGGCGAAATTATATTATTATTGCCCAAAATATTGTTGGTTCATTTCCTTGCGAAAAAGATGGATTAACCCTTCTTTGCCACAATGAAATTTATCCCTGCTTTCTGGAGCATAAAATGGACCTTGAATTTGTCCAGCGCACCTCAATTGAGACTTTTACTTTGAACTGAATAAAACACACAAATCCCCATTTCACACAACATTTATCTAATTATTCGCTAAATTTCATTCACTTGCGCCTTGTTTGGGTAAGTGGCCGAATGAGAATGCGTAATTGCAAGAAATTTGACGACTCTTTGTTCGGTAATTGGCCAGATGAAGGCGCATTTTCACAAAAAAAGCAGCAAGCAAACAGATTGCGAGTTTTCTCTATTGAGAAGCACATCGGCGAAGAATTCGGGAAATTAGCATCACTGGCGGAGTTGCGAAATGCTCCACATGTTCCTGTTGTAGACAGTCAACAAATGTGTTACGAAAGGTCTCTTTTGTAGTGCAATTTAGCGCACAGAAGCCGCCAGTTCCACGCCATTGGACGATGTGGAGCTCACAATTTCCTCAATTTCTTCGACAAAGACCATCGAGAGCCCAACTTATGCAACCGGCGACCAGCAAGTGCGCTCATGATTATGATGTACAGCCACTCTCACTCTTTTTGCACTCATTTCGCCAGTCTTCTTGTCACTGACCAGGTCATTGTTTCGCTTGTGCGCAACGAAACTCCCACGCAAAATTGCGATGCGGAAGCTTGAAATCAATATCTTGCAATTTCAGCTAAAAGTCTTCCGAATTATCAATTAATCAAATATTGATTCACCTTATAAAAGTCGACATTTTCCCTTGTAAATTGCCACAAAACATTCCTCGAATGTCTGTAGGTGGAAAAGAGCGCCGTCTCCACACTCTGCACATGATAGAAAGTCGTTCAGTGCGACAGATAAGATCTCCGCCAAATGCATTTAACATTTTATTTCTTTTATCGACTGTTCAACTCAACTTTTGCACGTGAGACAAGCAGTGAAATTCAATTCAGATTCTCAATTCGCACTCAAGTTGTTGCATATTGAATATATCGTCATTAAAGTGTTCACAAAAAGTTTCTCAAAGTGCTCAGTGATTAAATTCCTGGACATTACAAAAATTATATGTGGAAAAGGCAGAAGAAACATGTTGTGAAAATAATGATTATAATTTGAAATAATGATCAGTCAAGCATAATCTTCAAATTATTATGATTTTTGTATGTAAAAATCACTTTACGCAAGGCATAAAAGAGAATGCAAAGTTATGCAAAAAAATAAGAATACACTTATTTTGCAATGAAAGATGTCAAATTACTACTGAATTTACGATCCTGAATTGAACTGAATCTATAAATAAAATACGGGAAAGTTGCAGTGGATTTTCACACAAGAAACTTTTGCGGAGCATTGCGAAAAAGAAGAAAGACTTTACGATCCTCGGTGAAATGAAAGATATGCGAGTACAAAAAAACATTCATGCCTTTTTATTGCTGTTCGTCGCAGTAAAAAAACAATGTCTTGCAAAAATTACACATTCTTAAACATTAATTAATAAAAATCACAATTGGCTAGAGTAGCTTGGAGAGAATGTAATTTTCATGACGGCGATCCGGCTTTTCTATGTGTTTCCAATGAAAATTCCTCGTCATCGTTCTTTTTGGTCCGCTCTTTGAGAATACTTCGAATGGGGGCTTTAAATAGGTGAGTCGTTCTGATGAGGTGGCGAGAGGCGTGAAGGAGCGCAGTGCAGAGGATTAGTCACTTTGTACGATGAACCTGCTTGGATGGTGTGATGAAGAATGGGTAAAGACGGGTCTCGAGACTTGGATGGAGGAGTGTTTTGGACCCTCAGAGTGATTTAGTGATGATGATGGAAGTCGTGTTCATCGAAGTGGTGGTGCTCCTCCTCGTGGTGGGCCTTCACGTGCACGTACTCCTTCACTGGGACAGGTACTTCCTTGGTCACGGGGAACTTGACCTCCTTGTAGACGGGGAAGGGCTTGTCGATGGGCACCTTCACCTCATAGGGCACTGGCTTCTCCACCGTGTAGGGCACCTTCTTTTCCACCGTGTAGGGCTGGGGCACGGGCACTTTCACCTCCACCTTGTAGGGCTTCTCCACGTACACCTTGTAGGGCTTGTCAACGGGCACCTTCACCTCATATGGGACCTTCTTCTCCACGACGACTGAAAGGCAGAAGAGAACATTAGTCAGAGACTGTTGGTTGCTGTTGAATGTTCCAACTGAAACATATACTTCAGCGGAGTTGTATTCTTGAGTTCTTCTCACCTGGGTAGGGCTTCTCAACCTCAACCTTGTAGGGCTTGGGCACATAGACGTTGTAGGGCTTGTCGACGGGCACCTTCACGGGAACATGGACGTGCTTGGTGACGGTGTAGGGCTTGGGCACGGGGATCTCGACCTTGACCTCATATGGGACCTTCTTGATGACCTCGTAGGGCTGTGGGACTGGCACCTTGACGGGCACTTCGATCTTCTTCTCGACGGTGTAGGGCTTAGGAACTAAGACCTTGACCTCGTAGGGCTTGTCCACGGGAACTTTCACCTCATATGGGACCTTCTTCTCAACGGTGTAGGGCTGGGGCACATGAACCGGCACTTTGACGTACTCCTTGACGGTGTAGGGCACCTTCTTCTCCACATAGTAGGGCTGTGGCACGGGCACCTTCACCTCATAGGGGACTTTCTTCTCCACGGTGTATGGAACTGGGGAGAGCAGATTGTTAGGCATCTGGGGAAGGTGCGCTTGGGGAAATCGCAGGGATCTCACCATGCTTGGTAACGGTGTAGGGCACAGGGACTTTCTTCTCGATGGTGATGGTCTTCACGTGCTCGTGATGATGGTGATGATCGTGATGATCATCGTGGCCACCGAAGGAGAAATCCCCGAGGGAGTCATGAAGTCCGCGCTTCTCGTGCGCCTGGGATTCACCAGCAGCCGCCTGGGCAGCTTTCTGGTCACCTACTTGTTTCTCCGCTGCAGCAGTGCCCTCGGATGCCACGAGCGCCACAAACAGGGCAAGACAACAAGGGATAATGATCTGCAAAGCACCGACATTGTTAGGCCATTTTCTCCCCGACAACGTTGAAATTCAAATTTTTGAGTGAATATTCAAGTCGGCGCGCGATCGAATGGGGAAGTGGATTCACTAGAGCACCATCGTTATCCAAAGAGAAAGAGCGTGGATGGGCTCTCAAAAGCAAATAGTCACAGAAGACAGGAAGTGCGCGGAAGCGATTTACTGGAGCAAAAAGTCAATAAATCACATTTCTCTCTCGAAAAAAATAAAAACCCGATTCGGGTGCGTTAAACTCTTCGCGTTACGTAAGTTTCTCAAGTCACGAATTTGAGGCAGTGAGTCGAAGAGGTTGTAATCCACAAAGGGTTTCACTTCTTTCTTCCGTGGGACACGCGACTTCCACGTCTCGAAGACAATTCACGGGAATATTCACTCAGAAAATTGGCACGATTTGAACAAAAAAAAATAAGAGGAAAACTCCTACCATTCGCATATTGAACAAATAACTTGGTGTAGTACAACAAGCGAGACCAAAGTAGGTACTGATCGTGCTGTTGCGGATGGTCCGCTATATATGCTGAGGCTCCGGTGGCGCCCCACCGAGAAACTTTCGCCGCTTTGGTGGATTTTTCGCGTAAGCCAACGACGGGAGAAAGATTCATGCATCCGTGGTTTTGTTCCATCAGCATTCATCAGCTCAGTGTGGCGTTAATCGCCACACTTGACTGTATCTTCACCTCCAGCTGATCATCGCCCCAAGAATCCGCACCAGAACCCATCATTTCCACACCAGGAGAGGCGCAGAAGTCTCGCTGGCATAAATTACCTACACTTCTGCTCGCCAATTCCTTCTAATTAGACCACTCTCTTGATGCGCTGGGAGTCTCTCTTGTGAGAGATTCACCACAAAGCACTGGGAATTCTCTAACAGGAGAAACATTCATGAAAATTTCACTGAAATTGCAAAAATCCGCCAATTATTGCACAGCAATTCTGGCGGAAAAGAATATTCATGGCAAAGAGATGAATTATGGATCAAAGCTGAGATGTTTTTTCAAATCAAAGAGAGGGCAAAAAATGCCTCGAGAATACCAAATATTGTATTAATCTTAAACACTCAGCATTGCATTTTCTGCACGACGAACTAAGCCAACAATCCAAATGAAGACTCAAGCTTAATGTCTCAAAAGTCCATTTTACGTAATGATAGAAATTATTCATCGTACAATTCTTGTTCCTGTTTGAATTTTTTAAATTTTTACTAAAGTCAAGTTCATAAAGTATGACAAAAGCAACGTTTAAAAAATTCAAAAAAATGCCTTCACGTGCTTTCTCACATCAAATGTGATTCAAATCAGCGACATCACATTTGCAAAATGTGAATCTCCTACTGCTTTAACGATCTAATATGGCACCAAAACGACTCTATGAGTGAATCGGCCCTGAATAATTCATTAAACGGCTGAATTTATCAAAATATCACGCTCCGTGAGCCGCTGGTTGAGATCAGAAATGTGATCTCGCGGGGAATTCCTCGGCAAAGTTTCACAGCGACCACAATGTTTTCCGCAAAAGATGAGACCTGAGAGATGAGAGGAATGTGCACAATTGCAGACAGTAAGGAATACACCAATTTCCGCGGATCTATTGAATCGCGCAAAGTGTGAATGATTCCACTTGATTTGCATACAAGAATGCTGTGTGGAGAGGAGAAAGTATTGCATAAACAGATGCATTTGCAGTGCATCTGCGCTCAAATGGGAGCACAAAGCATGGTGATTTATGCTAAAATGTCTCTGCCACTCTCCGTCCGTGCATACATCTTAATTGGGCGCCAATTTTAGTCGCTGCGTCGATATGTCGGAAATGAATGCAAATGGCATGTCTCAAACCATCTCGCGCGTCTTCCGTGCAATTTCACGTGGAAGTGGCCGAACAGCTGATGCTCCAGTGACGAAATATCGCGCCGTTTGCAGAAATGTAAAATGTAACAATTAACCATTTCACTTCACTGTCAGCGAAGACGGTGCGTTTGAGGGGTCATTAAATGAAATTAGGAAGTTGTATTGTAGATTATTCGCTCTCTGACTCAGTGATTTTACTGTCTCTCACTCGTTAAATGTGTAAAGTTGATTACAGAATTGAGTAACGCCAACGACTCTCCGTGATAAGTGCATTTTTATCGTCTTCACTAATGAAAGGCGCGCTTGTGAAATCTCTCACGAGACATTTGATCCATTTCCCCACAGAGACAAATGCTGCGATCGCGGCATTTGCATGGCTGCAAGACGAGCCGCGTTGGAGGTTGAGGTCGCTGGCAATTGATTGATCATAATCACTCTCACTATGCGTTCTCATTTTACGCAACGCACCATCATTAGATGACTCAAGTGATCGCGCGCCGATCGTCTATTGATCTCCAACTGGTCAGGAAGTGAATTTCCACACTCTTTCCCGCGCATATTTATGATCTTCCCGAACAACTTCGACACATTTCAATGGCCGCGCGCGCGCAAATCGATCTGTTAGCGCGCTGATCTCTGGCTTTCTCCGCCGAAGAACAATGCCATCGCGATTGAATAACCGCCACTTAATTGGTGCAATTGTGATACAAAACAAATTCATGTCAGCCAAAGACGCACCCTTTCATCAGCGCACACTTCTTGCGCGCCTTTTCCCTCGTCAATCGGCAACAAAGGCGCGTGCAATTGCGAAAAAGAATTCATCGCAGTGACAGTTTTGTCGCTGACGAAACACCCGCACTTTTCAGAATGACAAAATTTCACTCATATATTCCTTTTCTACACAACAATCTGAAGTGCAATTGCGATTGCGATGTTGCATAAATGAAAGGCAAGAGTGAAACAAGTGGAAGGCGGGTGAAAAGCCACTGATATGCTTAACAATGTTTTCTTGATTCACCGCGATTATGGTAAAGAAATCGACATGAGAGTCAAATAGGGTCAAATTGGTTAATGTTAATGGTAATTTGAGGCTCTTTATGCGACTTTAAAAGGGTGTAAATCTCGTGCTGAGTTTGTTAAAGAACTACAATCTCAAGGTTTGATAAAATTTGATATTTATTAACCGTGACAAACAGTATTTTTACCACCTTTTGAGGGACACTTTGAAGACCTTGTGATTCATTTAGATTACACTTTGAATATGAAAAGATTCTCAATTGAAGTCTTTTCTTTGAAAATTCGCTATGCAAGGAGAGTTTTTCAGATCTCAGTGCAAATCTTCAGCTCAACTGCCAAAATTATTCAGTGTGAAAATCATCACATCATTCAAAAAACCATCCACTAAATTCAGAGAGGCAATTATACCCCGAAAATGTACATTAAGAGGGGAATTCACAGTGGAAATTGTGTGTTTTATCTCTCAAGCGAGATTGCAATCGAGCAATTTCCTCCAAATACGAAATTAAGAAATAAATAGAATCAATAGGCGTAAACACTTTGACCCAAATCGCGATGCAAGAAGCGATTAGGCCGCGGCATTTGAGTGAAATATGAAAATTTGAAGGTATTAAAGCCACTCTTTTGGGCCCCACATCGCGATATGTCCGCTGTCAAATAAATCAAAGAAACGCGGCAGAAATTACATCGAACCAATAAGACAGAGAACGCGATTTATTATTTGACTTCTTTTGCACTCTTTTGTGAGCCACACACTTGCTCACAAAAGTGTATCACGCGGCAGAGGCCATAAATTCTCAAGTCAGTGATTTCCAAATTTCCATCTAATGCTCTCAACTTCTTTCACTCCACCTCGAAATCGTGTAAACAATTAATGGATGAAAAACAATGTGCACAATTGAATTTGTGATTAAAAACTATTGCGCAAGCGAGAGAACATTATCTTTTGCAATAGTTGCTGATCTCAAACAATATAATTTTCATTAATGGGCATGATTTTGAGGCAGATTTTCAAAACACTCAAAATGTATACAATATTGCAAAATAGCCCGCAACTTTGCGACTGTTTTTGCTTGTGGCGTTTTTGGCGTGGAGAAAGAATAATCTTATTTGATAAATGGTCGGAGATTAAATTGTGCAATTTCTTGATTGATTTGTCTGGTTGCCTTATCGGCCAGAATCAAAAGTTTTTAGCACGCGATTTTCCTGCAACTTTACATAATTCCCATGGAGTCTTCAATCAGATTCTGACACGTCTTTTGGCCAGAATGACAACAGGAAATGCGGTAACGCACAAGACACAAGTGCAGAAACGCTGAGTTTTTAAGTAACTGACCATCGCGAATTACACATATTTGCTATTTCTCCATTGTATTGAAGATTAAATCATCAAATTAATTCTCCTTTTATTGCTGTGTGTTACAATAATTAATTACATTGCACTCGCGGTGTGATCTTTTATGCAACACTCGTTACTTTTGTCTAACACTTCTGTCGGCCGTTGCAACACCTTCAGGTGTCTTTGGATGAATTATTGATTCTCTTCTTCGGGCGGAGCTCAGGCACGGAATATCGTTGTGGAATCGCCAGCTTTGCTATGCCATTTTCAGGGTTACGCGCGAATATCGCTCTGCTCAAGTTGCATAAAATTGTAACAAATTTACCCAATGCGCTCTCGCCCACTCTTTCATTCATGCTCAAGCAAGCCTCTCACCCGAAACACTACAATTGCTGATGATAACCGCTGATTGCGAGCGCATTTGGAGGAAAATTCATCAGCTAAATGTGACTCTAAATCCTCTAAATAGTCCTGAAAGGTTTAAAGACAACAATTCTTCACTCCTGTGGCGCCAGACTCTTGCGGTCAGGGAGGAATCCCAGGAAGTCAGCAGTTCTCGGGCTCGAAAGGGACACAGAGAGAAGAGATGAAAGTGAAACTCGAGAGCACCTTCTTGAGACACCGCTGCGCAGATTAGGAGGAAAAAAGAGCAAACGGCGTTTAATAGTAAAATTGCATTATGCGGCTAATTTATTGGCGTGTCGATAATAAATTAAAGTCACAACAAAAGGAAGGGAGAAAAAGCGAGTCGACGGAGCCTGAAAATGTTGAGCAACTCGTGCAGAGGCGAAGACACAGAAATTATATAGAGTCATCATCGACAGGCTGATAAATCACTGGGAGAGTCAAGAAATGGGGCGAGCCTTGAAATTCTTCCCGCGCCGAAGGGAGAGAAAACTATCACAATAGGATTAATTGCAATTTCTCCCAATAAATCATGCCAATCGAGAACGTCAGTCGGCCAAGTCATTCGCCCCAGAAACACCGCGTTTCCCCGTGACTCTCGCGGCCGCAGCCTCTTCGTCTCCGCCCGCGGCGATCGCGCCGAAATGAGGATTATGCAAGCGCCCAAATACGAATAATCCCATACTCCAATTCCGTCTGTTCGGCACGCAGAGTTGGGCGCATTAGATTTTGAGCGGCAACAACAGGTTGTTAATTCACTTCACTTTGCATTCAACATTTTAACATGAATATCTCTGCTCAGCCACGAACGCCGAGGGGCCAACAGCGGCGGAGAAGCATCGCGTTATGCAAAAGTGAAAGATGATCGCATAACAATCGAGAAAAAGTCACAAGATGCGCCGGCAAGTGAGTGTCCCAGTTCTGGAGCACGCGCGATATTTTCTGGCACAATTCAAAGTGCAATTACTGCATCTCGTGAAAGGTAATCGCATAAATGTAAAGGCATTGCGTCATATTGAAACATCTCAGCGGAATGATAAAAAAATCGTTTTTTAAACACTTCGTTGCAATTAATATTTACTGCATTTTCTTCATTGTTTGTTGCAAATTTTGACCAGAAAAAAATAGAAACTAGTTTGGAAAATAAGTCTTGAAATTTGTCAAAGAATTAGAAAAAATTCCTACAATTTGTTGATATGAAAATGCTTTCAATTGGAAGGTAATTCTTGTGGTGTTCAAGAAGTTTGTGAATTTATTTTCTAGTAGAATCAAGAAATTGATTAAAAAATCAATAAGATATTAAAGATTTCAGCTTATTTTTACTCATTTACCTTTGTTTTATAGACGGAATTGTTAAATTCGTGTTTTTCAAGATGTTTTTCTGAGTTTTCCTATCAGAAGAACTTTTAAAAATGACTTCTTCTCAGAGATTTCAGCTTGTTAGAAAATCCCAATGATTTTTCTCTGCCAAATATCACATCTTCATCGCCCAATAACCACACAATGAGTGTGCTTGAGTGCTTCGCCCCTCGGCGCTCAAGCAATTGCCACTATATTTGCTGCTTTTTGCTCACACCTGCAATAATCTCCATGATAGTGAGTTCATGTGCTTTTTAATTCGGAAATTGAACTGCGCGAGAGAGATCTTCCTGTTGTTTCATAACGCCGCAATCTTTTTCTCCACTCTTCAGGCACACGTTTTGTGTTGTGCTCCAAATCGTGTTTTGCCGCTGAGGTGAGAGAGAAGCCAGAAAAAAGACTGCAAGGCGCGTTATGGCATCAATCATAATTAATATTGAGAAATTGGCTGAGCCCGAATTATGTGGAATATTCGGACAAACTCGTGTCGAGAGTATCAAACTTGTGAGGAAATTTGCATTCACACGGCGAAAGTCTCCAATAGAGTTCAGTGCTTCCAACTGGTTTCCATCGGCAGATTCGACAATGAGACGCTTAATTAGATGGGAATCGCCGTCAAGTTGTCTCAGCACGGATTTATGTATTTCGCAGTATAAAGTGATTAGAGATAATATAGAGTTTACTTAATCGCCTCGATGGCCGCCTCGACCGTCTCCTTCTTGCACATCTGGAAGAGGTCCTTGGGCGTGATGGTCATCACCTCGACGTTCGTGGAGTTCAGCTTCTCCTCCATGACCTGCTTCAGTGTGATCAGCGCCAAATTCACGGCCTCGTTCAGGGACATCAGCGAAGTGTAGTTGCTCTGGAAAGGACAACAAGGTCAGAAGAGCCTCAAAAGTCGCCTGAGCGCACTCACTTCCAGGTTCTGCTGCGCTCCCTCGCTGCCCGACCCGATGGCCTTCGCGTCGAACTGGATGTACGTCCCGGAGGGATCCATGTGCCACAGCTGCGGCTCTCCGTTCTCGATTCCGGCGAAGAGCAGCGCCACGCCGAACGGCCGGCTCATGGCCAGACCGCCGGCGTCGCTGTCACCAAACTGGATGGCCAGATTGGACACAGCCTGCACGCACGACTCCACCGGCATGCGCTCATTGTACACGAACCAGTGATTCTGACACTCGACTCTGGCGCGGTCCAGCAGCGTCCGCGAGTCCGCCATCAGCCCTGACGTGGCGCAGCCCACGTGCTTGTCCACCTCCACAATCTTCTCCACCGTCGTGGGCTCCATCAGGCTGGACGTGATGCGCTTCTCCACGGCAATCACGACGCCTTCCTTCGTGCAAATCCCGATGGCCGTGGAGCCCAGCTTTATGGCCTCAATGGCATACTCCACCTGGTAGAGGCGCCCCTCCGGCGAGAAAGTGTTCACACCTCTGTCGTACTCGGATCTGGTCAGGAACATCTGCGGAGGAAGAGCCAATGATTCCCGGACTCAATGTTATGTGAGGTTAGGGTCTGATGACACTGCATAAACACTTTTGCACAGGCAATACAATGGATAGCGCAGAAACTCCGGCTAGGAATTGTTGCTCAGAGTCTTATCTATCTGATTCTCAACAGGAATAGGGAATATTTACCTTATTTCACGGGAATTTGCTATTATTTGAAACACAAACACGCAAATGCTGCGATGACAGTTCAAAAAAGTAGGGGAAATAAACTCTCCTTTGCACGCGCAGCGCCTCTATCGGGATTTAATTGAAATGTTTGCGATTTCAAATCATTTTACTTGAAATCCTGGGAATTTCATTATTTATGGCAATTTTTGCACCAAAACACCAACCAAATATTGTTCAACAAGGAAAGTGATCATCTCAATTTATTGCGATCTTGAATCCTAATTTATCATGCACCAGAAGGCATTCTAAAGACACACAGAAGACATCAATTACACTGTCTGAAGCGCCCTTCTCACTTGTTCTTGTTGTTCCTCCGCCGCAACAGCGTGAGACTCGTGCTGGGATCGCTCAGCGAGTACGTCTCGGGCTCGAACACCGGCGGATACTCGAGGTGCGTGTAGTCCGGCGGCGAGGAGTCGGCCGGAGGCGCGGGAGTCGCCGACACCGGCGCTGGAGTGCGCGGGAAGACGGCCGGCGGCTCCTGGAGTGAGTTCATGGACGCCGTGGCCGGGAAAGTGATGGTCTCGAAGATGCTGTTGCTGTCCGTGGAGTTCTGCCGGCCGAAGATGGCCCTGTGGAGACGCGGAGAGCCCAGAAGCTTCTTCTCCTTGGGCGTCTTGGTGTTGGCGAAGGAGAGCTTCGTGAAGTACGAAGCGCTCCTCTCGACGCTCGCCTTCCTGGCATCGCTCACGGACACATTCTCCTTGAGATCGTTCCTCGGCAGTCCGCCGAACGGCAGACTGGACTTCTTCCCATGCGGAACACTGACTGGCGAGTAGGAAGACACCGGCTTCAGGACGGCGTACTTCTCGAGCGGCTTCAGCGGCGTCTTGGGCGCTTCCTTCTCGCTCACATGCTTGAAGGAGAACATCTTGTCGCTGGTCGTGAGGATGTTGTCCAACTTTCCAGGCTTGAACTTCTTGAAACTCCCTCCGGATCGGGCATTCTTCTCCTCGTCGATCTTTCTCTCCGTGGAGATGATCCAGTTGCCCTTCTTCTTCGACCAACTCGTCACAGTCGGCGACACTTTATCCGATCTCTTGGGCCAGGTCTTCTCCAAGTCGCCCTTCTGCTTGCTGGCGTCCTGCGGATCATCGCCTGAGATGAACTCATACCCGAAATCCCTCAGCTTCAGCCCTTCCTTGCTCCTCGTCATGATAATGTCCACATCGTCCGGCTTGAAGCTCTGCGCATAGTCAGGCGTCTTGGGCAGACTCCTGCTCTGAATCTTGTCAATCTTCGGATTCTCATTGTGCACCTTCGCCAACCTCTCGCCACTGCTGTTCTTCCTGATCTTCTTCCGCACGCCGCGCTCCTCCTTCTTCTCCATGCCCAGGAACACGCGATTGTTGTACACCTCCTTGGCGTCCTCCTCCTGCTTCTGCAGCATCAGATCCTTCAGCGTCATGAAGCCCTGTAGACTGTGCTGCCCCTCCCACGTGCTGCTGATCTTCGGCACGGAGAAGTCGATCGTCTTGGACGTGTGAAAGTCAAAATCCACCAGATTCGGATTCGACGCGTGGATGTAATTCAGCGGCGCCGGCCGTCTGGCCTTCTTCGTCATCAACGTGGAGACGGACTCCTCAGTGGGCTTCTCCGCCGGCAGTGGTGGCGCCTTGGCTTGCGGCACCTCCAGACACACCGGCACAGGCTTCACCTCCTGATTCACCACCTTCCGGTAGCTTCTGAACTGCGCCGTGGGCGTCGGAATGTCCGGCGACGGCTTCTTCTCACTCTTGCTGAACGGCAAGTTGGATTTCGTGAACTTCTTCAGCGACCCGAAACCAAGATGGTACTTTTCATGCTTCGTCGTCGTCACAGGCGTCGAATCACCCTCCTGAGACGTCTTCCCGAGACTGGAAGTCATCACATTCGACGTACTGCCGCCGTAGGAGAACGTTCCGCGCGTCAGCAGATCCGAATCATCGTCTGAACTCTCAGTCTCCGTGAAGATTTCCTTGAGATCCACCTCAGTGCTCAGCCCAATGGCGGGATTCCCCTTCAGCGTGGCATTCCGGATGAACTCCATCCACTGGCCGAGCGCCTCGGGCGTCTCAGCGGCGAAGTAGAACGTCTTCGAGGCGTGATACACCTTGAAGGCGTTCGCCTTCGAGTGCACCTCATTCGCCAGCGACACCGTGAAGCCCGACAGGAAGATGAGGCAGTTCGCCTTCGCGGCGTCCTTCGTCTTGAAGCCATACAGCGCCGTGTCCACGAGGACGAAGTAGCCTTTGGCCCAGTAGGCGGCGCCGCTCTTGTCCTTCGTCCGCCTGTACAGATGCCCCTGAATGTCGCTCACGGTGAGACACTTGAGCGTCACCTTGCGCCTCTTGGCCAGAATCGAGTTCTTCTTCTTCAGCGTCAGTCCCTTCGTCTTGGGCGGCGTGAACAACTCCAGCGCCTCGAAGGGCTCCTCACGGAAGTGCTTCATCGTGGGCAACTTTGGCGGCGGCGGAGGCTGACTTCGGTGCTGATTCACGCCCTCCGCCACGCTCTGACACGCTTCCCTGCTCTTCAGATCCACCACAGTCGCCACCTTGGACTTCACATCATCGCTGCCCGGCTTTATGAATCCTCCGGCGCCTTCCAGGTTCTTCCTGGGCCGTGGCGGCGGTTCCGGAGGCGTCGTCTGCAGGAATTCCTTGCGCGGCTCAATCGCCGGCGGAACATCGTCGTCATCATCGTCGCTGCTATCACAAATCGACACAGAAGCGCAAGTTTCCAGCCTCTTCGTGCGCCCTTCTTTGCTGTTGATCAGAGCCGTGTTGATTGCCTGCACAACTCCCGTCTCCGGCGTCATTTTGGTCGCCATGTGACTCTGCTCGATATTCCCACAATCCAGAGACGTGAGCTCATCCTCGTCGGCATACGGAATGGGCTCGAAGGTCTCGATCACAGTGTTGTCAACGTTGAAAGTGCACTGCAAAAGAGGAATTTCCTTATTTTAGTCAAATTTCTTTGAAAAACACTAAATGCCAGGCTTAATGACTCCAAAACTCAGGAAGATTCTGACTAATTTCAACACTCTTTCAACTCACATTATTCTCCGAGTCAAACTCCTCCAGATCCGCGTCGAATCTCACGACTTTGCTCACGCCGCTCCTTCTGGCGCTGTCAGAATCCTCCTGGCGCTCGCTCTCCTTCCGCTCCTGCTTCTCCTCGCCGCACTTCTCCGACATGATCTCCGGCAGCGAACCCTTGAGCGCTATGAAAGTGTTGGGGCGCGGCGCAATTTCCAGCCCGTGGCCGAAGGACACCGACTTGTCCTTGCGCTCCTGCCAGAACACCACATTTCCCAGGTTCTTGAAGCTCGACGTCTGATCACCACAGATCGTGTTCCTGCGCTGCAGCACCGGTCGCGACTTCTGCAGGAACAGCGGCAGATCCTTGGGCGCCTTTGGCTCCGTGGGCGTGAGAATGTCGCTGCCATTGCTGTCGGACTCCGAGTCGCTGACGTGCTTCTCGAGCGGACGCGACAGCGGCAGCGGCAGATCGTTGATGGAGAGCAGCTCTGCCCGCGGACTGGGCAGCGTTTCGCCCCATCTGTAGTGCATGGCGCGCTTCTTGCTGGGCAAGCGATAGGGCTTCATGTAGATCTGCCCGTAGATCTTCATGTGCTTCGGCCGCTTCTTCAGCGTCAGCAGCACGTCGGGCTTGGACTCGAGCAGCTGCAGCAGCACCTTCTTGTGCTGCCACCCCACGACCGTCTGGTAGTTGATCTGTACAATCTCGTCGCCCTCCTCGATCTTCCCGGACAGATGCGCCGGAGAGTTGTAGCGAATGTCGGTTATTCTGTCGAAGAAGGGAAATAGAGTGTCGAGGAAATGGAATTTGCTGCCTGAGGAACTCACTTGTGAACTCCGTGGACGTCAGGCATGAGATTGAAGCCCAGATCGGACTCCTTCTTCTTCAGCGTCACGAGGAGCAGACTCGCCGGCTGCAGCAGCATCGGATCCGAGATGTCCTGGATGATGTAGTCGCCCAGTTTGGCCAACTTCTCGGCATTCGTCTGGATCTGATTCACGGGCTCGTCGGCGAATCTGTCCCTGTGCGCACTCGTGGCCATCTCCAGTCCGAGGCGCAGCATCTTCGAGCGGATCTCGTTGAACTGCCGCTGGCCCTTGAACGGCGCCCTGTCGAGCCACCAGATCAGCGGCTTGATGGTCGCCACGGTGCTCGTGACCTCCTTCAGGATGTTCGTCTCGATCACGTTCTTGTCCTTGCAGTACGTCAGCTGCTTGTGCAGACTCCACGCCTGCGACGCCACCTGAAGCGCCAAATACTGCAGATTCTCCTTGTCCAGGTTGAAGTGCTGCAAAGAGAGATTTTTCACCCTTCATTTAACGCACTTCCGCCAATCGCTAACGGTGTGACGATTCTTCTGCTTAACAGTTTTAAGTACTTTTCGCTTCATCGACTCTTTAAGCGGCGCGAAGAGAGATTTTTGGCCATCCAATTGAAGCATAATTGAATTTCTTCACAGTTTAGCGCGCTTTTAAGCAAAAACTACCTCCAAAATCTCTTGTTACATAAAAATTGTATTAGAGAAATGCTGGGTAAATTTGGACAAAAATCGTCTTTTACACCTTTTATCAGAATATTAAAATAATTTAACATTTTCCAGGAGACTCTATAGAATAAATTATGTATTTCCGTGGTTTTTGTATATTTTATTGAGCCAGTTCATTTCATTTTCATTTATTTTCAACCCAACATTGTGGTGAAAAAGGCAAGTTGCATGAAATTCGCATCGATAAGTGTCGATAACCAATAAATTTAACGCGAAAAAAACAATTATTACGCTAAGGAAATAATAATCTTGAGTTTTAGCGTGATTTAAGCTTCAAAAATCGCATGAAACTGCAAGAAATTAGCATATTTGACCCTTGTTGACAATAAAATTAAAGATTCTGTCCAATAAAAACAGCTCTAATCTTCTCTATTCAGAAAAATTGTATAGGTTTGAGTTAAACCCACTTGAGCCTTCAGTCTGCTCCCGCTTTAACATCATCTGCAAAACCCCAACAATTCATTCGGCCGAAGAAATTGGACCAATTTCCAGCACAATAATCACAATAAAAGACACCGATTATTGTCTGACTCTCTTGGCATCCTCTCAAATGACGCCCAACACTTTTGTCGCTGGCGCACGACTTCTCAATGCCCTCGTTTCAGATAAAAGGCTCTCAAAAGCATTGCGTCACTTCTTGTAAATGCACCAAATGCACCCTTATCGCGGCCACTTTCCGCTGCCCCCGATAAAGAGACAGTCGGGAAGACGCTCGGGGCGTGAGTCATGGCTGTGGCATTCACTTACGAAGTTCCTGAGCAGCCGCACGGCCTCCAGGACGATCTCCTGGTGGCTGATGGAGTACATGCCCAGTTGCTCGAGGATGTACGGCCGGATGCTGAGCAACTCCTGGCCGCCCACCTCGTTGTTGGTGAAGGAGTTCACGTAGTGGTACATGGAGTTGTCCAGACCTGCGGATGAGAGTGGGCAGATGTGATTGCGAGCCTTCGGGAAGTCGCGGAGACGCGCCAAGTGGCGATAATGGGGCTTTAGAGACGCTTCCGGTCGCTCGTCATTCGGGCAAGAGGTGCACTCTGGGTTTGTTGGCCTCGAGCTGGCGATGACGTCGCGCGGGAGTGGGTCAGGGGGTGGAGAATTGGATGAATGGAGAGACTTTTCAAGGATTTCCCCAACTTCCTGGAGTACGACGCACGTCACGAGTGACACGGGGAAAATGTGTCAAGGATATCGGCGGGAATTTAGGTCACGCAGAGGAGAAGCAGTGTGTTGACCCGCCAGTGTGAGGTCATGCCGTGTCCTCGACGTCACCCATACTCTCTTCAGCTGCTCCCGGACACATTTTTCCCATTTTTCCGCTCCGGAAGCGCCCAGAGAGGCAAATTTGCAAAATGCTATGCGCTCACCTTTGAGCCAGTCGACAACCTGTTCCGCTGACCACTCAGCCACATTTATCCGCCACAGCGTCATTCTCACGCGTGAGTATTTGCACTTTAGCACCAAATAGCACAGCAATTCACATCATTTCACTGAACACTCCGAAGGGAAAAGGAGCTCAAAGCAAACGCACCTCACTCGCAGCACTTCTTGCGATTTTTGCGAATTCCAACCAGCTTTCCGCGAGGGGGCGCACATGACTCATTATTTCCCCTCCGCGATCGGCTCGATTCGGTCGGAATTCGCGCCTCGCATAGTTCACAGATACGCCGCCAGACATTCTTGGAAATTCCTGGTGAAGAACGTAAAAGAATTTCTTTCCCTGCTATCTGGCCAGCGAAAATGCCCCAGAACTTCCTGCCCCTGGAGGAGAATCCGCCCTTCATCGGGGACTGGGTGTGCGAGTCCAAGTTGGGCTCCGGAGGCTTCGGATATGTGACTCTGTGGCGCAATAAGAAGACCAAAGAAGCTGTTGGTGAGTTTCTCTTTTTCTCTTATCATTTATCGTTCTATTGATGAGTGATTCATCAGCCCAATTATCACTTTCTGGACGGGAGAAGCAAATAGTCTCCCGTGGGTGTGCGGCCGGGAACTGACAATGCGGCAATGTCTATTTTTAACCCGGATTTCCTTGCCTTTCAGCTGTCAAGAAGTGCAATCTTCTCAGCATTGATGACAGCATCTCAGAGCGCCAGAAGGATCGCTGGGAGTACGAGGTGAAGCTGATGACCACCAGTATCAAATGCGACAACATCGTGAAGACTGTGGCGGTGTCAACGGACTTCCACGCTGGCCTTCTGAGGAACAATCCCTCGAAGCTGCCCGTGTTGGTGATGGAGTTCTGCGAAGAGGGCGATCTGCGGCGCGTGCTGAGCAGGAAGATCAACTGCAGCGGCATGCCAGAGGGAGAGATCAGGGCCGTGCTGACGGCGCTGCGCAAGGCCATTTCCTATCTGCACGAGCAGAAGATCACGCACAGAGACATCAAGCCGGAGAACATTGTGCTGAAGCGTGAGGGCGACAAGATCATCTACAAGCTCACAGATCTCGGCTATGCGAAGATGCTGGACAGGCAGAGTCTGCAGGCGAGCCTGGTGGGCACGATGGAGTATCTGGCGCCTGAACTGCTGCACAGCGACAAATACAGCTGCACTGTCGACTACTGGTCGCTCGGTTTGATCGCCTTCGAGATCATCTGCGGCTGCAGGCCGTTCCTGCCGCACTCCTCCATGGCTCAATGGTGAGTAGTGCCTAGTTTATTGTGAGGAAGAGTCCTTGGGATTAACTTTAATCGTTTTTGCAGGATGGTGAGAGTGAAGCAGAAGCGTTCGGAGCACATCTGCATTGTCGAGGATCAGGAGGGAAAGGTCACATATCGCTCGGAACTCTTCTCCGAGGCGCAAGTTTCGCCGTGCTTCAAGCGTCGCCTGGAGCAGTGGCTGAGGCTGGCGCTGGAGTGGAATCCGAAGCAGAGAGGATTCGTCTTCGAGACGCCAAGCGCTGATGGGGAGAAATCCCGAGGGAAGTCCGTGAAATTCGCCGACAATCTGCAGGAGGACGAGGATGAGCCCAAAGCGGACGCTGTGAAGCCCGGCCCAGTGCAGGTGCTGAAGATCTTCACGATGCTAGACGAGATTCTGGAGAAGAAGATTTTGACGGTGTTTTCGCTCTTCACGTATGAATTCCTGAGCTATGAGATTAACCAGCAGAACACCGTGGCTGATCTGCGTCTGTGGATCGCCGAGAGTACTCAGATTCTGCCCGAGAGTCTGGACTTCATCCTGCCCATCATTCAGAGCCTCCAGATGATCGAGGAGGACACGAAACTCACGGAACTCTTCATCGAGGACAACTTCAAGGATCCCATGCTGTTCGTGATGAAGAAGGGCAGCGTGCTGGACAGCGACGTGAAGCCCAAGATTCCGGACTCCTTCATTGGCGTGTTCGAGATGCCGAAGACAAAGCTGAAGATTCAGGTTCTCAGGCGCTTCGCCAGCAATTCGTACTACTTCGTGAGAAATGAGCAGCGATTGTACAGCACGGCGATCAGTGGCATTTACAACTTTGCTCTCTGGCTGAACGATCAGATCCAGAAGTTTAAGCCCAGTCTCAGCCAGATGATCGAGGCGGCGTTCGAGCTGAAGGGACAACTGAAGATCTACGAGAACGCGTTGAGTCACACGAAGGAGAAGCTGCTGGAGCGCGAGATGATCTCCGTGCTGAGCGCCTCCTTCATCGCCTGGCAGGAGACGTACGACAAGATGCTGGCCAATGCCAACAAACTGATTGAGGCCGCCAGGAAGATCTGGATTCGCTATGATTCCGTGCTGAAGAGGAGCCGCGAAGCGGTGAAGAACAAGATCTTCGAGGGAACGGAGGACATCTTCAGTGGGTAAGACGCTCTTTATTACATTTTCTCATCTTCTGCCGGCTGTGACACCTTTTTGGGCTTTTTCAGGAGCATGTTGGACAAGTACTATGACAAGATTCGCCATGATATCATTGAGAAGAGGATCAGCGAGGAGTCGCACAAGGACATGCTGAGGATTGTGTACAAGTGCCTCAAGGACAGGGACAACATTCTGCGCAACAGGGACTTCACCAAGTACCAGGAGTTCATCCTCGGCATCCAACTGGAGATGGAGGAGATCCAGAAGGCGGTGGAGAAGGCGAGCGCCCAGACGGCGCTGTATCAGCGCGACGTGGCGAAGATGAGTTTCGAGCATCAGGAGAACATCTGGAGCTTGTCCGGGAGCTGCGAAGCGCGCCGCGTGAGCAACAGCATTCCGGATCTGGAGGGAATGCTGGAGAGTCTGAAGGTGGAGAGCGAGGGCAAGGCAGAGTCGACTGATGCGAAGATGGGAGACTCCATTGTCGACTCTCTGGGCAGCATTTCCTCGTCGCATCTCTGCTTCGGCGAGAATCCCGACACAAAGACTCTCCTGGAGGACAACCAGTCCCTGATCTCGGCGTGAGTTTATCGCAAAAGCCTCTAGCCCAGTGTTTGGCACTCAGTTCTGCTCTGCTTTCAGGTTGGATCACCTGCTGAAGGATGGCCTGGGCGAACTTCTCTCTGATGCGCCGGATGCCAAGTGATTTGCTGCATTTCTCTGTCTATTTTTATTACCCTATCGAAGAACCTAATATGCTATTGGTGACGAAGAATCGCGCGACTTCTCACTCTCTGCCCCACGTCGAGAGGTACTTGAGGAGATCTGTGAGGCCGTCGAAGTCCGTCCGACTCTTTGGCGGGTCATTTCTTGGCACTTGCGGGAACGTTCCTCTGACTTTCATCTTGAACTCATCCATCTGCCGAGACAGAGACTTATATTAATAGATTCTGAGGCGGAATTTTCCATGCACTGCGCGTGACCTACATTGGAGGCGCCGGAGAGCTTCCAGCAGCCGTAGCAGAAGGCGCCAACGCCCACGACGCTGTACAGCGTGCCCCAGCCCAGAGCCCGCAGGGCCAGCCGGCTGCCGCCCTCCAGCAGCGCCACGTTGCCCGCCTTGGCGGTCTCGAAGACGCTCGGATCTTTCCGCTTGGCCGTCATGATGGTGCGACTGAATCCGGCGAGAATGGAGACTCCAGCGACGGCAGTGAGGAACACACCAGCTAAGCAGACAATGTCTTTTCACACTGATAGCGCGAGATAACACAGCATCTTACCTTTTATTCTGTACGCGCGGTCGTTGCTCTCCTCCGTTGTCACCTCTGCAGCGTCTGTCATTGTTCCTGGGAGTATTTTTAGCCGGAAATCATCATTTTTTCTCAAGTCGTGTTTACAAAAAATGCACTGATGACACTTTTCACCTCCAAGAAAGCGAGGTTATGCCAACTTCGAAAATCCATTTGAAATCAAACAGTTATCCGTGGTAAAAATTACTATTTATTTATTATCATCATTGCCATTGATTAATTCAATCCTACTCGTCAGTAATCCAGCCTTTTTCACGCGCACGAGTTTGAAAAATCAGTAGCATCATCTATTTCTAGGCCATATTTAGGCTCCGTATAATAAATGCAATATTGATTGTTGGCGGTATAGGAATATCTGATGTGGAGCCTCTTCAGTCCTGAATTGCGAGTGATGAAATGCGTGAAGTAGAGGGAGAAAAAGTCTTCAGTAAAGATGCAGGGGCGGCAGGAGCAGAAATCAAACTCCTGAATATTCCGCAACTCCAGAAAGAACTCTCCGTGGTTAATCAAATTATAATGCACATGGAGCGTATTGAGCTGCGTCCAAGGCTGCGCCAGTTCTCGCAAGTTCTTCGCCGTATCTTCCGACGCCTTGCAATTCTTAAAATTGGCCACTTTGAGCTTCTCAAACATCTTGCAGAGGCGTCTTACAGAAGTTTTCGCGATCTTGAACTGCTCGAGGTGAAGACTCCTCAAATTATTATCACACGTCCTCAAAATGTCGAGCAGACTGAATATTGGACTGCTAAAAGCTTGACTGTGCGCCCTCAAAGTGTGAATGCGTGAAGGCGTCAATCTCTTTAGAATCTCCTGCACTTCCTTCACAGTCCATCTTTTGAGATTTTCTTTGTTAAATTGCAAAACATGCTTCGTTTTGTAGAGCATCTCAGCCACGGCCTGGAACCTCTCGCAGACATTCTCCATCGCCATCACTTCCCGGATGTCCATGAAGACGAAGACCGTGAAAAGACAGTCATCATTAAGGATCAAGATTGACTGTGATTCCATTGCGTTCGTGGCCTGTAAAATATTTAACTGTCATTTTTTACACGTGTTTATTACATACCTCCATTGAAGTATGGATATTCCTCTTAACTCACAGAAATAGCCTAGAAAATAGCCCAAGCAGTAGTCGAAATAGCCGATTTTTACAAAATCTTCAATCAAATGTTTCCTCTTTTACTGTCACGTCGGAGAGGTGTTTTCACAATTGTGGAATGCACTAAACCTCCAGAGATTCTTTTGTAACTGCACTCTATCCTTTAACTGTATTTATTGAACTCCAAAACCAGAAATCTCAATTCGCCTTTGAACTTCGTGACTTTAATGATGCCATCATGGCGGCTCGCTTTGCGATGTTTTCCGATGTACAGCCGAAGTTCGCGATCGTGTTTCCGCACTCCGGAATTATGCATCGCAATCTCTGAGTGTACAGGTTTGAGCATAGAAATATTATTCTTCCTCTTACAATGCAAAATGCTCGATCATTCGCTCAAAATCTGAAATTTAGCGCGATCAAAAGCGATTCGCGCGATGTACTAAAAATCCGTCAAGCAGTTTGTCTATTGGCCCACTCGTGGCGCCACCGGTGAATACCGAAAATTAAATGCCAGCTTTCGAGCGGAGTGTCAGAGAGTGTTTTTCTCTGTGTGCTTCATTCGCTCTACGAGAGCTCACGCCTTTTTATAATTAAAACACAATTCCAATCAGTTGAGTGCGTAATAAAGAAGGCACAACTCGCAATCTCGTAAATGTAAGACAAGCGTTCTTCAGTTGGAGCATCTCTTGGCCACCGTGATTGTTGGATTTCCGTGTGATAAGATTGGGATCTTGAGGAATTTCGTGTGTTGATTTATTTCTCTGTTTTTTCCGTGTCTGTGCCTGTGTGCGTGCTTTACATGTTTTCAGTCGCCAGATGTGTTGTCCGCGCAAATCGTGGCACAGGTGATGACTTCACCGAGCCCCTGTCCGTCGTCCTGTGATCGTGTCCCCCGCAAAGGCGCCCCAATGCGCCCCGCTTAGCGGAAAAGAGCGCCCAGTCACCCGCAGATTCGGCCCAGAGACGCGCCCGGACAGGATGGACGTGGAATCGGATGAGTCTGAGCGATGGGAAGACTTCTTCGGTATGTGATGTGCTCTCCTGCATAGTTTCCCGAGTATGGCATTTATGTAGCATTGCAACACACAACGCGAGTGCGAGCGAGACGGCGATCTCCAATTGATCTTTGGTCCACAAAAAGCTCAATTCTCTCCACTTTTCTCTCTGTTTGCTCAACCACTGGAAATGTAAATATTTTTCTTGTCTTCACCTTTTACAAGAAAGTTTTCTTCTCACGATCACGGTTTTTGCGTGATCGAGGATCGCTGGAGATTTTGTCAGTGAAAACTCCCGAACAGTGAATCTTTTGAGGCTTGGGAGAGTTTTTATTTTCATAAATTCAATGAAAATGAATGTTGGGAAAGTTTGTTTACGTGTAAAGTTAGTCACATTTGCTATGAATTCGTAGTGTTGCCATAGATAAAAAAATCTAGGCGACATGATCGTTTTTCTGCCATCTTTTTAGTCTTGTAAACAATTTCACGAAAGCCTCAAAAGATGTTAAATCAGTGGTTTTAAGATACTTTTTCAGAGCTCTACATCTTGTCAGACGGTTTATACGTCATTATAAATTGAAGCTCAATTTTCAGTTTTCACCAATATAGAAATGATTTTGCCCTTCCTTTCTGTTTTTAATTTCTGCACGAAAACGATCTCTTTTCATTTCTATTTCGAAGTTTTTCATGTTTTCCTTTTATTCTCATAGCACTTGTGCATTAGCATGCAATGTGTATTCAGTGTGGTGCTTTTTGGGGTTGTGTTCAGTTGAAAGATTCATCGTTTCTAACAAAAATTGCGGGTAAGGAAATGAAATTGTAGATTTTATTAATGTCTCTAGCCAATGAGACTACAAAATAATGAAGTCCAACGGCAGCTGTGAAATGAATAATCTCATTCAGCGTTTCAGCGCCCGTTTGTGCCAATTCGGCTGTATCGAATCTCCTCGCATTGTGGCAAGTGCACTTACCCGAGTGTCGAATGGAACACGCGTTCGGTGCATAGCGAGCGTGAGCATATATTTACGACTGTAGCATCGCGCTAGTGGGTTAACATATCGCCGCGGAGAATTTATTTTATCGGTGTCGCAAGACGCGAGATTATGTAAAAACGCTGCCGAATGTTGTGACAAGATTTCGAAGAAAGTTCCATCTCTCATTGACCAGTTCATCGCGATATCTGTCCGGAGGAAGAAGAGAAGTGACACGAAACAGACACAATATCAACCCATAAATCCAATTAGAATGGCTCACAGTGCGCGACGTTCACTGGGCAGATCGGTGAAAAAGTTGTTCATAAATTGACTTTTTGGAGAAAAGGCGGTGAAGCTGAATTACGTGGGCTTCGACAGATTCGTGATCAGAATCTTTCTTCTTCGCCTGCTTTTTTTTCATGGTCAAAAAAATCATCACTAATGATGTGCAATTTGTTCATTTTATTGAGAATGCTGGTAAAAATGCAAGATCGCACGGGAATTATTGAATTCTTCTGTGATTCCGTGAGACGATCACGATCATCAGATAAGATCCGTTTACTGACACTCGGCAGCATCTGCTTGCGCGTGATTACAATCAAACAATTCTTCATCACTGATCACTCCACGATGTTGATTATTTGCTGCATTCTATTAACTAACTCGGCGATTAATTTACGATCGTGTCGTGGAATATGCAAATGAGCGATCGTAAATTCATAATTGGCAGGTTAAGGTGAAAATTTGGGCAATTTTGCATAATTGATCGATATTGGTGACGATTGGAATGCAATAAAATAGCTTTGTGGGAGATTTTTTCGCAATCACCACTTCAAAACACCCATTTGAGAGAAAGCTCAAAGCGTTTCAGTAGAAACAATTCATATTGACGTGGCTGAGGAATTGAACTGGGGGAAAAAACTTCTTAGGCAGCGCAATTTTTCGCTCAATATACTCAAGTGGTATCATTGACTCCAAATGTGCAATTATCTTGTACAATTTTGCATCTAATTACACCGAAGCGTGAAATGGCTCTTAATGGGAAACAATCGTTTAGCCAAAGGTTGATTTATCATGAGTTTTTCCGATTTATGAGTGCCTAACACATTATTTTTTTAAGTAGTTTCCGACTTTACTGCTGTGAATCTGAATTTGTGATTGTGTAGAGGAGCTTCTGAAGCACGTTTTGATGATTCATGGGATGAATGAATGATTTCAATTACATAAATTCAAGCCAATGAATCACTGCGGTTTTGATATTCCGTTAGTTTTGAGATGCATTCTTAAATGATGATTGCCAAAATATCATTTCCAGCCCTAAAAGTGGGACATATTTTAATTAAGACACTCAATATGTAATGTTTGTGCGTTAATCTTCTGCCACAGACGTTCATATAAGTCAATTAACGAGTGTTTCTCAACTCTTCACCGCTAATTAAACGTGTCCTGAAATCTCAATATTTTCTCTATATACATTCGGTTTCTCCTCAACCACTTTAATAATAATTTCATTGCAAATGGTTTCATTAATTGTTGTAGAAATTCCAGTGGTTTTTTCTTCTTCTTCCCCACCTGTTCGCGCGTCTTCTTGTGGACGCTTTTTCTGCGTAAAAAAGGCAACAATTTATTTTCCTCATAAATGTGTGCATGAAATATTTTCCACATTGTTTCGCAGTGCAGTTTAGGCACGATTTATTATGATGCCTTAAGAATGAAACACTGGTTACAATGTTAAATTGTCTCATAATGTTCCGTTCTGTTCACTTCCCATAAGAGTTCAATTCATGAATTGACTCTTGACCATTTACCAGTAGCGAGATTACTAACATTGCTGGAATGCCTCACGATTTATTGGGGAGTGTGTGTGTCTGTTTTTTTTTTTATCTTCCTCTTTGGAGATGTTTTTCTCTGAGAGAAAGGAAGTCAATCTCACGTATTTTCACTCCGTCACACTTTTTACCGTGGCTTTTTTGCCTGCAAATTTTGCTGTTTTGCAGTGCGAAAGAAGAGTCATCGTCAGAGTCTATCGGTGGCCTTGTCGCCCAATTTATTCAACTCACAACCACCAGTTGCCATGCTTAATGGACACATCAGTACAGCACAGAAATCACAACTCTTCTCATATACACACATTTTTTCGCAATGCAATTTCTTCATGCGTCGTGATTTTCAATTGAATGTGGCTTTTGATGCTTTTACGACTCTTTTTCAGCTGACTTTTTTTTCGTCAGTCTGGCTCGATATTAAGCATTCACTTTTCGTGTTGCGCCTTCAGCATTAGTGAGAATTGTAGTGTTATTTCAAGTCTTAGTAAGTGCCGAAGCGGTGAAAGAAAAACTGCACAATTTAAGTGGGAATTGGAAGGAAAGGATGACGATGAATGCGGAAAAAGCTGCATTCTAAAGCACACAAGAAGAGATTCAATTGAAAATTATGCTTAGCATCTTCCTTTCGATGGATTTGGTCGATTTGGTTGTTATCAAGGGGGAGATAATATGGTGAAAAGTGATGTAAAACTCAGCAGCAATAAAACACTCTGTGTTTTTCAAGTATTATGATAAAAAAGGTATCTAAAAGTCTAACCAGAGGTAGAAAATGATAAAAATATTGCTTAAAAATCTCAGTTATAAAGTTCTGAGTTAGATTTCGATTAGTTTTTAATTGATTTACAGCATATTAGATGGAATATCGCTGACTTTATTTGACTTATTCTTCGTTTTAGTGAAATATTTGTCTTTTCTGAGACTCTTAAGAAGATCAAGATCAGATTTTAGCCACAATTTCTCCCTCTTGGTTGTCAAGAAGACGCAAAAACTGTGATATTTAGCGATCACAACATCTGTAAATGTTAAATAATGCCTGGGAATTGTGAGGAATGCAATAAAATTCCCATAGTATAATAAGTATGTAAATTTCAGGGTTGAAATTGAAGATCATTGCAAAAGCCATGCGAATTTCCAGCTGATTCTGACAAATTCACCTCCCAACTTCATCTGCTAATGTGTGTAATATCATTGTGCAGAATTGCAATCACACTGCGTCGAGTGCGATTGCATTGTCGATGGGAGAAAGAAAAGCAGCATCTAATTGAGCGTGTGTGTTGATTAAATTCAAACGTCCGCGAGACGGACTGAGGATGATTCATAAGTTTGTTATATGGAGAGATAAAGTGTGTTAGAAAGAGCGAATGGTGAAAAAAAATCAAGGGGGAAAATGGCAATGCGATACCTCTCGCTCGCACTCGGGCTTTATATCAAAAAGTCTCCTTCATTGTGTGTTCCAATGATAAAAGCCAATTCAGTTCACTCGCTGATAGTGATTCGTTCAGGTGTGGCGGTGAAAATTGCGTGTGTTCCTCTGTAAAAGTGCTTTCATCCCCCTTTGAAAAAAAGGAAACTGTGACTTTTCTCTTTCACGTGTCTCTCTTTTCTTTCCTCTCCAAAAGCAAGCAAACACTTTTAATTGGGGGAAAATAAAGGAATTGTAACTACAAAGAGGTGAGAATGATTTGTAATCACGATCTTAAGTGAATCTCCACCTGTGTTCGTTCTGCTTCAACAATATTTGGTTTTTCCTTTCATTTCTCTCCTCATCTATTGTGCTTTTAAGTAAATATATTTGTAGAGTTCTTTGTGTTGAAGAATGTTCTGAGAGTGTGAATAGAATATCATATTATTTTCATGTACGCGAGACTCACTTTGGCTCGCGGTGTGAAAAGAGTGAAATAGGTCGCGAAATACTGCTCGCGAAATTGACATGGAACTCGATTATCGTGTTTTCAGGGCGCAACAGTGATAAAATATGAGTCTAATGTGTGATAAGATGCAATATCGCAAGGAGTTGACAAATGGAAAGCTCAGCGAAAGGCTCGAAAATATGTAATTTATTTATCATAATGTTGTCCATTCGGTCTGAAAGTCACCGAAATATCAATAAAAGTCGCGATTTTCAGTGGATTTCATTATCTATTGGCCCGCGATAAGCGTCAGTTGCGAAATGTTGCAATTGATAAGGGCATTTTTTGTCGCTGAGGCGAGCTGAGAATATCGCAAACTCCTGCTAATAAGTGTTTATAAATAAAATGGCTGAACGGGGAGACGCGATTGATGTTGAAGAGTGATCTTGCAACATGTCAGAAGGCGACCAGAAGGAGGGAAAGATTGATAGCGAGGAGGCTGCCAAAACAGCATGATAATTGGATGGAGGAAGTGATTCTGTTAAATTGATAAAGAGTATCATCAATATGCGATCATTCAACGGGTCGTTGGGAAGATTGATTTATTCACGAGAAGTGCACACATCAAACTAGACACACATGTTGCGACGCACGAGAGGAATTCCACTTTATCGAGAGCGACTCCAGAACGCGCGCACGGCAAAGTGTGTGTTGGGGATTCGATCGAGCATATCGCAGTGAAAAATCGCTTAGAAATGAGGAAATTGTCTTGCCGTGTGGCAGAATGATCTGAAGAATTGCCCCAATGAGGCTGTGCACGAAAAAAATGCTATAAATCACATCATTAGCTTCACAATGAAGTGAATAATCGCGCACTCACTTTCGCTGTCAAGCGAGGAAGGCTGAAGAGAATCGCGAGCAGAGCGGAATGTTCCTTGAGAAAAAGTAGGATGCCGAATCGATTGTGCAAGCTTCTTGAGGAGGAGAATCGTTGGTTTTGTTTCACGTGTTTCTACCTGACGCAATGCCGCAGATCACATGGCTTTGCTGTTCGCCATATGTGTTTTTAATTTGCGGTGTGAATTAACTTGAAATTCAGTGAATTTCCATATTTGATGCGAAGCGATTAACGTCTCGCGGGCGCGCGTTGCTTAATTTTAATAACCCCTGAATTTCGATCATTTCACTTTTTTGCACACGTGAATTTGAGAGTCAGTTTGAGGAGTGCTTAATGGGTTAAGTGGCTGGAATTTAAGCGTCGATTTGACATTTCGCGATAAACTTGGGTTATTTTGCTGAAGAGCCGATTCAAGGCACTCCAATTGGCAGGAGGTTAGACTGGGTGCAACTCTTGACCGCCTAATTGATTCCAGAGAGATACGGCGAGGTGAACATGAGAAGAGGCTGCTGCTCAGCAGAGCAGCAATGCCGTTTGACCTGTATTATTTGCTGTCTCTCATTTCGCGCAAAGACTGCAAATATCGGGGCGCTGGTGTGCGTGATGCCATTTAGAGAGTGAAGAAATTGTGCAGCCTTTCAGGAGTGACTTAATTGTCGATACGCGAGGTCCCATAATTGGGTTGCGTAAGCCATACTGAGATGCAATTACCGAACGGACGACTGACCAGGTTGAGGGACGCGCGCAGATCAGTGCCGAAGATGAGACGCTATGGGATGGGAATAACGGGTGTCGAGTGGCTCGATTGCAGTGAATTCGAAGTTAATGGCCTCAAGAGTTGATAAAGAACACACGCTGAGAGCTAAAATCGCTTCATCTTGGAACAGAAACATTTGTTTTACTCACTTTACTAGATTTTTGGATTGAAATTACAGAGTGGAGAAGCGAAATAGAAGAATTCTAGGCTTTTAGAGACATTTCTTTGTAATCTTTCTCTATCAATATTCGACTGCAAATCAACTGTTTAAATTAATATTCTACTGACATTTCTTAATAAACCACTGGATCAGCAAGCAACAGCCACAGAAGAGCTTTCTCAGAAGCGTCTTATTGCAAAATACAATATGTATGAATACACCGAATAACACTGGTTGTCCTCAATCTAAGCGATGCATCAAACAGTGGTTGAATGTTCAATTAAAAGACAGCTCAATTGTCTCGTGATTGAGATAGAAAATTGCGCTTTTCATCCAGAAACGTTCCGAGTGATTTCCACTCAGGCCATAGATTCTGGATGATGTTGAACATGTCGGCTGCAGGTTTACCATAATGTTGGCAAAATGTGTGATTGAAAGTGAGTGGGAACTGTGTGAATAAATTAAGTGCTGCGCCGTTGCATAATTGATGCAGACAAACGACAGTACAGCTTGTGTGTACAAGAAATCCATAAACTCGTACTCAGTATGTGTTTAGGGCTTTTTTTCACCTGCTTCTTGTGTTTTCCGAGCTGATGAGCGAGAGATGGGTTTATTAAACAAATTTAAGGGGGATTTATTTGACTTCGTCAGCAATTCCAGGAAATGTTTGATTCATATCATAATATTTACAAACACTTCTTATCATATTCATGCTCTCTGTCTCCAGTGATGTTGTGAATGACGAACGATATATGCTGAGTTGTACGAATACTGCAATGAAAATAAACTGGCGAAAGAGATGGGAAAATATTGCATTTCACTTATGTTTTAGGGTCAAGAATAATAGATTCATATTTCTGTGTTGTTTTTTATTTTTATGAAATGCAACAACATCAATTATTGCTGTACATTGGCGAGTGACATTGAAATCATGAATTGATTTTCTCAAGTATGCGAGAAGAATTTCACGAGCAGAGATGTGAGCCCGAAGAGTCTGTCCTTGATTTGGCTTCCTTTCTAATTAAATAGAAATTCCTTGCACAAACCGCACGATTAAAGGGTATTAGACGTAATCCATCATGTATGATATGATTGATATTCTCGGTGGAGATTGGCGATGACACAATTATGAGACTGTCGCCACAGTTTCCGCTGCAGGCGCAGATCTCCAAGATGTTGGCGCCAAGAGAGAAATTGAGACGAAACTGAAAATATGTGTGTGAATGGAGTGCGAAACAGTAGCATAATTGCCAGCGCACGAAAGAGATGGTAATTGCACTTTCCTTGTTCGAAATTTGCAATTGCAATTCTCTTGGGCGAAGCGCTGCTGCATTGCAATCACATGTGTGTGGTTTTCACCTCTTTCTCTCTCTAATCGGTGGCTTTGCAGGGAGTTCCACGGATTTGGCGCCGTCGGTGATCGGCTACTATGACCGTCTCTCAACGGAGATATCGAGTGGTGTGGTGATAGCCGATGGTCAGGTGCCCAGGCATCCGGAGAAGCCCAAGAAGCCACCTCAGCTGCTGCCGCGACCGCCGCAAACCCTTCCGCAGAGCGCAGTTTCACCGCGGAAGCAGTTCCATGTGCTCTCGCCGACTGTACAGCGTCTGATTGCGTCGCATGGCGGTGAGAAGGTGTCAGGGGATCAGCTGCGACTGCGGAAGCCAGTGCCACCGCAGAAGCCAGTGCTGAGACACTGTCAGCTGCAGATTCCGCTCTCGAGGAACACATGCAAGCTCTCGGCGCAGTCCGGCAGTGAGCTCGTGGACACGTACGAGTCCTCGAGGCAGGCCGTAGAGGAGGCCGAAGAGCAGGACCGCCACCGGAAGAGTCTCTCCTCGTCCAACGAGGAGCTGAAGACGCCCACGAACGATCAGGAGCAGTTTAACTATCAAGAAGGAAGAGTAAAGTGTCTAGTGCAGCGGCTGCAAAGCCCAACAGCCGAAGAGCCCGACGGGCTGGTGAAGGACAGCCCGGAAACGGGAGGAGACAGTGATGAGACAACGGTGAAGTCATCGCCAATGGAAACGTGCAATTTCTTCGTGAAACTCCCGCCCGACGTGCAGGAAGAGATCGACAAGTGTCGAGCTTCCACGAGGATCTCCAGTCCGGATGCGAAAGGAAGCTACTCCCGGACGAAACTCCTCGCCAACAGACCTCTGCCCGGATCTCCGAAACTGTCGGAGAAGAAGAGCTCGGAGAGTCCGGAGAAAGGCAATGGCTTGAGACCTCTGTCAGGCTCCTCGATCTACTCTCTGTCCTCCACGTCGTCCAGCTCTGGCGAGGAGATTCAGGCGGTTAAGCTGGGCGCCGCCACTTCATACCTGGCCAGCGTGGAGAGCCTGGCGGATCACAGTGATACCGATGGCATATCGGCCTTCGGCTCCGGACTGACGATGTGCGAACGCGCCGTGATGGAGATCATCGACTCCGAGCGATGCTATGTTGAGGATCTTGGCCAGGTGATCCGGGGTTATCTGGATGATTGGAAGGAGCGCGCCTGTCTGAGTCTCGACGATCTCACGGTTCTCTTCAGCAACATTCGCGAAATCTACAAATTCAACACTTTCCTGCTGGAGAGCCTGAAGTCCGCTGGACGCGATCCTGTGGGCATTGCGAAGTGCTTCATTGAGCTGAACGACAAATTCGCAGTCTACACGACTTACTGCACGAGCTATCCCAATGCCATCTCCTTGCTCACGTCGCTGCTCCAGGCGAGCCACACTAACGCCCTGCTCACGTCCACGCAGAAGCTGCTGCAGCACAACTTGCCGCTGGGATCGTATCTGCTGAAGCCCGTGCAGCGGATCCTCAAGTACCATCTTCTGCTCGATGTGAGTATGCACGAGTTTCTGAACTATTTAGCGACTGCTTATCACACACGATCACCTCAATTCTGAGGCTCGACGATTGAAAAAGCGACGGAATATCCATTAATAATGCAATACGATGGCAGTTAATGAAGTAACGGGCAATAGAGTAGACGCGAAGAGTTATTAAATGAGATCAATTTGTTGCACCAGAAGAGGTGAGAAGACCGACCAAGGGAGACATAGTTTGCTTGAATCAGTACACAATTGAAGCTTGATTGGAGATAAGCAGTAGAATTGATTTTTCTCCGCGAAATAATTAGAAAGAAAACATTGAAAGAAAGTTTTTCACTTCCTATTACTTCTGCTGAGTTGTACACCATTTGCTGCTTAATATCTCTCCCTTGAGAGCGATAATGTGGCGATTGAGTTGGAGTGAGAATGAAAATCTTGAACTTGAAATACTGCTAATATATTGATATTTTCAATATGCCTGCCGTCTAAAATAGTTTCAACTTCGAGTTGGTTTTCTGCTTATTTTTATGAGTCCATAAATAATATCAGTAATGTATTTTTTCAATCATCTCGCGATAATTTTTCCTCATCTTTGATCTTTCAAGTCGAATTAGCTCGAAATGAGTCATAATTTTTTTTTCTGTGTTGCCTTCAATGTGATACAAATTCACGTAGGGAAAAACTCCAATTTCCTAGAAAACATATGTTATCAGTGGCGTTTATTAATTCCCAGGAAATTCCTGATAAGAAAGAATGTCTTAATTTAGACACGATTTGTTTTCGGCGCCTAATGGGAAATGTGTGTGCATTAATTTCGGTTGCCAAAACAATTCCCGGGTTCATCATTCACCACTGCGCGATAGAGTGCAGTTAAATGATTCGGGAGATGTGGGCAGAGATTGGGTGAAAAATTGGAGTGGAGAGGCAGTAAAATGAGTATTTTATGACAGTGCAAGAGGCTCTAAAGTGGCTGCGAGGGGGGAAGAGAGATGCTCGGTTGGAATGGGATTAGGCTAAAGACAGAGATTAGTAAGGTAATAAATGTTCTCTCCTCCTGTGTGTGGATTATTTTTAGAACCTGCGGAAACATTGTGATGTTGCCGAGGTGGCTCAAGCACATGAACTCATGCGTGAAGTGGCCAGGAATATCGATCAAGTGAAGAGGAATCTGGAGCAGCAGAGCCGCGTGAAGGAGTTGTCGGGCATTCTGGATGGGTGGCTGGGGCCAGGTGAGGCGGAGATTGATTGATTGGCTGGGAAATGGTGTGGCTAATGCGTGAATTTGTGGCATTCCAGAGCTCACGGTTCTCGGCGAGCTGCGCCAGGAGGGAATGTTGATGGAGAACAGCAAACTACGTGCAGTATTTCTCTTCGAGACAATGTTGATCATCACGAAGCCAAAGGAGGACAATCGACTGCAATTTAAGATGTACATAAAGGTGAGATTTGGCTGTTTGTCCGAAGGGAGAATGAATGAATGTGCTAAATGCCGTGGCTTTTCTTCGCAGAGACAAGACATCATGCTTGTGGAACACTTGCCGGGTGAGCCGACAAGCTTCAATGTGATCCCAGTGAATGATCCTCGCCATCAGATCAAACTGACGGCGAAGAATCGCGAACAGAAGCGCGTTTGGGCGCAACACATCAAGTCCGTGATGCTGGAAGACCTCAACATACCGAATCGCGCTAAGGAGCTCGTCTTCAAGTTGGGCGACGAAGAAGGTGAGCTGAAAAAGACACACAATTCCAGTGGGTGATCACAATATTCAATCTCTTTTTATGCAAATACTCGTGACATTCAAATTACTCAATATCTTTTTGTTGTTCCATTCTCTTATTCAGTCAAATTCATAGAGTAGTGTGGGTGAGACTCTTCTGGCTGAGGTAATAATTCTTTGGAGCCGCGCGCTCCGAAGGAGAAACACAAACAGCAGCAATGCATTTACAATTTGTTATCTGCCTTCCTTTCCCATCACCATCTTCTTTTGCTCTGTTATCTCACAAGCATTCTCACTTGCATTCCTCCCCCGAAAGAAAGAAAAAACAGCGATGAGCGACGAAGAGTCGCAGAGTAGACAAATAGACGAAAATTGAGGCGTATTTTTGTAGAAAATGCAGAGCGAGAGTGAAAAGCGCAAGGGATTCCTAGTGATACACACATTTGGAGTTTTTGTGATTCTAAAGTAGAGAGAGAGAGAGAGAGTGTGTAAATATAATGTAATGTGTATCTTAAGATAACCTTGCAAGCCAAGATGTTGGAAAACAGACAAATATTGAGAGCAGTTCAGATACAATTTTTTCTCTTTGGTCTATTTATATTTAACTTTAACAAACTATTTGAAGAGATCTTGCCGGCAATTGAGGGAAATACTTTAATTTGCATAATTTGTAAAGGTTTTTTCTCCAATCCACAATCAACAATCCACATTAAGAGTCATTATCCGCGATGGATTACACATTTTAAGTGGAGTTTCCATGAAGTGAAATGAATGCAAATCATATCAAATCAAATCACACTGGAAATTGGACGAGAGAGTAAAAAATTGTTACTATTACACAGTGCGTAACATTTTTATGCGATTATAATTTCTATATGGCGTGAAATTTTATATTTCACTCATTCTCTCGAGCGACCTCGACACGCAACTCAGGCTTTTCTGTAAGAAAAAACGACGCCTTTAAATTCTTTTTGTCGTGATTTTGGGCAAGAAATTGTTCTTTGACATGAACTTTGAATGAAAATTGTTGCAGAATTAGTGAAAGTATGTTAAGAATTTAATTTAATTTCATGTTAAAGCAAATTTTTGAATAATTTTTCTTAATTATGCGGTTTTCTTTTTCATTTCACATTCAAAGTGTCTAAAAGGCAATTAAAGTCATATTTTGGGGCTTTTTTTGAGGTGTCAACAATTGAATGCTTATGAAATTATTAGACCTTCTCTTTTTACAATGTTGATCATAATATTTTTTTACAACTCTCTCAGGCATTCAGTGTGAATTGACCGACTCAATTGCCAGATTGCTCTTCTCGATTTGAAGTGGAAGAGAAATGCCAAATTATTCTCTCTTTTTCGAGAAATGCGTTGATTTAATTGCAAATACTTTTGATGATTACAATTTAGGAGGGAAAAAAAGAAAAATTTCATGGTCTGGCATGTAAAAAGGTTGAAATAACTGTGAGTTCCTCTTCAAAAGTGTAATATAAACTTTTGAAAATAATTTATGGCCACAATTAAATGAATTGTGCAGCATTTGCAGAGAGAGAGAGAGAGCAAAGCTAATGCTCTCTGAAGTATCACTTGAGGCAAACAATGCTTTCCTAAGACGCTCTTATCTTTTGCCTAAGCAATTCACTTTGATATCTCGTGATTGTTGGAATATCAATGTTACTTAACAATGGAATTTTTGAGGCTTTTGATTTGCGTCTGACACTGAAGATTGCAACATCATGACGATCACTCTCATTCGCATAATACTTTGCATCTTCATTGCTCCCTTAGTCATTGCGTAGAGAATACAAATTTTCCACCCTCAAGTAGAATTGAGCCAGAACTCATTGGATCATCTGCATGATTTCACTCTCATCCCAGATATGAGTTTTCCATGCTTGTGCGCGCCAGTGGAGAGACATCAATCGTGGGCCACTTGAGCTAATGGATTGCCTTGCTTTCAGATCGGACGCCAGATAAGGGCGTTGGGCGCAAGTGGAGTCAGTCATCGACGCCGGAGTATCTGGAGAGGCGGAATCAGTACAGAAGAAGCGAGATGCGCTATCGCTCGAAGAAGGCGCGCAAGAACATGACCTCCAGCGCCTCGATGGAGGGCCTGGGCAGCGGCAAGGTGCGCGCCGAGTCGCCGCGGCGCGTGCGCTCCAAGGAGTCGCTGGTGGTGCCGAAGGGCAAGTGTGATCATCGCGATGAGAACTGCAATTGTGCCGTGGTGAAGAGTCAGCTGACGGACACGCTGAAGAGTCGCGAGCGGAGTCAATCGGTGGAGAAGCTGAGCAGCGACAAGAGGCCGGAAGACGGCTCAGAGATGACGAGACAGAAGAAGTATTCGACGCTCGATGGCACGCGGAAGCAAAGCGCGCCGCCGGTGGAGATTAAGGTGTACACAACGAAGACACTCCCAACGAGAATTGTGAATATCAAGAAGAACAAGGCCAAGGCGGCTAAGGAGACCAGCAAGTTCTATTGTGATCTCACGAATGACGAGCCGACAGTGCTGCGAATAACAGAATCCACGGAGAAGTTGAATGAGGCTGAGGAGAAGGTGGACGCGACGAAAGAGGAGCTGGCGAAGAATGATGCGGAAATCATTTCGGATCTGCTGAAGGACAGCGATGAGTACAAGAGGATCATGAAGGTGAAGATTCACAAGCAGAAGAGTGTGGACAACAAGGCGGACACGGATTCGCCCATGACTTCATCGGCAGCTCCCTCGTCGTCCTCCTCGACGTCGTCCATCGAGAAGGCGGACAAACCCACCGAAGAGCCCCTCAAGAGTCAGGCAGAGAAGATGCTGGATCGGCTGAAGAGCATCGAGAGCGATATTCAGTGTCCGGAGCCCATTTATGAGTCTCTGCTGAGGAATGTTCATGTGCCCTACAAATCGCCCATCGGCCTCAATCGGTCGGTGAGTCAGAACTACTCGCCCAAGAAGAAGTCAGCGCGTCCGGAGTCTGACTACGTGACGCTGGTGTATTCCGGCGGCGAGCTGCAGAGTGTCGATGGCTTCAATGTGAAGTCGCTGCAGCAATCAGAGCTGTTGCGCAACAGCGACTCGAATATCAACTACAACAAGGGCAAAGAGGGCAAGGCTGAGGATGCTCAAGAGGCTGAACAGGATGCAGAGAAGGAGGGCAATTTCGAGCGCAGAGGCAGCCTGAGATCATCCAAAAGTACCTTCTTGCAGAGATTTATGAGTGTTCGTCTGGATGACTCGATGGACTCCACGAGTTCCATTCCGAAGTGCGTGAAGAAGAGCGAAATCACGCAGAGTTTCATCCACAAGCAAGGCAGCGAGAGTTTGGGATCAAGGATTGCGCATGTTGACTATGCGGATCCCAAAACGCTCTTCATTCCCGCATCGCAGGGCAGCGGAGATTCATCGGCGTCGGTGAAAACGCAGAGAGATTCCGTCTTTTCCCTCACCTCGTCCAATGACAGCGTGAACGACTCGAAGAATGGGCAGTTGAAGTCTCCGGAGATCACAGAGGCGCCGGCTTCGCCCAGTCTGGACGATGAGTACTACTATGAGCAGAAAGTGGAGGCTTGTCTGGAGAACGACGGCTTCTTCAGGGATTCCGCCATCTACAGCGACGACAACGAGCGCCGGGGCGACTTTGTGGAGGAGAAGACCTCCACGCGATGCCTGGTGGCAGAGCAAAAGAAGAGACTGTCGGAGATCGTGACGCAATCGCAGACAATCACCGAGGAGACGCACAATGGCGTGACAACGAGGACGACAACGAAGAATTGGGTGATGCAGCAGATAAAGAACTTCGATGGTAACAATACGCACAACTAATGGGACTAAAGAATCCAGTTCTTCCTGCAAACTTCCCGCAAAACACACACTGTAACAACATTATGTCCAAATAGTCGTCATTTTTCTGCAAGAAAAATGGGAAAATCTTCTAGTTTTTAGCATAGGTTGAAACTTGATGCGCATGAGAGTTTTGTTCAGATAACGTTAAACTTAGGTAAATTTTACTCTAGATAAATAAAGTGAAACTAACAAATATCACGAGCTTAGCTTGAACTCTACAACAGTCTCTATTCGTATTATGTATTTTACTTAGTAGAAACAAGGTATTCTACACGGATTTTATCCATATTAACTTGTCTTTTGTATTGTGGATGCCATAAAGAAATCTAGTGTAATCATGCGATGATGAGCGGAAGTAAAGTGTTGACAAATACAGCTTCGGTGTTTTTGTGGTTCGCCGGGTGGCTGAGGAACTGGCGCGAAGTGATGCGTATTTATCTCCCCCTTGGGCAGAGTCTTGGTTGCGAGCTTGCCGCGCGGCCGCCTGGTACCAGGCGCCTCCATCGGGGGCGTCTCGGCTCGCGAGGGGAGCGGAGTTTGGGGTGCGCATGGCGCTTGGAAGGCTGGAACTTCCCATGGCATCCATCCCTCGAGCTCATCTCCGGCCGCCCGAGTCACCTCGCGTGCATCTTGTGCTGCAGACTCAGTCAGCATCGACACGCCACATTTCCCGGACGTGGAGCTTCGCGCGCGCGGCTCATGCCCGAATCTCTGGCCAGCAGCCCACCAGGACGCAGTGCGAACGCGTGAAGCCGACCCGCGGCATGCGTGAGTGAGTGATCCGGCGCTCTCCCGTCAGTCTCCTGCCAGTGCCACTGTGCGTGTGCGAGTCGTCTGGTGAAATATTTGGGTCACTGGGGAAAATTCGATACAGCGCGCGACTGCAGCTGTTATGCAGTGACCTCGCCGATGGGATGTGACACGGCGGTCGATGGAGGAGATTCTGCGACCCGGTGTCAATGTCACCAGTGTGGTTAGTAATAAATGAAGTCACGAGGGTGTGAGAGGTTGATTGAGTGCCAGAAGTGCGTCCCACTTTCGCGCCCTTTTCCCCAAACTCCGGCGCTCAAGTGCTTCTGTCTCTGCGGGACAGGCCACATGGTGAGAGCCTGGCGCTCCTCCTTCGCACACACACATTTCCCTAACTCTCTCGCACTTCCCTCCCCGTACAAGTGTGATAAATGGATCAATAAAGCCCCACACCACGCGAGCGTATCCCTTGACCAACGACTTCCAGGGAGTGGAGATAAAGTTGGCAAGATTGTGCAAACCATCCCGTGGAGTTGCTGGCAAAAAATCCGTCTAAATTCCTCCTCCAGCCAAACTTTCACGCCATCCGAAAGTTCTATTGATTTTCCCTACTTTCCCCCGAAAATACACAGACACACACCATTCCTTCCGCCACACGTGACACACAAAATTTGCCTCTATTAATATGCCGCAAAAGGCCGTGGCGAAGAATTTTCATACCTTTGCCGCCAAAAAGAGGAAAAGTAAAATACACCCCATAATTGCTGTCAACTTGTCCCCCTTTTCATAACAGATAAAAATCATGTTTGCCATGCAAACGGTCGGGGATTATCGATTTGTCATTTTTCATACACTACCGACAGTGCTTTGCCGGATAAATGTTGTGCGACAACATATGCATCCACTCATATTTCCTCCACCTTTAACATGTGTCTCGGGCTTTATTTGCAGACGCGACGGCAAATGATATGTATAATGAGGCTTTCCGCGGCTTTCCCAAGGAATTCCGAGAAATAAACGCCGCACGTTGACGTTAATGACATTCCCAGAGTGTGAGAAAAGGGATTAATTAAGGACTGTTTCCATTGAATTTTAAATTCAAATGCAAATTATTTTGAATAAAGATTACGTATTCTCGCGAAATGAGATTTCTCGCGAGCGAAAAGCTTCTCAAGGGGCATCGCGGAAGGTGATCGATTGAAAGGCAGGGAATGAAATATTCAACTCCCCCTTTTTGTGTTTAAAACGTAACTTTTTGCCCAGCGATTTGAAACTCTTTAAAGGAATTGAGAAAATTGCAAGGAAAATTGAGCTCTTTCCAATGTGAACTTTTACAACCCCAAAAGTCATTGGCTATTATCTTATCGGAAAGAAATTCTAACTTTTCGTTCTTTGCTTTACTTTCTGCTAAGAAAAAAAGGGAGAAACATTGACTATTGTCTTTAATTCAACTGTATCCTTTGGACTGTTCATTGTTGCTTCAATTGCTGGAAAAAAGTCTCTTATATTCAGGACGAACATAAAGCATGAACACTTCTTTAATTGTAGCGCTGAATCTGGCTTCAAAGCTCAAAGCTTTGCATAAATCTTAGAAATTGCAGTAAAATCGTCAATTCCTGCAATTATTCCATGAATTTTCATGTATCGCAAGGAAAACATCTAGTTTATTCATTTTACTACTTGCTCTTATTTGTAATAATACTCAAAGTCGGAGAGAAAGCATTAGAATATCTCTAAATCACTCTTCAATGCATAATCAATACTCGCTGTGAAAGAAGACAAAACACTTATCTTGCGCCATTCCAAACGTATTTTCCTTTAGCGCTTCGCAATGTTATTATTCCTATTCAATATGGAATATTGAATTGTTGCTAGATGAGAAGTGTTCCAAGTATTGAACTTCACAGTTCATCTTCTGCATCTGCGCTCCTTTTCCCGTCTGAAGGAAATTTGATCACTCTTGTGCGGAAGATAAGGCTTTTGTATGCCAATGTGCTCTCGACTTTGAATGCCGTTCGACAGTTATCGTTTGGCCGCCCTTAGCTGCCGAGGCGACACCGGAAGACGTCTGCTGAGGTGTGCTTTCGCCACTCGGCGACGTCCTTCCGCGCACAATAGGCGACCGGACGTCGCTTTTTACGGCATCGAGGCGCTCATTCGCACCTAATTAGGCTGCCGAGGATGTGTCGATGCCCATTCTATTGCCCTGGAATTGCGTCACTCCGCCAGACATCTTCGATTGACGACGTCATGGAGATTATTTGCATGAAAAACTCCTCCATCAGCTCCTCTCCGCACGGAAGCCATCAACGGGAGCGAGAGACAAAGCGCCGGGAGATTTGCGGGCGTCGTTTTGTTGTGCGCTCAATTTCCATATGCGCGCTGATATCTCTCGACGGTGCCGCCGATGAAGCATGACTCGACTCAACAAATCCCACTCAACTATCGCCATATTCTTGGCACAAAACTCTGCGGTTTATCCACCCGCCGCAACTCCCCGAAACTGCAGGAGAGATGAATCAAATTTCGATGTGATTTGATTTTCAGAAACACAATTTACAGTTGCAAATCAATTTTTCATCTATTTCAAATTCATCCCCAGAGAGAGAGAGAGGGTGGGAAAAGGGAGAGGGCGAGTTGGGAATTCCATCCCCGCTGCACTGCCTTTTGTCGTCGAGGTGGATTATGGAACAGCAGGGCGAATTGTCTTTAATGGAATTCACGGGTTATCATGAAAGTTTTTCCCCCGAATATCAAAATCAATCATCCTGACTTTTCCATCTGCCAGGAAAAATATAAATCGAAATAAATAAGGTTTTTTTCTCCTTCCTTTGCAACCATTTGCATTGCAATGTAGTTTTCTCTGTATTGAATTTATTTGACAAAGGATTTGTTATTGAATCAGGACGAAGTTCTCTAGTTGAGAATCACTGATCGGAAATACACTTGTCATATCGGAATATTGAGAGTATTTTTCCGTCAGTCACGAATATTTTCGCCACACTTGACGATGTTAGAAGAATATTAGAGGAATAAATTAGCTTTTATTAGCGCCTCGAAATGCTAAAATTGTTTTTCATCACATTTTACACTATAAATCGTCTTAAATGAACTTTCAGTGTTCTGAAAAGTGGTTTTATTTTCCAGGAGCTCTCTTTGTTACCTAATTTTTATGCTCCCGAACGGAAAACCAGTAAATTTCGCGTGAAACAGATTTAAAATCTGGCAATGAACATTGTAATTTCCACCCTTAATGCAAAGGAGAATGTTTGCAATCATTTCAGATGTGAAAATAAATCCCTCACGCGATTTATGGCATTTCGACTCTCATGAGTGCTAAATGGGAAAAGTTTACCTTCGCCACAGGAGTCTTTATTGTCCGCCAAACAATTGATGTGAAATTGAAGGGAATTCTGCACGTCGCACTCATTGAGATTGTTGTGAATGAATACGGAAAAATCATTACCTTTCCAGAGCGGCTTCCTATCGCGTTGTTGTGTTGAATTGCTCAAAATACTCATTTGTCGGCGAATTCCGATACACGACGCCATTCAGGTGGTCCAATTGGGTTTTCTGCTCCTTCGCCAAGCCCTGATTCTCGCCCTGGACGCTCGCCATGTTCGCCCGCACGCGTCTCTGCACTGCCCGCTCGTCGATGGTCGACATGCGGGCGAACTTCCTCTCCAGTCCGTCCCACTGATCCTCCCACAGCCGCTCGCCGCGTTCACGCTCCTGTCGGCAGCATTTCCGGTGAGTTGGATTGCAGACATTGCCACCAGAACACTCACCTGCTTCTCCGCAATCTGCTGCAGCTGGTTCTCGCGGCAGAGGCGGATCTCTTCCGGCGACATGCCTCTGTACATGTAGGGAATCTTCCGGCCCGGGCCGAAGCTGCTGTTCGCCGCCTCCGGATTCTCCGTCAGCATGTCACTCGTGGCGAAATTGCACATCTCCGCCAGGTTGTCCTGCACTTCCTGCTGTCGCCGCCGCAGCTCCTCCTCTTGGCGCTGCCTCGCCAAGCGCCGGTTAATCTGGGCGTCCTGCTCGAGGCACTTTCGTCTATTGCTGCGCTCGCTCCGCTCCAGATCCAGCGCCACACGATCTCTCGCCTCAATGGCTCGCTGTAGCGCCACGTCCGCCTTGCGCTGGTCCTCCTCGCGACGTCTCCTCTCCGCCATCTGGTGCTGCAGCCACTCGCGCTGCTGTTGCTGCTGCAGCTTCGCCCTCTGGCCACCCGTCAAATCCTCCCCGAGGAACCTCTGCCCGCCGGAGACACTCAATCGGGGATCACTGTCGCTGATTCTCGCCGGCGGCGCCTTCCGCTTCGCCCACGGATCGTTGAGATCCCACTCGCGCGTGTCCTCGCGCCTCTGGAAGCGCCTCCTGTAGTCATTGAGGCTCTCGCTGATCTGCTTCTGCTGACACTTGGCCTCCTCCTCCAGCTGCTGCGCCACCTCGGCGCACCGGCTGCTCTCCGCCACGAATCTCCGCCGCGTCTCGTCCTGCTGCGCCTGCAGTTGACGCTTCTCCTCGAGCTGTCCATCCAACGCACTCACGTCCACTCCAATCGTCCTCGCCTTGGCATCGAAGATCCTCTTCTTGCGCTCCTCCTCGCGCTCGCGGCGCCTCTCGATGGCCGCAGCCTCTCGCAAGTCTTTCTCCGTGGCGACTTTCAGCCTGTCCATCCTCGACTCACCCTCAGTTTAATCGATAGCGCCCTCTGGGCTCGCACTATTTGATCAATAAATTACTGCCTCGTCAAGCTTTTCTCTCCTCCAACATATATTTATCCATTATTATTGTGTTATATAATTTATATGTGTATCTTTTGACACTCAAGTTTGCCTTTTTAGTTCTGCACGGAACTAATTTACCTTATGCGACAGAAATATTCAGTAATCAGGAATAATGTTTTTACAATACAATTAAGAGGCACTTTTCCCACCCCCGGAAATACTTTCCATTCCTTCTTATTTTTTTACCCACTGAAATCGCGCAAATTAACTTCGATTTCCACATGACATTTATTGTTATTTACTAACTTCTCTCTCATGTTTTAGTTATTAATCCTCGTGTGCCCATTTTCTCCCTTCACTCTTCTCTTTCTTCTCCCTCAATTCTACGCATTTTTTTTGATCGCTTGTGCTTCTTAATGTCCCGCGTCGTTCGGTGCCGACTCAATTGGTGCGTTGGTGCTTGAGGACGATGGCAAGAGTGATACTGTTGAGGGTTAAAAATTCATTAACAATGTAACAATTGCAGCCTTGCTTTCCCCACAATATTGTGTCTGTGTGTTTGCTTCCCTAAGAATTGAACACAATCACAGAAAATAATACATATTCAACAGGGGGATATTTAATTAACTGACAAAGGAGTTGCAAAAATGCACCATCAAAACCTTTCTCCCACGCTCAAAGTGAACACAAAATGTGTGCCTTTTTAATCTTGCAGCAGAGAAAAAGAGTTAATTGCTGTTTAGATTGAAGATTACACCCACAACAGATCAGTTCTTGTTAAGAGAATTCAAATGTTAAGCTCAATTCTTGCACTAAAGTGACTTGTTACTTGTTGGGATTATAAGAAAAGCAATTCAACGTTTCTTTGGATCTCGTGTAGGATTCTTGGGATCGAAAATCAAGATTTCATGATGTCTAGAGCAGAAAAATATTGTTTTAACAATGAAGAAATCAATGCTATTCATTAATCGTATCTTCAATTCAGATCTAAGCTTTCATCTCAATATCTTCGCCTTCATCTTAATGCCAAAAAAACGAAAGACAGTCGGAAATACACACAAACTCGCAATGAGCGATAAACAAACTTTACAACTCTCATACGATTAACTTTAACGTGTCTAATATAACGTCGCAGTGCGACTTTGCAGTGTTACAAGCGGATAAAATTGCCATTAAAGTGCAGTAAAGGCGCATCATCATCTCAATCTACATGGAAGTCAACTCGAAGCTCTTTCTCTGTCGCGCACGTGTTGAGAAAAGGGTTGGATGGCGCGGGCAAAAAGCCCCTTTGCAACAGTTCTTTTATACAATTCCATGTGACAGAAGAAATGGGATTTTCATGTGATATTTCAGCACAAAATTTACAGCTAAGAGACTTTCTTACAACAGAAACACATTTCCATTTTAACATTCATTCGCGAAATGGTGATATTTTTCCACTCTTTCTCTCGCTTCTCTAGTCATCTTTCATGTTTTGTTCTCCGCAAATGTGTTGCTTAACACTTCTATCAACAATATAGCACACAAACATTTATGGAAAGATCACGGTATATAATAGTTTTATTATAAATGTAAAGGCTGATATAAGAATTTCTTGCATCTGCTTTTGTGTGTGTGTGTGTGTGTGTGTGTGTGTGTGTGATTTTATACATTTAATTAGGGATGAGGAGAACTGAAACAATACAAAAAAAAGAATGCCAGATAAGTAATAAAAACAAATAGAGATGAAGGGAATATTTTGAGAAGTGAAGCAAAAAGAAATGTCGATGAAAGCCGAGAAGCGCAATCCCAAGAATCCCGTCGAAACATCAAATTAATAGTCTTACTCACCGATGATGATGATAAGGAGAACCACCCCGATGACGCCCATGATGATCATCATCTTGATGTTGGCCCACCAGTGCTTCCGCTTCAGCTTGCCGGCCTGCTGCTCGAACTGCGACGCGCCGTGCTGCAGCGCGTCCGCCCGCTGATCCAACTCCGACAGCTTCTGGTCGCGCTCCAGCACCTTCTCCACGTTCACCCGCATGATGCCCACCACCTCGTCCACCTGCGCCTGGGTCTGCTGCAGCCGCTTGTTGCCGGCGCCCGCCTGGCCTCCGGGCGCGGCGGCGCTGTTGCTGGGCGGCGGCGGCAAAACGGGGAAACTTGATATTAATTCATGCAGACTTCACGCTCCGCGAGCACACAATGAATAATGTGGGGGTTAGTTTATGAGATTATGCACAAGGGAGCTTCGGGGATAATTATGGACAACATGGGAATTCCCTGTGATTGCGGGGCACTTCAACAGTCCATAAATCCTGCAGGAATCTCAAATTTGCCACTCCAAATTCGCCCTTTCGCCCCTCTTAGGCAAATGGGGGGGAATTTAAGCCTTTTTGCCTGCAGCATTTACTGGCGATTAATGTGTTTTTTCTCTCACTCATTCATATCACGCTTCGAAGAGAATCAATTATCGAGAATGATGAATCGCTTTGATTTCTTGGCGAATGAGTAATTTCCACAAGAGTTTAACCCTTTAGCGATGATTAAATCGCCAATAAATACATTCTCTGCTAATGCAAATACAGAGATTTACGTAACACTACTTGCAGTGGAATTCAGGCTTTCCAATTGAACTTTTCCATTTGCATTTAAGGCACAATTGTGGGCTGGAAATCGTTTAAATTCAAAGGAAATGGTTCAAGTAGTAATGAAATTCACGAAAGTTTCTAAAATTCATAGAATTTGGTATTTCTGATCAGAAAATGCTCACTAAATAGCTAATTTTGTTCCCAATTAGAAATTTGGGTCGTATAAGATTCAAATTTCCACTCTTCACATTGCTTATTGCTGTCATTAAAGGGTTAATGAGCAAAAAAAACCTCTCCAGATGTTCTCCAAATCCCAACAATTCCTCCAGCAAATGGTGCTGCAAGAGCGCTGGTAATTGAAGCTAATGAGAGGCTCGCAATGAGCGGAAACTTTCTGGACATTGACATCGCTTTCTCGCCGTTGATTTGCCCCTTTCGTGACTGTGTGACCATGTTAGTCATTTTCACACCAAATGGCTTATGAAAGTGTGCTTTTGGGCCAATTCTCTCCTCGGCCACTCTATTCAATTACTTGTTAACGCCCGATCCCGAGGCCGATGTGTCCTGGCTGGCCATTTTCGCTGCTTTCTCTGGACTCGCGGTGTCTGAAAGTGGGGGAGAAAACAAAGATCAATAAATCAATTGCGGAAGGCCACATGCTACAGGTGTATTGGGTGGGAAATGTGGGCAAAGGTGTGCACACGAGTGTGTGACTGTGAAGAACGACTCACTGATAATGTGGACTTTATCAGGCATCAACAGTAACACCTGATAATACAAGAAATTTGACTGGGAATGAGTAAAAGGTGGATTCATCGGTGCTTTTCATGCATGAGGGATTTTCCGTTGTGTGCAGTAAATCTTCCACGACCTCCAGGCATTGCTTTTGAGTGCGTCAAAGTCTCGCCGGTGGGTCAGGAGACCCACTTTCCTGACCTACGAACTCTCCGGATCGATCGATCCTCCCCGGGAAACTCCCCCTCAACCCACTGAATAATTAACTAAGATCCTCCGTCAGGCGCTGCCTCGCCGCATGGCGCATCGAGTGGCCCAATATCTGGTGGGATTCCCACGGAAAATCGAGGCGGAAGACGTGGAGACCCGGCGCCCCCACCGCGATGACTAACTTGTTGCTGGAAAACAATCACTCGCTTTGTACTCACGATTTAATTGCTCTGTCGCGCACTTTCGCACTCAACTCCACTGGCAGAAGGCTCTCCGTTGGTGGATGTGCTCAATTGATAGTGATATGAGGAGCTGAGTGCACTAAATAAGATAAAAAATTATCTTCAAGACTTTTCCTCAGACACTGACGTCCACAAAATCACAAACAATGGCCGCCGAGCGATCGCCAGTCGCCGAACACGTTCGGTTGCCGCTCTGGGGTTGCCATGCGGGCGCCGAAGTTCGCTTTTCGAGCACTTTGTCTGCTGTCACGCCGTCGTGAAATTCAGCATTTTCAGCACATATTTGTGCTTATCACAGAGAAAATATCGAGATATTTGACGTGGCGGTTAATTGTACAGATGTCGGGGAATATGTTACTGACTCACAATCGATAAAATGATGGCAATTACGGCCGAATCAATGAGAATTTAAATAATACATGAATGTTTCACGTTCTGTGTTTCATATTTTACTCATATGGAAATGGAAGAAATTCATGAACTTTTGAACATTTTGAACATACCTGGAAATTTGACTTTGAAAGCTTGCATTGTCGAAGAAATTCCCAATAAAAGCAACTAATTTCAGCACCACAATGAGTGCAATTAAGTAAATTCCCACGTTAAGAAAGAATAACTTGACAGTGTGAATCACGAGCAAAATCACTGCGATGATTTTGGTGATAATCCAGAAAGTGAAGAAAACGATATTCACAATCATGAAAATTACATTTAGGCAGATACTGAAGGTGTTGGAGAACAAATCAATTATGATTGTGAGTAGGAAGAAAGCGTCTTTAGTCATATTCGCACAGAAATTCAACACTGAAATCTCCAATGTTTTGCCAATGGAGAGGAAAATTAGGAGAATTCTTAGCAAGAGAGGCAGAAAAATGGCAGTGATTTTGAGGATAATATCAATATTATAGAGTCTCTCCACGACGCCAATTTCCACAGAGTTCCCAATGTATTTCACGAGGAATTTGAGAATAAGCCACGAAAAGATTTGTGCATCAAACATTTTGTTGACTGAACTAACTTTGATTTGTCTGATTTCATTTCCTCGCAAAGCTTTTGGCTTTATGTCAGGCAACTTTGGCAATAATCCGCATGGCAATTAAAATGCAGAATGGCATAACGAACGACACATCCCAAGTGCCCGTCCATTCCGAAGCGCAAGAGAACTTCCCTCAGAACTCAAATCCCGGGGAATCCAAAGGGGAAAAGGATTCGCTTCTGAGAGGCTGAAGTGCAGTGAATCCCCGAGGGCGGCTTTCTGTTATTTATCTGTGTCCATTGTCGTTGCAGATGTAACTGAGTGGTGTGGAAAAATTCGTGCGGGCGACCAAAGCGTGTGAGGAAGATGGTTCGAATGGTGGGTTCCAAGTTGCTGGCGAGACTTCTGCTCCTAATTTCGTCCGTGACGCTCATCTCCCTGCTGGCCCTCACGCGGTGCGGCATCGGAGGACTTGTGGCAGACAATGTGCTCATTGCAGACGAATCCGGTGAGTCTCTGGTGAAAAGTTAACTGGTGTCAGACACTGAGAATGCCAATTAGAATTGTAGAGGAGCTTAATTCCCTGTGAAACGACACTAAGCATTAAATTCATCCCCGCGCGCCATTCCTTGTTCCGCTCCTTCCGCGTGTGCGCTTATTACATTCCATCTCTCAGGCGCACGAGGAATTTATCATTGTGAAATTTAACACGCAAAGAGGAGGCAAATGTGTACAGAGTGGCAGCGATGTGCTGCTGCCCTCAATTCAAAGGCTTACGCCAATGGGGAGATATTAGAAAGTGCCTAAAAATTGTAATTCTGTGTGAAGTTTTCTCATCACACACAACCATTCTCACACTCAAGCTGGAAATATTTTAATTTACGGGCAGAATTGAGTTTTTTCATGTAATTAAGATCAATATTTTGGACTTTTTGGTAATAAGAAATACCGAAAATGACGCTAAAATGAGAGAAAACCACAAAATTGTGTATTACATTGAATAAAATATTCATTTGAAAAGAGAAAATATGCAGAAAAGTTATTTGAAATACTTTTTTGCACAGAAATATCGACTAAAAAGTTCTAAAATCTTTTAATGAAGTTCCTAAGTAGTTTTGAAGCTGATTAAATCAAGAACAACAGAGTGTTTTAAGAATAAATCAATAATTTTCTAGTTGTACATCTTTTTCGTTTTTACTCATATTTTCTCCTTCTTGACTTGCTCTGAAAGTCACAGGATTCCCATCGCGTCTTAGACACACTGTTCGCGTGTAAATTAATGAAGATATCCTCCGTCTTCCGAGAACACCCATCGAGTATTTCTCACCATCAATTTCGCAACTGCTTCTGCGGTGAACTTTCCCGCCTCGCATTACAATTCACAACCCCAACGCGGAATGGTCGAACCATAAAAAGAGCCGTTGAAAGTGAATTGTTGCTCTATCTGACGCGCGCCGCCATGGAAAATTTTAAATGTGAATAAAAGCTTTACGACACATGATTTTCGCGCTATGAGACTGTCATGGGGTGTTCATTAAAATTGAAAGTATATGAAAATTCGCCCTGCCGCGAGGGTGGTGACCTCGAAAAGAGTGGCGGGAAAGCCAGGGAAAATACGGATAATTCCGCCAGACTTTTCTGGCGATGCTCAGAGAATTCAACATTGCGGCAACACTGCTATCGTGTCTAATTAAATATAATTGCTCGACGGAATTGACGACATAAAATAAACGAGCTCACACTGATGGTGATCCAGATACGGAGTTTACATGTTTCAGCAACACGATGAATTTTCATTCATGACTTGGTTAAAATTCATAGTTTTCCCGCAGTGGTTTGGATTGAAAAATATCACATATCCTTATAATGCTGCCTAATGACGCCGCCAGAGTTTCCTTTGCCAAAGTGCAGGTAATGAATATACGTCTTTCGCCATTTTCCATTCATTCTCAGCTGCTTTGCTCGTGTATTTCCCTTTTTCTGGGAGTGTTTGAGCACGCCAAAGTGCAAAGTTATTCATATTATAGTTGGCTTTTGGAGCATAAAAGTTTATGTGCGCAACTTCTACATCGACCCCAGAGAGATTTTTATCCACTTTGAACTTGTTTCCCTTCATGGTGGCAACATAGGGATGATGGTAGAGGTGAAAAATTGAAGTAATTTAGCGTTCTGATTAAATTGCTCTCTCGCGAGTTGAAATGGGCGCGCGCGGAAGGATATTAAAGTTTAAATCGGTGCGTTAAGAGATTCCGCACACAGACAATGTGGAGCGAATTCTGATGGTTCTTCACATGTTTGCGGTGAAATTCTGTAGGTGCAACAAAGATGGATGTTCAGCAGCAGATGGAGGGTGAGCAACAGAGGGGATATCTGCAATTGCTTCAGCAGCGCGAGGAGGAGAATCGACAAGAAGTGGCCAAGCTCACTGCGGAAATTCGCTCGCTCAAGCTTCAATTGCTCCAATTAAAAAGTGAGTCTTTTTCCCTGATTTTCCCAATGTTACACAATGCCCAATTAGGGTTGTTCATCAGCAATTTGCAACATTGCTGGGTGGAAGTTGAAAAAGCGCGTCGCTCTTCTCGTTTTTCCCCCGCAGACAATCAAGGTCCATCGCAGACCTCAATCGGCCAGGAAGTGGCGGTGACAATCAATGGAACGACTAATCTGCCGCCCGTGACTTCGGCGCTGCACGACTGCACGGCGTTCGTGAGGAAGCAAGTCGGTGCCGCAGAGATTCTGCACGGGCTTCCGCTCAACAATGAGTACGAGCTCATTCCCTTCAATCACTTCACCTTCAGCCGCGTGTACCCCATCGAGTTGGGGCTGGGCAAGAGGGTGGTGGAGAAGCCGATCGGCTACAAGCGCAAGGATCTCCTGGATGCACTCAACAGGGCGCTGGAGAGCCTGAATCGCAACGTGACGCTCAAGTACACGCTGGACGACTTCACGGAGGGCATCTATCGCAATGAGCCCACGACGGGGACGCAGTACGAGCTGTACTTCCGCACCAAGGACGGCGCCAACAGGACCTCGAACTCCCATCACGAGCACACGAATCACGGCGTGACCAAAGTGGTCGTCATGCGGCCCTTCGCGCCCCTGCAGACCATCCAGATGGAGGCGTACCCAAAGTGAGTTAATGAGCTTAACAATGTAGCCTGGGCGAGTGGGGAAAAAGAGGCCGCCACTGACAGTGTATAAATAACCCTTGGCTAGATTGCAATCTCACATTCGAAGTGAGTGACAGGTAATTTAATTCACCTCTAAGTGAGGCGGGAAGTCCCGGCAATTAGGGGTTCGGCATGGCCGAGAGGAAATAGGGCAATTATGGAGGGCTGATCCATTTCCTCAAGTCATCAGCCTCAGTGTTTGTGAGGACGATATTAGGGCACTTGGCCGATATCTCAAGAAGTGCAGAATTGCATAAATTTAAAGCACTCCAACTTTAACTTAATATACGCATCTTCCTCTGAACTTTCTTCCCTACAAAAATTCAGATAACAAGACGATAAGTATGGCAAATTATGCGAAATTCCATCCGTAATGTTAAGGGTTGTTTAATGTACTTGCATAAATCTCCATGCGAAGGCTCATGAGGCGGAATATAGCGTACTAAATACTTAATGGCGGGGTATAAATTTCACATATGGGAATATTTACTGGGTGGGCAGGAGGCTCCTCAAGCGGAACATGTACATCATCATAGATGCGCGAGGGTGTGGATGTGAAATTGAAAATTATTTGGAGCCATAAGTCAGTTTGGGCGCCTTTTGCAGGGTGCACGAGAAGGAGCTGATTCACATAATCCTGCCGCTGTCCGGACGCTCGGCCACTTTTCAGAATTTTATGGACAAATTCTTCCGAATTGCACTCACGCACGACCGACGTGTCCACTTAACGGTGGTGTACTTTGGCAATGAGGGACTCCAGGAGGCGCGCGCCATCATGAGTCGTGTTCTGGGTGCTAAAAGTGGAGGCAATTCATCCAGTTTGAAACTTTTAGCTTTAAATGAAACTTTCTCGAGAGGTGAGTATTCAATTGCAATCATTTCCTTTACTGAATAACTAAAACACACAACTTGCGCAGTGCATGGAAAACTCTCCATCTTATTTACTATGCAAATTGAAAAATTGAAAAGTTAGACAAATAATGTGAAAATTTATTTAGAATGCAATTACAAAGTGCTACAATTTCACTGATGGAAATCACTCTTAATCACCACCAAGAGTGAAAGATCTCTGACTGTTGGTTTAGCCATAAACTATGAGCGCGTGATTGGAGGAAAATGTCCTGAGTTATAAACAGAAGTGAAACTAGAAAGCAATTTATTGAAAGTTTACCCATAACATCGCTCTGCAGCGCCGTTCGCGCTAACTTTTTCTCCCATGCAAACACTTTTATCTTGTCTTCTGCGTGGTGAAACATAATCAGGGAGATTTTTTTCACCGCACTTTCTTGTCTCTTCCGCAGCCAAGGGACTCCGTGTGGGGGCGGAGAAGGTGTGGGACGCCACGGACAAGAGCAAGAGCAAAGATGTCCTCTTATTTATGTGTGATGTAGATATCGTGTTCAGTGCTAAATTCTTAGATAGATGCCGATGGAATGCTAAACCTGGGAAAAAGGTGAGTTGACACATTCCCCGCCTTTCTTCTTCTCTCACTCGCGCGCGTCCTTCTTTCGCCGCCGTCGCTCCAACTTCCACATCAGTGGCTTTTTGTGATGTTTTGCTATGTGAATTAAGGGGGTTGGATTTTGATTGAAATTGAATCACGTGCAGTGCATTCCTAAAAGCTCTTCCATGTCCAAGAGCGCCCAGCGGGGCTGAATGAGGGCGGAATTAAAACTTTCCACAACTTGTTCCATCAGTATTAACTTAAGTTCTTACGCTTGCTCGCCAACATTGATGGCGTTGGAAAAACAATGTGAAATGTTTGCACTGTATAGCGCTTTGTGGGATTGTGAGAAGGTAATATTCTTGCTTGGAATGAATTTCAAAACAATTTATATCACCTATTTCGACACTTGTGCCAAACAAATTTGAATTAATCTAACGCGAGGGTGAATATTTCGAACAATCCATTTGCATATTTATGAACACATCTTCCTATTTTGGACCATTGCTAAATGGGTAGAGACATTTCGGAATGTGGTTCGCAGAAAAGTTATGTTCCATCGTGCGATGTTGAAGTTTCAAAATTGATTTTCAAGTCTCACAGTGAAATTTCAAGTCCTTTTTTTTGCTCCCCTATTAAAGTGCATCATAAATTTATGACCTGCTGTTGAGTGGTAAAGTTGAGTGTGTGTGTGGGCATGAGTTTTTGCTTGGTGGGCAAACTTGAACTCTCGATGACAGCGTGTTATTAAGTCCGGCACAAAATATGGATCAAGTGTGTGTGTGCTCATAAGCCGCCCTGGGAAAATGTGTTGAGCACAAAGGGTGGATTTCAAACTTGTTAAATGTTCATTGTATTGAAAGGAAAGTTAATAATTTGGTGGGCTATTTTGCTGCAGCACTCTATGAAAACTTTCAAAAGCTCTCCGCCGTGCTTTCAGACGTGTATATATTGGGAAATGTTGCCACTTTAGAGCACTCTCCTCTGGCTGCTCTCCATTCAATTTGACTGGCTAACTTGTGTGCCGTGTGCAGGTTTACTATCCGGTCGTGTTCAGCCTCTACAATCCGCACGTGGTGTACACGCTGCAGGGACGAGAGCTGCCGCCGGAGACTGACCAGCTGCTGATATCGCGCGACACGGGCTTCTGGCGTGACTTCGGCTACGGCATGACGTGTCAATACAGATCGGACTTCCTCAAGGTGCGCGGCTTCGACGAGGAGATTGTCGGCTGGGGCGGAGAAGACGTGATGCTGTACAGGAAGTACGTCAGGTCATCGATTAAGGTCATCCGCGCCACGGATCCTGGAATCTTCCACATCTGGCATCCAAAGGTATGAATTCGCTTGACCTCAAGGGGAAGATAATATGTCCGAAAGTGCAATTAGAGGAAGAATATCCCAGAATATTGCCTGAAGAGCTCAGTTACAGAGTTGCCAGTTTGATTTCGGTTAGTTTTCAGTTAATTTTCGAGCGTAAATTAGACACAATATCGCTGATTTAGCCATATTATCTCCCCCTTGTTTTATCCTTAGTTTAATCCTTAGCCAGGAATTTGGGTGGGTTTCCCTGGATGTTTTACGGTTAGGAATTTTGAGGTCCACAATCTTTGCTCTTGTGTGCAGGTCTGCACAGGAGTTGCGAGTGGCCAAAAGCTCACCGCAGATCAATATCGCGCCTGCATTCGCTCTCGGGCCCTCAATGAGGCCTCCCACGCGCAACTGGGTTTCCTGGCATTTCGGGACGACATCGCCGCTCACTATCAGGACGACAGCAATGCCACAAAACTGCACGTTTCGCCACAGAAGCTGCCCACAAAGCGCATTTCCACGTCGACGGCTCGCAGGACCACCTGATCTTACGCGGGGCACCAGGAGAGCTTCTGGAAAATCGAGTTCTGAACCACAGCAGATGTGCATATATGTAAATAGTGTAGGACACAATTTTCCCTCTCAATTGTCTCCTCTTTCGCGATTGGATTGCCAAAACATGGAGAAGAAATGGGCGTGAGAGTCTTCTAGCGTCGCTTTGGAGTTCGGGAAATGCGATTCTACCACTCAAATTACAGAATTCGCAGTCATTTCGATAGGGTTTTTTGAAATTACACTGCTGGAATGATTGATTTTTGGTGAAATTGAGGCGTGTTCTATTGCGATTCAGCCGCAGAACAACATTTTGGCTCTGAAACAGAGGATTTGCGGGGATGGTTTGAGGAATCGTATCTCCTGAAAGCCACACATTTTGGCCCAAGGCAGACGAGGAAGGCATTCACTGGCCGGAGATAAAAGGTAAATGTACGCGAGAGACGGTAAAAAAGCTCGTCATATTTTACACCGGAAATAATTTTGCCTTTAAATGCTATTTAGTAGTGAAATAGTGGGTTCTAGCCGGGGGACAGCGGCGGAGCAAAAAAGTTCTGCCGATAGCTAAATGGAGCGCGCAAATGTTCATGGTGCTACTGGCGAGAAAAAAGTTTGTAGCTGATTTCAAAGAGATCCGTAATGGTGTGTTTTAGCGCAAAAAAGCGCCACACTCGCCATGAGAGATGAAAATCGCGGGAAGAAGAGCGGAAGAGTCAGATTAAAATTGTTCCAATTTTCAAATATGAGAAATCGTCATGAAAATAAAAATTTTTAAACTAAAACACAATAAAAATTGGGACATTGAGTGGAAATAGCGTGAAGAATTGGCACAATTGCAATTTGTCTGTTGATTGAGGGAATTGTTTGTTGGGAATATTTTCGAATGATGATTTTTGTACAACTCTGAGACCATTTTCACGGCAAATTTACAGTGCGATGTGTAGACAAAAAAACCCCGCGAGGGGGAAAAAGGGGGAAAGAGTGAAAGTGTACACTTTGCAGCTTTTTGACAGACACAAAAAATGCCAATCTCTGTGGTTTCAACGTTTTAGTGGGAATCTGTGGGATGATTTTGCACGCGGAATAAACGATATTTGTCACTCACAGTGATAGAAAATTCATCCTACATGAATCATGCTCTTGCCATCCATAGATTCCTATTTATCACATACACCATTATCAGTATTAAATCGCCCGACGGTGAAGGAGAGCAAATGAAGAGCTTTCAAGGGGGTGAAAGGACGGTGAAATATGAGTTTTCACTCAAAGAGAACTCTCAATGCATTGAGATTCTAGAGATTCCCTTCTGGAACAATCGTTTCAATCGACTGGTAATTTAATAACAAATCACAGAGACTTCTTTTTCCCTGTGTCATCAATCTGCAAAGGCGTGAATTGACGAGGGAAAAAGAGCTGAGAAACGATAGACTCAAAGTTACACAGATGGAATAATTAAATTTCTCTAGAATAAGACATGCAAAAGTCTTCTACACTTTAATTACTTCTCGCCTCCAACGCTCTCGATGTTCAATAATGAAGTGGAATTGCTAATTTCAGCGGAAATCTTATATCCTTTTACCTCCTTGAAGGCGTGCGAATGCCCTCACGCCGTTCGCATTGTCAATCGATATCTCAATGGCTATAATTTACTTCCCACAATCGCTAAAATACATAATCTCCCATCGTAAAGCTGCTCAACGGCCGCAGAAAGTATAATGAAAAGTGAAAATTGAATTGAATTGAATTAACCTTTATAAGGTTTCGCAGGTGAGATTTGGGGCTGGCGAGTGAAGAGAATACAGACGAGAAAAGTCTTTTTTTTTGTAAATAGAACTATGATGATAAAATTTATTGTAATATTGTTTTGAAGATTGGTGGAAGATGTGAAGAAGGAGAGAAGGAAATAAATTATTCGTTAAAACATAATGAAAATAATATATAGATAACGAGATTTTTTCCTCTAGACAGAGTGGCTCGTTTTTATTGTTCCATCGCAATTTTTTCTTTTAATGCGACGCGATAATTTGTCTAATGTCAAGGTTCCATCGAAATTTTACCGCCAACAATTTATGTGAGATTAATTCAAATTCGGCAAACACACCCAAAGGCGGAGAACTACACTTCGCCAAGATCGTCAGATTTGCTTACGATTGAGGTAAGTGAATCACTAACAGCAATTCTTCCGAGAGTTTCTGTGAGGAAATTCTCAGTGATTTTCCATCGAAATCTCCGCTTCTCTGCTAAGGTCAACAAACACTGAATCCGATCAAGTTAGTGATAAGCCTTCGAGAACCAACAAATCAGCGATAAACATTCAGGTATATGTTCCGGCCACGAGGAGATTCGCCATAAACAACACTTTAAGACTCGCGCCACACTCTGTGACTCATTGGCACCATCTTAATCTTCACACCGCAGCCCAATTGATACCGGGATGAGATCATCATTCAGCTCCAGCGACTCCACTTTGTCTGCCGCGATCCATGAATTTGAGCATGTAGGAATTAATTAAGAGATGTTCTCACCGCAACCAAACTCACTCAACTTGAACCAACTTGCCAGCGAGGAAGAGCCACAGAAAAAATGTGCGACATTTTCGGGTCTGCCCGTTTACACGGTGTGATTGAGTGTGCGACTTTGGCGAAAATCTCGCTGCCACAGGCCATGGATTAATATTTATCATTGGAATTGTGCAGAGGGAAATTGAATCATTGCGGGGGTGTTTTGCAATTGAAATAATCGGATCCGCAGTGCTTTATGCCAAGAGAGCATGGAGTATTAAAATTTGAACGTGTTCGGGGGGCAGCGCATTTTTGGGCGGTGCCATTTGTGGTTTGAGGAGCTTTCCTCTCGAATTATCCCACATAATCTCGGGCTTATCGTGCAATTCAAAGTGTCCTCATCGTAAAAGTGGTGATCGTCACGTCGCACTCTTGAGATACCCCATGAAATTCATACACCTTTTCCCCACGTTTTGGGGCGAATGTTCGCATGGAAATTTTACATGAACACTCTCAACAAATCAGACGAAGAGACTCCACAGAATCCCTCCTTGTTCACTCTAATGCAATATCTCTGACTGCAAATTTCCGAGGAATGACAGTCACTTGGGAAAATTGAAAATTGATTTTCCATTCACCTAATTACATCTTCACAGCTGCATTTTTTTCTCCTCTTAACTCCTCCAAGAGTGGAAATGGCGGAAAATTAACTCATTTAATTTCTTTAAGGGTAAAACTTTTATTTCCCAAGCCGCGTGGTTTTTGCTAAGCGCGCGCGCGTGAGTTGAGGAAAATTGTGGAAATTATTCTTTCATGTTTCCAAATTGGAGAATGTAATTATTAGTATATTACATGTTTCCTCTCAATGTGTACATTTTTCCTGAATTATTGAAGCACAAGGAGAGAGACCGGTTCTTGCGTGATTGCTTAAGACTATATGGGAGAAAATGTGCTTTTCAAGCTTCAGGACAAATAGAATGAAAAATGCAAGCTTACATCAATTTTCCCGAAACAATTTTGAGAAAATACAGTCATTCTCAACTCCACAATCCATTAATTATGTTTGCTATTAATTTTGAGAATAAACGGCTTATCTTTCAAATAATCAAAGCTGCAAGATTGATAGAAAATAATACCTAGAAGCGACACATCGAAGCAATAAATCTCTCATCATTTGCATAAACACTCATTTGCAATTCCCCAACGCCTTTAATATTGACTAATCGAAACATGCGTTGTTCGTGAATGAAATTAAAAACAAGTATAAAATCCCCACTTTCTCAATTATTATTTGCTCTGCAGTGCGAAGTTCTAGCATTGAGCAAATTTCTCAAGTTTATGTTTGCTTATTCCATGGCAGAATTGCGCCGGAAGACGTTAACCCTTTCCTTCCGTCAAGCCCCAGAGCGTGATTCTTGTTATTGCAATAACATGATGCAGTGCTGTAAAGGATATATAGTTGGTTTGTGAGCCGCTTTAGATGAACCCATTTAATTAATTTCCCTTCCTCACCCTTTCAGCCCTTCTGGAGTTCCAACGACCAAATCCTACTTTTGCAAATTGCAAATTTGCTACAAATAAATTACACATTCGGCAGGGATGTCGAGGTGGGTGTGAAAAGCATTTCCAGTGCCATTTCTCTATTACTGGGTATTTCAATGCGATTCTGAACAACATGTTATGTCAAGGGGGAGATAGTATGACTAGAATCTATTCACCACTTTCTGGTCGCTTTCCAATGCTTGAAAACACATGGAATCGATTTCTAGCTTCATAATGTGATGAAATTCAAGGAAATTTAATGAAATTCGCTATATTTTAACCTTTATACACAATTTCCGATGACAATATTCCCCCCTTGTGTGGTAATCGATGCACTTAATGGTAAAAAGTTAGTATTTGTACGTATTATGTGAGATGCTTTCACAGAGGACACTCAATCGCGGCAAAAGCTCTGGAAAAGCCGGGCATATTGTTGAAATTATTGCATGATTGCGCTGAATTATAACAATTCTCGCAAAATAACGCAAAATAATGCATCGCAGTCGATGGCCTGCGATGCACAATTCCAGCATATGTTTTTGTGCATAAAAGCCAAGCACAGACCAATCATGCTGACCATCTGAGCGTTAGCGAAATGATAGCAGAGCGAGAGAGAGAGAGTGGATATTGCATCCTGAGGCTGAGTTGGGAATCAAAACGGAAATTAGTAGTTAGGAGTTTTCGATATAAATGCGCAAAATTTTCATCGGCAGGTGTTTCCACAGCAGATTCAGCGATCCTTTGTGACCCATCAGTGCACATGGCGTGGTTGGGAAAATCAGAATTCACAAAACATATCCCAGACACGCAGGAAAGCATATATTCATCGCAGATTGGCCGCTATTTCTGGTCATATGCACTAAATCGATTTGATGTATTTGCAATTTCCCCAGGTCGTTTTTGGGACAGAGAAAAATCCCATCCAGAGCGCCCGCAATCTTGCCTCCGGGCGTCCGCACTTTAATTTTTCCCCCCATTTCCATATACAGCACGGTGTACCTGATGGCGGAGGAAAAACTCGCAACGCCCACACGATTTTCAGATGAAAGAGCATGATGGTGCCTTTTTGCCCTGGATGAGCCCAGCGTTTATTTATTTGGTATTTTTGCCACGAACGGAAATGTTTTGCGTAACCCGCAAATTATCCGTGGCAATTTACGTTGGGACACATTGTTTGACTTGGTGGGGCCATTGTCCAGTCCCGCAGAGTCGTGTGCTGACCGATGACTCCGCGGGCCGCTCAATTCCACTCCGCCGCGGAATTGTGTCTCAATTGACAAATGATAACGAAAAGTGGCATTCAATCGGACTCACTGGGTTTCACTGACACAATTATACATCACTTTATTCAAGTTCCATGAGCTTTTTCCACCATGCATAATGATAAACCAATGCACAGCACAATTAAAAGCCAACCATTTGTTCGTGCAGTGAATTTCGGGGCGGAAAACCTCTCTTTGTGCCATGCAACGATATGTACATGTGCTTGAAGCAGAGTTTTCCATTTTTCAGAGACCAGAGGAAAATTGTGTTTACTCTATCAATTGGAATTTCACACTAAAAGCATTTCACTTGGTGAATTTGCAGGGAAAAAAATCGACTGATTGAACAGGAAATTGATGTCAAATTTGTTTTATTTAGCTTATTTCAACGAGCACACATTAATATATCAAGCAAAAGGTTCGACATGTAATGAAATGATAATTTGAAATTACATTTAAATATTCTTCTTTTCCGGAAATTGAGCTTTAGTGTTCTATATAAATTACCTGCAGAGAAAAGAACGAATTTCAAGCAAAAAAATTGTTGACTCTGTAAAATTCCTCTTATTACGAAAAGTACCGTTCAAGAACACATCAATTAATCCCCCAAAACAGCAATTGTCTTCGTTCAAACTGTTCTTTTCACAAACAACATTTTCATCATATTTTTTTTCAGCAGCGAAAAGTTTTAATGTGTCTAAGAATGCTAAGAATAATATGTAAATCCCTTTATGAATTTGCTGTATCACATTAAATTGCAAATTCGCAGAAAAACGACACGAGAAGCGGTCATTCTGACAAAAGAAGAGTTCTTTGTCATTTTGCCAACTTGAAGACATTTCCATTAAAAATTAATAATTTATAATATGCTAATTGATGAATGAGATTCTCTCGGTTCCAGGAAATGCATTATAAATTTACTTAATTCGGCAAGGAAATGAATTTACTATTCTCGATAAGGAGAACAAAAGACAGGAATTTCCTGTTGAGTGATTCTAACAAAGATGCCATGAGATAGAATGTGAGATTCGACGTTGAAACACAGTTGCACCATAAATTGTGGGGCATTTGGCTAATTCAATTAATTAAGATCCCAATTTTTTCCTACCATTTCTTCCAGTGATAAAAGAGGAGATATTTGTTCGCTCGGTCTCTAATGAAATTCCATCGCAGTTGAAGGAAATCTTGGCATACGAACCATTTCACCATCTCCAATGTCAAGCCAAATGGCATGAGATTTTTCACGGTGAAGCTTTCAGAACTTTGATTCTCCACCTTCAAGTCACCGGAAGTGCCCTGAAGCTCGGAATGTGTGTTCCGGAATCGTGAAAAAGACAAACAAGCGCAGTCATTCTGCACTAAACCCTCCTTCAGAAACCACACGTGATCGCAATTTTGACTTTAATTTAACTTTTTGAAGTACACAAAACACACTCGGCGAACTTTTAATTAGAGCTTTCAACTGCCAGACGGTTTGCCTTTCTTCCCGCCGCCCGCCTTCGCTTCGCCCGCCGGCGCAGCCCGCCACGCCACTTCCTGATGCCTGATCGCACGCGGGGAGTGAGAAGTTATGCTGAATTTTCATCCCCTCACCGCATGCTAATATGTATGGCTTTGTTTAGACACACACTCAACATCCTCGCCTTAATGCGCTCGTTTTTCCCACAGACAATCAAGAGTGTGTGTAAATTTTCCCGACTTGTAGTTCCACCACGGAGTTGTCTTAATTAGTACCGCGAGCAATTGCAAACTTCTCCGCATCTCTCGCAGATCTGCATCTGCCGAAGAAGTCTGTGCGCCATGAAGGTAAGACGAGTTGTACAATTGGCTGATGAATCAAAAATGCCCAGGATTCAAGGCGCGAAAGGGCGTCACGGCGAAAGTCTGCCAAATTGGCTGTCCTTGGCCTAATAGCGGATGTGAGAGGAGAATCAGTCACTGTCTCAGACCCTCCGTATGTCACACACATTTCCACATGATGAAGAAATTTTCCATGGACTTTCCGCCTTTATGGTCTCTTTGTTGATCGCGAGGGGAAAATAACTGCCGCTCGTGATGAGCTCAAAGCGTCGACTTTTTGCCTCCGATAGACGATAATCAAATCATCGTCCAATTCTGTAGTTCAGTGGAGTTGAAAATCAAGGGTTTTCGCGGTTTAATTCCGAAGATTTGCGTGGTTTTACTACTCAATTTTTCTAGCTAAAATCAAGGTAGATCATCGTGAAACTGTAAACTTAGCAACTCTATGCAGAATGGCCCTTCGCATAACTTTTTCACTTATGCCATTGAGAGTGCGAGAAGCAAGGGAATCTCCGGCAATTGAAAGTGCGGAATAATTAATTGAGTGTGGCTTCTTGCAGAGGTGCGAAAAAAGACGTACAATGGACGCTCTTGAATTAGCTATGCGTCATAAAAGTGGGTAGGAAAATGCGTGATAAATCATGAAGAGAATTTGCGAAAGACATTCTGATCGTGATCTTTCGGCAATCTTCAACTGTTTTATTTTTCTTCAAATTGCTAACGTCCCATTTGGCACTTTTGAGGGAATTGTATCTTGTGCCGGAGATCCAAATTGGGCATTGCAACACGCGATGAGTTTACAATTGCGGTGATTTCAGTGCGTTGCACTTGTCCACGAAATTTCCGCGAGCTTGGCTGATGATTCGCGAGAACACGATGTCCCCCGCCCACCTGATGATGACTGGCGGGCCTAGAGCACCTGGCGGCAGCGACTGAGACGCGCTGCTGGGTATAAAACGTGCCGGAGGGCGAGTGCTCTGTTTCATTTCCTCCGCAAGCGATCGTGAGTCCGGTTTTCTGAGAGCGCGCTCCAGTGGTCACCCTCAGTTCCATCGCCCAGTCCGCTCTTGTGGCCGAAGCGTTTCAGCAAATTCGCCAGAAAGTGACCCCAAAGTGCCTTTACAAGAAGGTGTTCTTCGTGCATCGCCGCTCGCAACATGAATTAGACCGAAATCTAATTGGATTCCTCGAGAGACAAATTTGTGGATTTTTGGTGTGTCGCTCTCCCGTCCAATTTGAGTGTGTTCATCCCCCCAAAAGAGTGGGCGGCAGAGGGAGTCAGAGACGCCAGTGTAAACATTTAAATTAATTTAATTTATGTGACTTTGTGAGTAAATTCAACATGAGGACACAATTTTTCGTGCAGGTGAGTTACTCTGCCACACTCGTACAGCCCTTCAGTGACCCACAGACTCACCTTCTGCATAAACCATGCTGAAATTTTCCCATCCAACAATACTCGAGACGCTCACACGAGCGTGTGCCTCTTGTGAATTTTCGGTGAATGAGCGCTGGAAATGGCTCGGCGTGTAAATTATTCACATTTGAGAAGTCTCAGCAAGCGCGAATGGCGAAGAAGACGGTCAATGACAAGGCGGATGGTGATTATTTCATTTTGTACACACTCAGCAACCTGTTTAAGAGCCCACAACGCGCGGAATGCCGCATCCCTTCGCGGGCAAAAAAACCAAGCGCGATTGCATGCGACTGGGCGAGTTGTTGTGTTTTAATTAACACCAATTAAAAGTGCCCTTTCATTAATAAATCACGTGGTGCAGCGGCCAACAAAAGGGTAGTAATAATAATGTATGAAATTTGTCAATGCTCATGCCATTTGCGAGCATGTTGTGCCGAGTTGATGTCAAATGGCTAATAAACTTGCTAATAAACAAGTGATGAGAATAGTTTATACTGTGTGACGATGTTTATTGCGCTTCATTGTGGGGATTTCGCAAAAATAGCACAGCAAAGAAGAATGTTTATGATGGATTTCGGTCTGACGATATATTGAGGAAGATGTAAGAGTGACATGACATTGGAATGGATATAATAATCAATGTGTAGCTCGAAGCGCACAACATAATCCGCTCTCTTGACTGATAATTAGCTCAATATTACAGGGATTCAGACCGTGGAATTTTGCGACGTTATCAATGCACAGCCATTCTCGGTGGAGTATTGAATTTTGTGAATTTTCATTAATTAGCGGGATAATAAATTGGAGTGTTGTGTGTGGGAAAAGGGTATTAAATGAAATTGATATTGCTCCCAGTGTGCGCTAAAAATACTGGTGGTAAATTGAGGAAGGCGCGCGGTGGTCCCGAGAGGTGCGATAAAGGTGAAATACTGGCATGTGTTATATATCCTTTTAATGTAAAATTTCATATCAGTCGAAAATATTCATCATTTATTTCCTTCCTTCCGTGCTTTTTCAGCCTTTCGCCGCTAAAATATTCAAGTGCTCTCGCTTCCGCGTCTCATTATGCCAGAATTGATGCTGAGGATGAGGGTGCTTTTGACGTTGAAAAAAGGTGGTAGAAATTTCGCGAGCGCGACGGCAAAATACTTCAGTGCAGACGAGTGAAAAGCGCGCGAGGGTAAAAAAAAAACGAACTGTGCAAATAGGAACATGTGGGAAAAATGGTTTGACGAGCAAAAAATTGGAATTTGTCTAAATTATTAACAGACCTGTTATTCCGCGAGGTTTCCAGTGGAGAGAAGGAAAAAAAACGCACAACTCCCAAAGATATTAGATTAAACCTCAAATTCAACAATACAAATAAGAATGGCTAAAAATCAACACATTTGGGCTGGCAGAAAAAAGAGATTCACCAGTGGAAATATGGGAAATAATCTTCTGTGTTGATGGATGGCAATGACATGGGCAAAAAAAGTGAATTTAATAATTTTTCATTGCTGAATAGAACGCCCGTCTCGCGCCTCCCCAACAAGAGTGCTTTAACACGCATTGTCAATCAAGCGAACTTCCATGGCTCACAAATCGCTCATTTGATCGCCCTCGTCATTGCCATAAAGTGCCCACACTAAAAAATATGTATCGTCACATCATTTCCCGCGTTCCATCTCTATTTCGGAAGCGTTATGGCTTTGTGCGAATACAGGAGGTGTACGTGAAAATTACACACTTTACTCCATCATCGAGTGTCATTTTCCACACCAATTCCATCAGCTTTTCTCACCTTTTGCCACAGAGATGGTTTTGGGAGCGAATGATTGAGCGATTCGTGGAATTCTTGCATTTTTTGCAATGAATATGAAAAGTTTGATTAGACATTTTACTGGGCGATATTTGCTAATTTATGTATGCTCGTCGCGTGACTTTTGCAAGCGAATGTTTCAAGTTTAAGTGATGCTGTTGAAATTTTGGAAACATTGCTCAACTTTTGGCGGTCAGCAATCCGGATGCTGCTGATGTTGTCATATTTTCCTCTAAATTCATTCACCGCGACAGAGACTCGCCGCCAGGGCGTTGATTAAGCAAGAGAGCATGAGAATAATTAATTGATGAATAGCTGCATGACCTTATGCAAAATGCAGAGGCGAAAACGCACCACTCCACTCCCCTTCTGACTCGCCTGCCAGTTTATATGGCGAAGAGTTCATCCCCCATATTCTGCAGCGTGAGATGGTAAAAATTTAATGGGAATGTAAATTATTCACAGACAATTTGTGTCATGCTGACAATCCGGACGGCAGTGTGGGCGGCGCCCACAGCGGAGGCCCCCAAAGCGGCGGCATCCTCGCCGGCCGTCGCGACGGTGGAGCGGGAGCAGATGAGGGATGCGCGCTGCATCAGATGCTCGCCCAGCTCCAACTTCTACAGCGACAGAGATCGAGATTCCAGGTACACTTTTCAGACCGTTCTCAGGGTGGGCAAATTAAATTGTCTGACTGGCCGAAAGCCCGTCGTGAGAGTCAATGTCATTCCAATTGACGAGGGATGAGCCAGAGGCTGAAGTTCACCATGTGAAAGCCCAACTGAGCTTACTTACATTTCCCATTCAGCTTTTTTTTCTGTGCCCAGCCAAATGGAGGCAAATCAAATTGGACATTGACTTTTTCACCACACAGTTCACTTTTAAATGCTTCTGCTCAGCATCACAATGAATTCTTGTGATGCTCTTTTTTCTGCCTTTCATTTCCACAATTCACACAGCATTTTTCCATTTACCCAGTCCGGCATTCAATTGTAATGCCTTTTTGCAGAAGCCAGTGATATGAATTAATTTCATTCAAGAGTTTTCCAGTGCCTTTAAAAGGCAAAAAAAGTATGTGTTTCACTTTGATAAGCGCCATGCAAAATAGTCACGTTGTAATGACAAAATTACTGAAACGATCAACATGTATGAGAGGAAAGTGAAATTCCACTTTTCGCAAGCACTTTGGAAAACATATTTTTTTGAGCGACACACAGAACAATAGTCCTCGCCGGAGAAATGAACTTCAAGCTGAGGAGACGAGGAGGCCTATGAGAAAGGACTCTGATAAAGGAGATTCAATTAGGGAGTGACTTATTTGTAAAGTGTGCGGGGGATAAGAGAGGGCCTGAATAAAAGAACAAGTCCACATGGTTGGAAAAGTCTGACAAATTGGATGAGTTTGCGGCTGTTTGCAGATTCCTCAACATTTTCCGCCCCATCGGCAAGACCGGCCACGACGAGCGCAATAGTTGGTACAATCAGCCGGATCGCTACGGCGGCGGCACAGATCGCTATGGGAACAGGTAGAGAAGCTGCAAGAGTGTGTTGTTTTATCACGATGTGCTTTGGAGGTTCCGCAGGTCGCGGTGGAGTGGGAACGCAATTAGAATTCATTGTTTGCTCTTGTCTAATTCCAATTTAATTTCTAATCTACGCACCCTCCTGAAGTGAGATTACCTCAAGCGCGCCAAGGATGTTTGCATTCTTCAGCTGGGAAATTGAATTCCGAAAGAGTTCCTCTCTCTCTCGATGGGAAACTCACTATTGACAGAATATATTAAGACTCCGCTTCGGCTTTCTTTCCATACACTCACTTTCCCAGCACGAATAACGCCTGTGTTTCGTTTGGCACGAGAGTTTCATTGCACCTCAGTTTCGGGGATGTTTTCTAATTGCTGCTCGCTGTGAATTTGCAGATATGACGACCGATATTCAGGATACCCAGGAAGGTACGATGATCGGGATCGGGATCGGGATCGTGATCGGTACTACAACTACCGACCAGAACAGCGCCCAGAGCGTCCTTACTATGATCAGCAAGGATATCAGGATTCGCGGTACAATTCTGTAGGGCAGGATTACCGCGGAAACGGTTACGACAACAGGGATCCCTACTACTACGAAATGATGCGAGGCGGAGGATACTACGATAGAGGTTACAATGACAGGGGTAAGGATATTAAACTTAGACTTCGGCGACGTTGCAACTTTACTTTCATAACATCCTAAATGTTATGTTATACCAATCCTAAACTGAAATACCAAATTCATAATGTTACAACGACTTATCATTTAGCAATAATAGTATACAACTTTCATTCCTCAGACCGCTTCTACGACAGGAATCAGTACTACGATAACAGCTATGATCGCAACCCCAACAGAGGATACTTCGACTACCGCAACTACCGTCCTTACGACGAGACCTACAGGTACAACTACTATGGCTACTATAAGTAGATTATAATCATGCTTTGCGAGAGAATCTTCCTTCTACTTTTACGCCTCTTTTATCCTTCTCACGTGAATGAGAATAAATAAAATTAGCGCTAGAAAATTGAGACAAGAAATTGCTTTTCTCTGCGCCCAACGCTTCCCTTCGCTAAGGGGTGTGGCGAAGCATTGGGGTTTGTTTGGGGATGGCGAGAAAAAAAAAGTTTTCCCTCAATTTCAATTTTGATTTATTAATTTTTCCACGCGACCGAAAGTTCCTTCGGCATTAATCTCCTATTGTAGCTTTTTTAATTGACTTCCCTTGTGAGTGTAATAAATTTATTCTAATGAAATTCACTGGTAACGTTTCGGGGGAATTTCCACGGGGTACACTCTCGCCATTTCTCATATAATGGGGATTAAGTGTATAAGAGAGTCAAGAGAGTGTGAAATTGATGGGTGGGATCTATAAATTGTCTAGTTTTTTTACACCCCACGCCATGCCACTTTTTATTTTCGTCAAACCAAGATAACTCTGTGCGGTTTCTCGCACTGCCACTTCTTCAGAGGGTGGAGTTACAGTGTTTGAAAGGAAGCGAGTTGGTAAATTCCTTTGACGATGTTCAACATCCAGTATGTCACTCTCTGATCAAATTTACTCTTCAACTTCTCTTCCGATTTTTGCCTTCAACTCTCTGAAATATAGCATTTTAATTCCCCAATGAAGTCACTTCTGTCAATAGACACAATTCTTCGTGTATCTTTCCAACTGACTCGCGTACAGACGAACGACAGGAGTTCCTGTGCTGAAATTATGTGGAGAATGTAGTCAAAGACACGTCTTGTGTAGACGGGAATCACTGTCCTTGTCCAGCTTTTAATCCTCGACTTTGTGTGTGCGCGCTTTTCCGTCAAAATCCCCTGTAAATATTAATAAAAAGAACTCACTGTGCACTTCAAGCAGCATCTTTCTTCACTCTCCTGCAAATATCCCTTCATCGAGTGATTTCTGTGTAACTTTTTGCCTCCAATTTTCCGCACTTTCAAGCACAAACTTTCCCGAAGAGAGCGTCATTGTTAATACTTGCAATACTCTTTTCCACCAGCAAATGATCCCCAAAGTTTCGAATTATTCATCCAACTTTTTATGCTAATCCACTCAAAATTGAGTTTTGCTCCCCTCGAGCTGCGCTCGAAGTTGTGTGCGTGTGTTGTGATGCTACATTGTCAAGTTTTGCAAATGAGAGTTGTGATAAAATGTTATCATGTACATAGGCAATTAATACACAATTTTCCACTCCTCTTTCCCCGAAAACGCACGTGTGTTTTGCACTGCATACGATTTATAGGGGTGAATCCGGCTTTGATAGCTCTGGACGCGGATACTATTTTGCCAATCGCCCTTCGACACACCCGGCACAACACTATCACCACCATCAAAGCAATTATCACAATTATCAGTCACCGCCGCCGCCGCCACCATCACCGCCCTCATACCAGCAACTCCCTCATCCGTACGATCCGCCCCCGGAGTACTACCGGCCGGCGACGGGCGGATATGACCGTCCCAGCGGCGGACAGAGCCGGCCGCCGCCGTCCGGCAGCTACCCGTCCGCCCAGCAGCCCCCCGCCGCCACCTACCCCAACACCGACGACCGCAACCCCTCCGGCAGCTGGAACTACGTGCCGGACGACAAGGAGCCGCAGCGCCCCACCGGATACCCGTCCAGCGACAAAGACACTCCGCAGCAAAGGTAAACTGCCCATAAAACCATCACCACGTCATCAGGGATGAGCTAAACTAGCAATATTCCCGCCATGTTTCTCCCAATTTATCCCAGTGTTCTGTTTATTCTGAGTAAGTCAACTAACAGATTTATTCCACCGTTTTCAGGCGATCCTATTCAACTTTACAGTCAGATCTTGTCAGGTTACAAGACGAGATTCGTAAAGTTGAATAGACCTGTTTAACGCCAAAGACGCTATTAACTTCTCTATTTTGACTCGTTTGATATTTTACCCTTTATTAACCAAATATATTACCAGAAGATATGAAATTTTTTCGAAGACTGTTTGCTGAAGCATTCCAAGGCATTTCAGCCCTAATTATTCTGAGAAAAGCCCCAAACAATCCAATTTGCCACAGTGAAACTTATATTGAAATTTCCATGAACTAATGTATTCCATTAATGTTCTGTACATCAAATACTAAATTTGCCTTCGAGACTCAATATTATGGTAACACACCCAAAATGGAATCCCCTGCGGGTGGCTTAATTGTTTGTTTGCACTCTGATGTTCTACGCCAAATAATGCGTGTGTGCGTCGACTCTGAAAGCCAGAGACCCGATAAGACGGAGCATTTCCCTGTTGGCAGGTGAAAGTGGCGGATTGTAAATGACTGCTCCGTGTGACAAAGGGGCGGTTTTGGGTCAGCACACACAGCTCTAAATATTCAATCCTATCTCTCGGCTCTTCCATCTTTATTGATCATCTCTTTGCCTCACAACAGTACAAATAAAGTGAGCAAACATCGAATATTGCTCAGGCCTTATTTCGGAATTCCACTGTCAAGCAGAGAGTCTGAGTTAGGAATTCACGAGAACTTTCGCCCCGAATATTGAGAATATTTCACGAAATATTCACCCCCGAGCGAGGCGTCATGTGAAGCGGATTTTGCATGGAATTAGGGAGATATTCAAGAAATGCGTGCAGAAATTAGAGTGGAAATTAAATCAAAAGATTTGTGCTCTTTTGTAGTTTACACGCACGCAAATGTCTCAAATGCCAGCGAAGATTTTTCAAGAAAAAAACATACATTTTGAGGACCTAAAGCAACACATGAAAAGCTCCTATTTGTGTTGTGGTCTTCAACATACAAACAAAGTGTACTTCAATTAAAAATCGTTACACTACATTCCACAGAAAAGCACCTTTTTTCTGGGTGTTAAAGCACATTTTGATGGGAAAATTGCGGTCGACATTCATTAGCTTTACTATCTTATTTGCATACGATGATTACGAAGCTCTTTTGTGGGTTCTTCGCCACACAATAACATCATCATCATCGTCACTACTTCAGTGTGGCATCCTTGATGGCTGATTTCTTGCATTCTAAGCGAAAGTGCAACTGAAGAAGCACAGCAACTTGATATTGCCATTGTGTTGCTCCAGTGAAAAAGCCTGAGCTTGAGGAGTTTGCTACAAACCAATGCCAATACCTTCCCTTCCATGCATTTAATTTCCAACACAGACTTCCTCTGTCAAAGCTCTCCACTTTCCTTCGGGGCGAACTGTGCGAACTTCCTTCCATTACGCTGTATATATATAGTGCACTTGAAGGTGGAGAGGGAAAAAGCGCCGCAAGCGAAAAAGCAAACTCGAAAGTTTCACCCCCGCAACCGTAGTAAAGATGATAATTAACGTTTTTCTCCATGTCCACGTCAGGAATGAAATCCTTTATATTAACTTGGCGTATGAGGAGAACATACGACAGATTTTCCCATTAACTTTCCCTTTGACTTTCTTTTCATTATGCATTGTGTACGTAAGTCTGGCGGATGGACGGAGCGAAAGAATAACCTCATCTGTTAACAAGTCCTTGGCCAGCCCACTCTTGGGCGCCGCTCTTGGATGTGAGTGGGTATAAAAGCTCGCTCTCTCCCCTCACTTGGTGAAATATTACCCTAGCCACCTTCTACTCTGTACTTGAGTGAGAATTTCTCATGTTAAATGGCCACTTGAGCTCCACTCCTTCATCACTTACTTCCCCGACAGTCTCCGCTTCGCCGGTGGCTTTCCGGCTTCTGAGGCTGCACGGGAGAATCCTCGACTGGCTCCTCAAGGAGTGAGTCGAGGTGATTCTCGGGCAGCGGCTCTGCCGACGGACCGACACTCTGGAGAGGAGGCGTCATGTGTTCAATGACTCGGAAGAGATAGTTGCGACTTTTTCGGCCTCCTTTCGAAGGGTCCTGCGAGAGTTGCTCCCTCGCCGCTCCTCCGCCCTGCCGAACATTCATTTTCTTCATGCCCAGCTGACTTCGCGGATTCCAACCAAATATTTGTGGCATGACAAAGCACTTTGTGCTTTTAGTTTTATTGGGGAAATGCACTCCCCTCGAGGGTTGGGTAAAAAAAAGCGGAGGGTTGGATTTATATCTCACAGGCAATATACCAGTGATAAACCTTGTTCTCCGACACGATTTTAATCTATGTGGTGGAAATTCTGTGACATTTACTTTTTCCTAACCCTCTATTGATATACAAATAAATTTCATAGATAAAATTCATGCTCTACATTTATTGCATCAGATAAAATAGTATAAAATAGAGCTGAAAAATATTGCTATATTTTCCCAAAAGCGACCATTAAAATTTAAATACGTGTCTTAAAGACTTGAGCTCAGCACATTTTCGTGAATGAGTGTCAATCGGCGTTTGCCAAACCCTTCTAATGGATTGACCTGATTGTTTTCACTTCGATATCCGAAGTTTGACTCTCAGTCCGCCAGCAAAAGTGATTTGTTCTCAGCAAATCTTTGATAATGTCGGTAAATCTGTTATCTACCACCCAAACACGTTGAGGTCGTCATTCTCGTAAGTTTGTGTCTTGTCGCTTCACCGCAAAACACACACTGACCACGCGTTCCGTGCAGACACACCAATAATGACGATGATGGTTCAACATGCTGAACGAGTGCTTGGGAAACCTTTCCAGTCATGCTTTTTCATGTTAACCACCCCTTCCGCACCCCCACCCCGTCCGGCTATTGAGTGAAAACAAACAGAAAGTTTCCCGTCCGGGACTCTCTCTCTCTCTCGGCCATATAGAGTGCGATGGAGGACTTTTTAGACGGAGCTCGAGTGCAGGCAGTTTATGGTCCATTTGGCTCCCTTTGTGAGCGTCTTTATTGCAGTGATCTTCCCTCACTCTCAACAAGCTTCCCACAAAAACTTCATATACATAGCCATAACCATTAATATGAAATTACACACAGTGGAGCTTGTGGAAGGGTGGAGGAATTATTCAGTGCAGTCGATACATCAGAAAAGTGCCCCTGGGAGATTTATGATGTGTGTTTTTGTGTTGAGGGATCGTGGAACTCCTTCAGCACGCTTCGTTCCTAGGTCACAATGTGTCGGGAGCATTGAAATCCTCATAATCATAACTCCCAATCTCTCGCTTTAGCCAAGTATTTTGCCATGCTCGTTTCGCACCCTTTGCATCGCAAATATTGTAAAATATTCAAGGCAGAACATCAAGGGTGATTTGAAATCCGCAGAAGATTCCACTTTTTCACCCGCACTGTTTCTACTGCATCAGCACATTTTGCATAATTAATGTTTATTTACAAATTATTAACTCTCAGAGAATCAACATAACATAAATTCGCGGGCGAATCGATTAGAAAGTTTAACGTTGAATAGTGAATAATAAATTGTGGGTGAAAATCGACCCAATTGCACTTTCCGCACAAGATAAACTACTCTTTGGAAGTCAAAGAGGAAGAAAGGGAGATAAATTTAACATGGAAATTATGTTATAAATCGCAAGTTCTCATTTGCTCTGCACACCTTCATTTGCAGGCGAATATTACTCCGTCTGGAATAGAGAGACTATTCAACATTTTCACGGAGAGTTTGTGCAAATCGAAAGTGTAATTTCTGTTTGTTGTGCGCGAATGTGTTTGACTGCATTTAATAAGTTTTCAAAAGGCGGATGAATTTCTTCCATTTCGCGTTCGGCATTTCTAAGGACACACATAGTCAAATTTTACACCAAACACAATTTCGCACACAAAGTCAAATGCCTCACACTCCCTTGTAGGGCTTCTAAGTAAACTTCAGTGAAGCCCATATGTGAGCTTTCTTTTGGAGCGTTCTCTGGGAAACTTGTAGAAATCCCACACTTCGTCTTGGGGAAAATGAACGTGGAATTTCTTGGCAGAAAGTTTCTCTGAGCGCGTGCAAATTCCAGCAAGCACGAATCCACGGAACAAGAATGGGCGAAAATGATGCGTTGAAGAAGTTTTGCCATCTTCAGCGCCTTTCTTCAATCGACAAATCTCAACACGGCCTGAATAAATAACCACCCGTGGCACAACATTGCTGGGAATATTTGCCGACAGAGCGAGAGAGTTCACAAACATTCTTCGCGCGGTAATAAAAGGTCGAAAAATTCGCTGCATTTATTGCCTTTTTTTCACCTCGCATATATATTTGAACTCTGCGCGATAAATCACATGGAATTTTCTCTTCATTCGCGTTTCCCACAAGCACACACAAGCGTGCATTTTATCATCCCCCAACTCCAACATTATCCACACAAAATCTCAGCTTAAGCGGGAAGTAGTGAAACACATTTTCATAAAGTGCACTATTATTTACAACCTCTATCTGCATTATCAAAGTAAAACTGCGCATTTAACATTGAATCACGAGCGGATGAATGCTAATTTGCAAATATTTTGACTTTACGCTAAGCGGATTGATTTAGGGAGAGTTCAATTTCAGCACTCGATTCTGCGCTATGATCGTATAAATTATAGCTATTTATTTGATTTTCGGACTATCTCACAAATCGGCTAAACGATAAAATTGAAGCATCAAATAAATAACTGGAATGCAGAAAAATGCGTAGAAAATACATAAAATGCAAGGATTAGCGATTAATTATTTTTCATGATTATTGCTAAAATCTTGATTATTTCATACAAATTGCAATCATTTTTTTGATTATGCCAAAAAATATTAAAATATTTGATTATCATATGAATTTTCTAATTATTTTTCCACATATTGCCGTCAGGAGGTAGAAGTATAAATTCTAAAGGCATGTAGGAGTTCCGATAGTATTTCCCTGTGGAAAATTGGCTTCTAACTTCTAATTTTAGGTGTTTAATATCTGTGTGGTAAATTTTGTGACTTTTGAAATGATTTTCTCGAAAATTTACAATTTTTTTTTTAAATTCTGATGATTTTCCAGCAAAAATCAATATTTAAATAACTGATTGAGACCATTAAGATCCCTAAAAATCGTCTTATTTGATTTCCCTTGATAAAAATTCTTTTCATCTTATGAAGAATTCATTCTATATGTATTATACACATAATCATATATTGATATATTCAAGTTCTGTTCTCCCAACCATCAGCCAACCAATTTTGCACAATTTCTCTTTATATTGTAAAGCGTGTTAAGCAAAAAAGGATACAACACCTGTTTGTAGCACAGTTTTTGCCTGTTTTCTTGTATGCTTTCTGCGCTAAACTGCTTTTAAGCCAGGCTGAGCAATTAAAAATGCACTTTAACTGCTGCGAACATAAATTGCAACACTAAATCAAGACAACTGCTCTCTCCTTTGGTAGCTCTTCGTACGGCTCGCACTCTCGGCCTCTAGGCGGCAGCTATCTCTACGACAGGGACTCCAACGAGCCGGCCAAGAACAGCCCCAGTTCCACTGCGGCGCCCCAGGCGGACGCGACCAGCGAGGCGCCGGCCAAGGATGACGCCGGCGACAAGGCCAGCGACGCTGAGTGAGCAGGAATCGAGGGCAATCCTCACGGTTTTGTACTTGAAGTTCGATATTTATGTTTCACAGAGAGAAAAAATGAGCAATAAATCAATAAATAAGATGATATTAGAGAGAGTCTCTGGTAATTTCTACAAAATCCCCCCGAGATTACAGAATCATCAGAATGGATTGTATAATGCAGCATAAATTTTACGGGTTTGTGGAGGACGATAGCAGTGTGTGACGCTATGTTGGGGAGCTTAAGGCTGTGAATTTGTGGGCGCAATAAATAAATTTGCATGCACCCAAGAATACGGCATTAGCGTGATTGAAATATGATAATCGCACAGGTATAAAGTATGGAGCGTCTCAAAAGTGAATACTTTGCGTTTCGAGATTTCGCCACTTTGCAGAAGTGATTTTTCTCCTGAATCCATCACAATCACGAGCATGAGCACAACATCCGCATATTGTTGGCGTCTCGGCGAAGAGCATGATCTAGCAGCAAACATGATTTCGATGAGCAGAATCCGAGGGAAGGGGGAAAGGCGAGGGAGTTCAGTGCCTTTTCGTGGATGAAGTGCATTAGGAGTGCTTCAGCATCGCTGCACCTTTTGGATCCACTCATGATGGAGCGAACCAGAAATATTGTCTGAAATGCATTTTGCAATTTTGCGCCTTACATCCTGGATGGGAAAAGCTCACCCGCATTCCGTACACATGTGCTTTTTCTCCACTCGTCAGCCATTTCCGGTGTCCCAAATGAATTTTCTCACCCACATCGATTCTCCTCCACACGACGCCTCACATGAATTGTGCATCATTTATGAGACACACTCATAAAATCATGTCACAAGGATAGGTTGCGAATGAAATGAATCATTCATAAGAAAAATGTATATATTTGCCTATAGACTAAGGCGGTTTTTTTTTAGCTTAGAAGCGATCAATTTCAAATGAAACACAAGAAATTACCCGAACTTCCTGATATTTTTCATGGTTTTCACTAAAATCTTAGCGAAAGAAAGCGGAAAATGAGCTTTTGGGATCGTTCTCTGGAAGCTCTTCTCTCTTGGCGCGGATTTTTACCCTCAAATGCAGGAGCAGGATATTTTCTAGCAGATAGGAAAATTATACAGAATGCCAAAGCCTTTTTGTTCTTATTCAGACACTGACAAATGCTGAGATGCTGGCATGAGGACAAAAGATCGAGACCAACATTCTCAGAACTTGAATACATTCTTGGACAATCTATAAGTGCTGAACTACAAAACTACCTGGATTTTTCCACAACGTCAATGGAAATTGTGGACCAGAATGTTCAGAGACGGGGAACAGATTACATTTCAGCAATTTTAATTACTTATTTATTTATAAGCAAAGGGTATTCGTTCAGGTTTTAAAAAACACGTAACGAATGTTATCTAGACAAGCGAATAGTCTCTATAGTTGATGTTTATTATAACATTAGAGTGGATTCTTGTTAACAATGTATGATTAGACGGTTGCGCCTTTACCATTTTCTCAGAAAATGTCCAGACAGGAAGCACTAGATCAATGATAGAGGCAAGCAAACAAAACCATGGAGTAAAATCTCCTAAATTATATGGCTCAGTAAATCCCACTCTAACAATCCGTGATAATAAGTTTTGCACATGTGTAAATTTGAACAATTTTAACGCCCTACTTAAACTAATCCTTGTGTATTTTTATCTCCTGCGAAAGTACTTGCGATAGTAAAATTTGTGCATGCAATAAACTTCTTTTCTATTCCTTGCAATTATGTTGTGTACACGTTTGCTCAGTTTAACAATTCGCTCGTCGCGGCGCACTTGGGGGAGGATTTAAAATTATTCAGCGCGATAAAGTTGGTTGGCTGGTAAAATTTACGCCTCAAAGTGCAAAGGACTCTCTTCCTGAATGTGCAACTGTGAGGGCGTGTGAAGTGTGATCTTTTTATTACTCATCCGCGCGTCTTTATTTGCTTATTCTGTTTAATGTCACGAGGCGAAACATGAAACTTGACTGTAATGTCCGAAAAATTATACTTCCACTCTCCAAAGTGTACTTTTGTCATCTCGTAAAACATATCGTTCTCTCAAGGAGTGTATATTTAATTAAGAAAATCCACCCAAGAACATACTTGACACGCGGCCTTTCTCAAGGCGGCGCAAAAACTCCGGTTGGGAAAGGCAAATAGCGTTGGTGGAGAGGGAAAAAAGGAGCAAAAAGCGCATCGAAGGAGCAATTTAATAAGAATATATCATGTACGTTTCGCTGCACTGCGGAAAGTGTAGAATCTTCTTGCACAGTGGTAAGTTCTTTTGCAGCAAACTTTTTTTCCATCTCGCGAGCACACACAATTCACTCTATTCTTATTTTCACCAAGGCTCCCGCCGCTATATTTATACGAACAACAAAGCTAAACTGGGGAAGAAGCTTCCGCAAGTTGTGCTGTCTGGGAGTTCTCCCGATTCCTCCGGCAATTGCCAGTGAATGTGCTCCATGAACCATGGCAGTGGCACTGGATTGTGGCCAAAGGAGACTGCACTGCCTCGCACAGGATGCTCAGGACTCGCTGTCGGTTTTCCCCAGCACAGCACTCGCGAGCATCGCAGCCTCGGCACAGCGTGCAATGCCTTCCCATCCATTGAACCGCTGGATATAAGATCCCAAAAATGCAATTAGCGTTAAAAATGAAGTACAAACTTTTCTCTATTCCTCGTATTTTTCATCTTTCCTCATGTCGCACATCAGAAATTCCAGCGACAAGCAGCGATCCGTCAAAAATCCATCCAACTTTGCCACAACACACTTTTCTCAGCAAATAGATTACTTTCACGTGGATTCGCGCAAGTGTTTCTGATGAAAGTTGCACAAATCCCTCTATTTATAATTCTGCACGTGGGTTTTTTGCTGTGCGATGCCAAAAGGTTGAAAACTTTTTCGTTCCGACACACACAAGAGCGAGAGACAAAAGGAGACTTTTCCAGTTCGCGCACGGGAAATATGTGGCCGCATAAGAATTTCGTGCCATTTTTTCCCATCAGCCACGAAAATTGTGCACGCTGAATGTAAATTTCTTGAGAAATTCCTGCCTCGCATTGTACGGATTATTCTTAAGAAGTCAAATATGTCAACTTTCTGGATTATGCTTTTCTGCCTCCACTTGAAGTCCTGCTCAACTATTAGTCTAATTGAAAGTCAAGTTCTTGTGCTCTCAATTTTTGCTCCAATGAATGAAATTGGAGAGAGAATAAATGAATATTGATGACGGACTTTTCTCCCAACTTTCCCATTTCATGAGGTGGAATTTCAAATATCTAATTCACTCACTCAATGACAAAGTAAGAATAAAGACAGAGACGAACATTAATGTAATTGGAAAAATTTTTATTGATGCAAAGAAATGTCTTTTTGCATAGAAATTCTTTAAAATCTTCACGATCGTGTCATTGCTTATTATATTTCTCAGGCGAAAATTACGTGTTTCTCTCCCAGAAAGGCAAAAAAAGTGGGTTGAACTGAAAATACAAAGTGGAGTGCATTAATTTATTTGAACCCTTTTTGCTTTTTCCTTCCAAGCAGTCTGAGGTGGAGCTTCGTGATGGAGAAACAATGGATAAGTCTCAGCTTCCTCCAAGATTTTCTGCAGTCTCCATAGCGATACTTCAATCTTTCGCCGGCAAATCCATAGGAACGCCTTTCCAATTAAGTTCTGCAACGAGAAAATGTAATGAAAGTGGGTTCTTGAGATGGTTTTCTGTGTTGTTAATCTAACATGGTCGGACTAGAGTGATTTTGCACACCACAAAAATACAATTATGGAATCGAATTGAATTCCTCTCGCTTCCCATATTCAACATCACTTAGGGAAGTCCTTTAGTCCTTTCTCAATCTCATTTACACTTGAGGGTGTGTCTTTGCTCAATATTTCCCTGATAAATTTAATGCGACTGCAATCCATTAACTGCACACAATGGAATTACAGGGAGAAATTTCGGAGTAAAATCAAGAGAAATTTGGTTAATTTTAGCAAATCTGGGTACCTTCCTTATCTCAAATTAAACAAATTTCCTCTAAATGTTCTCCTTTTAGAGCAGAAATTCTCGAAAGTCATAAGAATGAGTTATTTTGATCGGTATTAATTCGAGAAAGAGATTCTTATTCCGAAATTTCTCCCTGCGCGATGATTGCTTAATCATCAGAGTATCCTGGGAATATGTATATAGAAGTTATCGGAAAAGTTATGTGGGAAAATATTATGTGTTATATAAAGCGGAAAACTGAGAAGTGCGGAGGAGTTTTTAACTCAACTTCATCCATGGATATTTCCTCTATTGAGAATCGCTCTCGCTTCCATGCGAACTGATGCGAACTGCGAGGGATGAAAAGGACTCCTAAAAGCTTTTGGCAAACACAACCAATCCAACAATTGTACTCCCCTGATTTTCCGCCTCGACAATCCTTTTGTTGTTGTCGTGCGTCGCCAAATTTAGACTTCTTTTGAGATGGCGCAAAGCTCCCGAGGAAAAATTCCCTGCCAACCCAGAGCAACGTCACTCCCCCGAGTCGTGGAGTGTTCATTGGAAATTATACACCCCCATATCGAGTGGCGCCGCGCCACAATTGCCATCATAATTTCGGATGGAAGGAGCATAAACAAGGTGATTTTTCTTTGTTCCCGCACTCTTGAGCGCGGAGAAAGCAAATTTAAACGACGAAAAGAAATCGATAGTTGGGCAAAAGTGGGAAGATTGTGGATGAAAACAACTGGCGGAGAAGAAATATTGATGGTTTTCATTCACTCTCTGCGTGTATTTTCCTTCCCACAGAATATCGCCCATTTTTCAACTGCATCTCTCTCTCTTGTTCGTCTTCCCATGAAAATGAACAGATCGAGAGATGGAATATGGATGAGGAAATTCACTTATCCATCCCTCAAGTGAATTCAATTAAAGTTGTAAGAAGGAAAACAGGGAAGGAAACTATTATTCTGCTTATTCGTGATGCTGTAATTTTGTGATATCTTAAAGACGATTAGCAATATTGGATATATTTTACCATAGAAAGGTGATGTCATGAAATTCTATAGGACATTATCCTTCTTTTTATCTACTATCTGAGTTCTAAATATTGCTCACTATGATATTTAGAACAGAGTTACCTCGAAAACCACATTTTGTGTGGCGCTATGGCGACAGAAAGCCCAATTAATCGATAGAGAGTAAACAGTGGAGCAAAAATGTGCGAGAAAGTGATTCCTTGTGGTCTTGAGCATCTTCGGAATGTGCTGCAGATGGAAACTGAGCGACGGTAAGTTGATCAGCATCTTACTTGCCACTCCTCATTTGCCAACTGACTCTGCTCTCCAGAGATGCCGCGCGAATCCGCTGCGCCGATCTCGGCAGACAAATGGAGTCCTTCGAGGCCATGGCGGAAATGGGCCGCCGCCAGCCGACGTCGTGCATGGACGCGGCGGTGGACAAGCAGGCGGCCACGAACAACGCTCTCGCGGCCCAAGTGGCCACGACCAGGGATCAGCTGGACGCCCTGTCGCGCTCCTTTCGCAACATCGAAGTCTGCAGCAAGGAGTGCGACCTCAACATGCGAGACCTCATCGTCGACTACGCGTGCATCACGAAAGCTGAGCTTCTGAAGGAAGTTAAGCGCTTCGAAAGGATGCAGATTGATCTCAAGAGCAACATCGATCGTCTGCAGTTCAGGCTGGATTGTGAGTCGAAGCAGTACTACTCGCTGCTCGATCAGTTCCAGAAGCTCCAGATTGAGCTTTACTACTTGCAGAACTTAGGCGACAAGTACTCGTTCCGCAGCTTTTTCGTGCACTAGAAACTGCGACTCTGACATCAAATGACTACCGCTGAATGTTACTAATGACCAAGAACCAAATACAAGCAGACGAATTACCTTTTCCCTCACCAACAGAGCAATTAATGTTTAATTATAGAATAATTGTGTCTGAAATAGAGTTCTAATTTGAAAGTTTCCAGTGAATAATGCAGTCCATTAAGTGGAGAGGCTAAAAAGTGTGTAATTTGTAATTGATCTCCGCCAAATGGAGCGTGTGACTGTAAATTATTCACTTGTGCGACACAGGAATTTAAATAAATTCACAACTTCCCCGAGGAGACAGACGTACAATGCATGGAGAATTTCCTGTTTCCCCCATTCTTACCCGGAAAAGCCAGGAAGTGCGACGAAAATGGAGCTGTATAGTGAGTGTTGATCCATGTCTATTCACTCCTGAATTATTCCCAGAATCAATAGTCATCATTGTCAGGCTCGGCTTCAGCATGAAGTCAGACTCGAGGGTTAAGCAGTGACACATCTGCAGATGCTTCAGCTGCAAATGAAACACGACGGAGTCTGAAATGTTGAATTTAATATATGAAGAGAGCTTCCTTTCACAATTTATTAATGAGTCGGCGTGTCGTGGCGAAATCTTTGCGCGTAAATTTCACCACCGCGAGCATTTTCCCAATGGAGCAGGAGAATGGTGAAAAATTATTTAAATTCTAGGTGTGAGAGAGCGAAAATTTACATTTAAGTAAAATGTCTTGTCGGTACAATTTGGAGAGGAATTCTCAACATAGAGTGACTTTCACTCCCTCCGCTTTTCCACATGGAGGAGAAGAATACAAAATTTTCCCTTGGGAGAGAGAAAAGCAATGACTGCGAAGATGGAGTATGGAAATGAGTGCAGAATTGTGCCAAGTGTGATGACAATTCGCAAATTTATAATTTATGTTCTTGCTCATGTTGTTCAATACGAAATCCTTATCGCGTGTATTTCTCCGTGTTTCCCTTTAAGAGATTTCAAATGCTTTCTTATTCTGCATGTTAAATCACCACAAACCACCCGAAAGAGTCATTGGAAAAATGCAAATGCTGATCCTCAGCCAGTCAATACTTTTAATCTCCTCGCAAAGCCATTTTCCTCTCACCGATAACAACCCTGAACATTTTTCCAACACGGAGAGGTTTGTGGTCTGCAGGTGAGAAGAACGACACGAGTAGAAACCACTGAAATGAGAGAAAATAGTCACATGTAAAGTATATAAATTAATTGTGCATATAGAATAGATTCGAGACTTTTATATAATTGAATTTTTCCTATTTTCTCCATAGTTTTTCCACTGGGAAAAGTGTCAGAGAAGCTTTCCATCGAGAGTGCAATTTGTGGTATGTAAATGTGTTTTGAGGATTCAACAAGGATCCTCTATTAAATGCATTTCCGTCGTTTGGGGTGAGAAAAGAATGTTGTTCTTAAATTGGAAAAAATGATTGTCTAAAAAAGTTTACACTGCGGGGTTTTTGCGTGATTGATAGACGCTTTTTTTCACGGACTTAGAGTGCATCGACCAACCTTCTCGACCGCTTTGGGGTGAGTGATGAAATTGAAGAGTTCAGCGGCGGAAACGTCGGAAAAATTGCGCCACGTCGACAGTGGTGAAAACCCGTCGTCAAACTTATTAGATGGTGTGCCACAGGGAAAATTCAGCGACGTAGAGGATGATGATGATGCATTTTCTGCATTATGCCTGATGTCGGCATGCCGCACGAGAAAAACCACGGAGGCAACTGTCACGAACACAATTTTAACATCCATAACTCCACTTTGCTGCATTTCCCACCAAACACGCCAGAAACTCTCTCGGAATCGCACAATTTACTTCCGGATGCTACTTACGACTGTTCCACGTGAGACATTTCCACAGTGCGTTTTAATTGTCTTCAGGAAAATCTCTCACTCCCTCTCTCTCTCTCTCTTTTTCTCTGGTTTGTGTGAAAATTCCCTTTGCGACACTGAAGCACTGCGAGCAGTGGAGGAATTCAAAGGGAAAAGCCATACAAATGTCCGGTGATCGATTTTCTTCTCCAAGTTTTTAACATAATTACCACCGACATTCTGTCCACCTTCAGGCGTTCTCTTTTCTCCAATTCACCTTTGCAAGACTTTTATGAACTCGTCTTTCTTCCCTTCGACCATTTTTCTTCCCTTTCTTTCATTCAATAAATATAGTTGGAAGTTGTATTGATATTTGCAATCTTTGTCACTGTAATTCCGGACAGAATTAGTGATTTAGTCATTTATGAAGCATTAAATTATAATTAAGCAATAATTATATTAAATAGAAGAATATTAGAATATTACCAATGATTTTGTGCAGTCATTGGCAATATTAAAACTAAAAGTGCAGATTTCTTCTTAAAGTAAAATTCAGCAGAACAGCAGCTGGAAGAAAATAGTCTTAAAATTTGAACTCATGGCATTGATAAATGAATATTGAAATTTTCTCGTTACGACGCCAGTGACTTTCCGCGTGAAAGACACATCACAATTTGGCGAGGATTTGCTCTCATCGTCACACGAGAATTTCACAATTCAACGTTTCCTTTCCCCATCAGAGCCTTTGTGCGCAATTCGTGACTTACCACGAGGGTTGCCCTTCTAATTCACCCCGTCTTGCGATTCATTGGCATTGTCGTGAATATTTGCTGAAGGAATTACGTGTGATTCAGAAGGAAACCGATCAGTCGTTTGTGACGGTTGATGCCTCGTCCGAGACTCGTCTCTGGGGTGAAGTTCCTTTTCATGCTCTCTTCGTTGTTCCCTAACTATAATTCATATCATTACGGAACTGTGTGTGCTATTATACTTCTTTTTGTTCGCTCCTCCTCGCTTGTCCTGGCTTAAGAAAAATCGTGTGCGACAATGGCGAGAGAGAGAGAGAGCGAAAGGGACTCCTAAACACGACTCTCAAGTGCTCTTTAAAGACAGCGTTACCGTCTCAGGAGTCCCAGCACCCAATCCTTGTAATTTCTCGAGCAGATGGTCACGAAAATTATTGTCGCTCTCGTGATTTCCAGTGAAGGCGAAGTGACGGAATGAATGTCATAAAATTGGATGGCTTTTGTGTGTCTTGACTTTGAGATTTTCACAGGCACACATGGAGTGAAAAAAAAATTGGGAAGACTCGGGGTTTTATGAGATTCCAAGCCTGTAACCAAACACATCATCACCCAGAAATAATATATATCAAAATGCCACTGAAGGCGTAGAATTAAATCACAGTGAAATAATATAGTTGATTCCATTTGATGGTGAAACGAGATGTTAAGTGGACTTTGAATCTCAAAATTCACATCACGTGAAGTATTTTCCAATAAATTCCCTTCCACAGCGATATATCATAATTCTTTCTCCACTAAAAGTGGGAATAAATCACCTTTTCTCCTTTGTTCCTCCGCGCGATGCTACATCAGACGGTGGGAAGGAATGTAATTACAGAAGGGAAGGTGAAATGTATTTTTTTCATTTATTTCTGCTCAACATGGTAAAGCAATCTACTGTGTTATAAGTGTAATAGGAAAAATATTTGATACACTCAGATGAAGCGAGGACTTTTGGCACATTTTGCTGGCTTTGCTTTTGAGGAAATGGGAAAGCAATTAGGAAAGAGTTGATAAGTGGTGTACAGCGCATAGTCGCATTATCTTCCCCTTGGCCACTTCCCCATTTCCCGCGCTTCGCACTTGAGTGTAATCAGAGATGGTGAAAAATTTGTCGAAGTATAAGTGAATAAAGGTGGAAGCGAGAGAGAATTTCTGAAGGTGAAGTAAATTTGCATATTTTATCAAAGAAATATGTATTAGGAAGCATTATGTACAGCCATGGTGAAGTTGTGCGATGAAAGAACGAGAAATAGCGTGATGGGCGCAAGGAAGGCAAGTTAATTTGGTAATTTATGTAAATCGTTGTCGACTTTTAAAGGCCCATATCCGTTTATTAAATAATTTAATAGCCCCATCAGGGTGGTTTTTCGCCGCACCCTCTCACTCTCTCTCTCTCTTGTGCACGTCTAGGTGGAAATGGTGTGATTTGAATGGGAATTAATTGACCAGCCACCCTCTGTTCTCCCATTTAACACCATCATATGTGGCGTGTGATCCCTTACAAGAGCGCCCCTATTTTACTTTGTCAAGCGCCGAGAGAGAGAGAGCTCTTCGGAATCCCGCACGCGACACCCGCATCACTTCTTCGATGGCGAGAGAAAGTATTTCATGGGAAACACGTGACTTTCATATATCAATGGATGGCAGAGGAATCAATTCAAATAGAAATATCGCCAAGATTTCTCACAATCATTCGCGACTAGAGGAATTATTGTCAAACTCACATGGTAATCATTTGTTTCACTCCAGGACATTCTTGAATCCTGCTGCAAGGAGGGAAGGAATTTTTTCCAGCTCAGGCATTGAAAATAAATTTCATTTCTGCAGAGACACACCTATATTGTGTGTTTACGTTGAATAATTCAATACTTCTCCATCCCTCAAGACATGATTGAATGGAGGAAAACCTCTCGCATTGGCATAGCCAGAGAGAGGAATTAAACATATTCGAGGGGTGAAATATACACATTCGCACTCGAAGAAATGACTGTGCTATAAAATGAAATTAGAAGTTTGACAGGGAGAATGGGAAACGCGAGTAAAATAATAATTTCTTTTACTCGGCTGTTTGCCGAAGGAATGTGACTCGCTTTCTTCCGCCCACTTCCAATACCATTAAATGAGTATTCCCGATTCGCCTTTGTTGCGCGATACTTTGAATACGCGGCGAATGGCTCCCGGAGAAGGCAGAAATTGGGGGTTGGGAGAGTGAGGGGCACGTCATTTTGGCATTGAGATTGTTTTACAACTCTCTGTCGAATTCCCCAGCGCAAATCTTCAGTGGCAATGTCCAAATGGATCCACGAAGCAATATTGGATGGGCAACAGGGAACCCTTTGACTGAAAATTTTCACATAATTTTCACCCCTCCGTGCAATCAAAGAGCGAATCACTGGGAAACGATGAACTTACTTTGGGATTCCTCGGGTCGTCTTGAGACATTCGCCATCGACATCAGCCCGGGGGGAACAAATCTATTGACAGCGTATTGAGGATGGAGGATTTTCCATCTAATACGCGACATCTGCAATCAATCCTCGTCCTCATCCTTCAACTTTGCACACCCAAAAACAGTGACGCACACTGAATTCCTAAGGCGTCGTCGTCACACACATTCCGCTGCTCTCGTGGGAATGTGAATAAATAAATTCACATGGTGCGACCCTTTCCCGGGGATTTCTCAATGGATTTTCCTCCAAACACTTTTCACCCTTCTTGTCTTTCTGATGCTATGCAAAAGGGGCGAAACAGGCTCTCAAACCGAAAGAAATCTCATGAATTAGTGGCGTCTTGCACAATAAGACATGCCATTGAATGCCACCGGAAAATCACGGGGTGAAACCGTGTGAGAACGCCGAATCGCTCTTTCCCGCGCCGTCAAGCCAAGGATCAAAGTACCAGCAGAAGAAGGAGAGGGTCAGCGGACGAGTGAGAGGGATCATGTGATCTCCGCAGAAGGCTTTAAAAGCAGCTTGCATGCGTCGCCTTCCTCTCAATATCAGTGAAGTATTCAAACAGTGCACAAGTGGAGTGAAACGTCCTCATCAATCCCCAAGTTGGGGGATTGAGGGACAGTGAAGGATTAGGCAAGGATGAGAACATCAATTAAAAAGGTGCGTTCAATTCTTTTACCTGAAAGTTCTCCAACGACGGAAGCTGTCTCAATTAATGGAGCTCTTTTGGGCTAAATGAACGTTACAAATTCATAAAACCTCGTCGTCTCTAAGTTTGCGGACATTTTCCCCATGTAATTAAAGTTTGACATCTTTAAATACCCTCAAGTCTTCTGTAAAACTTCCGAGAAGCCAGAACATTACTTCACCTCAGAGTGACATAAATTGACACGGAGATTAGGGTTAAGACGATTAAGAGGGTAAATTAGCCGGGGATTCTTAGAAATTCGCTCAAAATCAATTTGCCTGATGGCTCCTGATGTAGCGCCAAGTGCAGGCGAGAAAAGGGAGATAAAAGGCAGCCAATATACACTTCGCCATATGGCTTGTGAGCAACGGCGAACCTCGAGGAAGTCTGCGGATGAATTGTGTATAGATGCAGGATGGATGTTTGTTCTTTCACGGAAGACAACATCTGTTCCGTGTACAATCCTGATGAATTTCAGTTGCACCTGAAATGTTTGCACTTACATTTCCGCCCTTACTCTGTCCATTCACTTATGCACTTGACAGAATGGAGAAGCGTTAATGCTGAATTTTCCCTCGTCATGGGGAAAAAGTTATACCTTGCGTGGAAAAGTATTAAGTGAAAAGCGACAATAAATCATGTTCCGTTGTCGTGATGTGTTTTAAATAGCATATTTCTGTTTCTTTTTCTCCCTTCTGGCAAATTTCTTCGTCGTTAGGAGGGAAATTTTACTGCCCTTGTTGGTCGTCTCTGACATTTGTCACGCAAATCAGTAATAATGACATTAGGAATTGCTTATAATCCCAAACACAAACGGTCATAAATATGAGTTGCAACATATCCTTTGCAATATCGCGATGCAATATATGAAATTCTGGCCGCATTTCCAGCAAAAGCACTTGCATATGAGAGCGAGTGCATGGGAATCGGGATTCGCAGAGTGATATAGAAGCCAATAAAGTGACGCTATTCTCACTTTTTGCTCGCAGGTCTTCTAAGGATCGCCGGGAGCCGTCTGCATTGCATCAAGCGCGTCTGATTTGGGCACACACAGCGTAATTCTATTTCGGCGTGCACGTC